GACAGAGTATTCAAAGTAACTTATAAACACCTCAACTCGAGAACTAGAAGCCAAAATTTGGAGGATAAGAACTTGGTGGGATATACTCCAAGACAATGACCGAGAAACAAAGTTTATCCAGAGAACATTTAAGCCAAACAATAACTGTCTATCCGGATGTAGGTGGGAGCCACATTAGTCCAATCATTTGCATTTGGAATGAATCAAAAACCCCTTGGTTTCTTTTTCTCTCTTTTTTTTTTTTGGGATGTGTGTTAATGTATTAATATAATTGTCAGGGTTTCTTACTTAGAGAGGCCAAATAGTACTGTAAGAAACCGATTGTTTTGAGTATTAGGGTGATATAAGGAGGTGATATTAAAAAAATAGTACGTGAGATCCATCTTATACGTTGTTTGTTTGGCATTTTATAGTCAGTACTATTTTTCGGATCGTAATACCGACCCGCTATAAACAGTAGTTATAATGCATTATAGAAGGTCTTCATGAATACCACATAGGGGGTGGTATTATATTCTTGGTATAGGTATTATAAACTAAAAAGACCGAAATACCCTCCGGTACAATTTTCATATAAAAGCTAGCCGCAATTTTTGACTTTTTAAAAGTTAAAATTGTCTTTTACATTAGTTAGCCGCAATTGTTGACTTTTTTAAGTAGGTATTACATAGATAATATTTATGATAAACAAACAAGGAGAATGATGGGATTATAGTTTAACACCGGGTATAATATACTATTGAATTGAAGTAGAATGAATATAAAACCTTATACCACCTAAATTTTATACTCAAAACAAACATGCCCTAATTGTGTCATTGACCATTTGCAGCCTTGACATTTTGTGCAACTCATTACATTTTGGTTTTGCATTTTTGGCAAACAATTGCTTCTTGGTTAATAGTATAAAGTGCAAAACTAATTGTTGAGGTGCAAGATTAAAAAAAAATAAGGGTTAATTATAGTATGTCCCCTCCAACTATGTCCCTTAGAATTAGCTCTATGTGGTTTCAAATATTGTAATTTGCCCCCTCCAAGTTTCAAGAGAATTAAATTGACTAAAAATAGTGGCTAAATATGTGAAGGAACCATTATACTCTTCATCTTATACATTATTTCCCATATTATTTCTTGACATACCAATTTTATCCCTAAAAAATAAGAAAAACGAAAAAGTCAAGACTAAAAAAGAGGAAAACCTTTGTCTCCACCTTATCATAGGGAAGGAAAATTTGTACCAGGAGAAAGGAATGAGAGTTAACCATCTGAGTTAAGAGAGGATAGAAAGGTGTAAGGCTAAAAAGGGAAATAAGGATATTTTGTACAAGGAAAAAATAAGTGTAAGGGTAATTATCTATTTTCAACAAAATATGTCTAAAAATAACTATCGGAGTTAATAACAAAATAATTCAAACTTAAAAAGAACTATTTGTTGAAATTAAAACATAAAAGAGTGAATTGTAAATTATCTAAAGTTTTTTTTAACAAAATAATCCAAAGTTAAAGGGAGCATTTTGTAATTAATCCTAAAAACAAGATGGTAATTTTGAAAGCTTGAATATGGAAAGGATAATTTTAGGAATAATAGAATTATTGGACTAAAAAATTTGATTTAATTTCCCGATTTTATGACGTGTCAGTTAATTTGTTCCAAATAAAGATTCCAATAATCTTGATTATAATTATAGTATTGAACTGTGTCAGTTGACGCATTATTAGGTTATGGCATAAGTTCGTATTATTAATTTCTATATTAGTATTATTCTTTTTAGAAAAATACCCAAAAAATACACACACGAAAAAAAAAAAGGCAGCAAAATCCTACTGCACAATCCTCCATTGACCATTTTCCACATTGTTAATAGATAATCAATTGAGTCTAGTAGAGTTTGCCAGTACTCTGCTCTTTTCGGTGAGAAGTCATGAATTCAAACCCTTTGGGCTGTTTGGTATATTTTTTTAGAAGGGTTTGAATTAAGTTGTCTAAAATTTTTTAGATTCAAAGATAAGACCCAATATTTAATGTTGTTTATATTTATGTTTGGTATGCGTAAAGGTATATGACTATTATGATAATATATTTATATATAAATAACTATTATATTCCTTAACCAAGTTGTATATATGGGGTTTATAGGATATATAAGAGTATAAATATCATTTGAATGATAAACCCATTAATCCACGTATGAAATCTCCCCTTGGGTTTCATGATTGGGTCTAAATTGGGTTGGGTTTCAAACCCTAAATTACATGTGTATTTGTCAAACATGAATTTGAGGGAGTTTATTCCCCAACCCATGTTCCAAACCCCCCTTCCCCCCCCCCCCCCCCCCCCCCCCCCGCCACCACTCAAAACCCACATATCGAACAGGCACTTATAGTCCTAAACTTGGTTCCCCAACACCTTTTAGAAAAAAGTTAGAATTTTCTTTTGGTGAGTTCACAAAAAATTTGTCTTTTATAAATATTTTAGTCTCAACATAAATAGTCTGTCTTTAATCGAACTAAATAAAGGATTAAGGCAGCCATAAACTATCTAAGAAGACACTTGAAGCAAGAAGGAAAAATAAATATACAACACAGGAGCGAAATTCTCTAAAAAGCCAAAGTTGTGGGTGGTCAAAAGGTCGAGATACGTGTAAATTAGTTCAGACACGATTGGTCGTTGAAACAAAAAAAAAATTAAAATTTCGATCTAAAATCAATCACTAATGAAGTCAAAATTTTAATGCTATGACAAAATTTTCAAAATATTTTGAGATTTTCTAACATGTTGGGGTGTTTATCAAAATATTTTGTACGAGTGTTGGGACCCCAAGCAATGTGATGACAGTCACATATAACCTGGCAGCATTTAGGATGTTGAAGTTAATGTACTTCCAAGTGAGGTGGGCCATTTAGATTATTGTTTTTCTAGTATTTTCAAAACAAAATATAATAGGAAAAAATTTAATCACACTCTCTCTAATTTATCATATCTTCAAAAATATCCCCTCTATTTTTAAATATTTATTGACACTCCTATCAGATTAAAAATATTGACTAAAATACAATTTTACTAAATTGCTCATGATAAATTTGAGGATAAACTTCATCTACACCTCCTTTAGATAAACATTTCAATGTGACCCCTTTGTTTTCTAATTTTTTTTACGTATTAAATTCGATCCGATTAAAATTCGATTCAAGCTAATTAACATTTATTTTTTTTACATATTAAAATTTGAGTCGATTAAAAATTATATTTTTATTAAAATTTGGGCTAATTAAAATTCTATTTGAGCCAATTAAAAATTATTTTTAATCAATTCAAATCAAATTTTAATCAACTCACATTGAATTTTAATTAGTTCAAATTTTAATACATAAAAAATATAAATTTTAATTGACTCAAATTTTAATTGACACGAATTTTAATAAGTAAAAAAATATAAATTTTAATCAACTCGAAAGTAAATTTAATCAGCGCTAACAACTCAGGTAAGTTTAAATCGGCTCAAATTTGAATACGTAAAAAAAAATTTAATAGGCTCGAATTTTAATACGTTAAAAAAATAAAACTTAATCAGCTTCAATAGAATTTAATTGGTTTAAATTTTAATATGTAACAAAATAAATATTAATCGACTAGAATTTTAATAAAATTTTATGTAGAAAAATTACTTGAGGTTTATGTAGGGATATTTTTGGTATTTAAATGAATTTTTTTTGTTAAAAATATTAGTTTAATGATAAAGAGTGTTAGTGATGTTTAAATATAAAGTAAAAAAGAGTGTGAATGATATTTTGATAATAGAATAAGTATTCTTAAATATATAATAAATTAAGAAGGGTTTGATTGAAATTTTTCAATATAATAACAACAAAAGTTTAAATATTAGATAGAATTTGGGGATGTCAATTGTCAGACATACGCGGCGTCTTGCCCATGGATTTGTTTGGTTGAGCCAGGGATAAGATTGCCCACCTTACAATCATAACATCTTTATTAAAAAACAAGGTGCAATTATTGCCATCCTGTGGGTGTGTTGGGTGCAGGTGATGGTTGGAAGTTGCGGCACCGATCATTAAAACGAAAGATGCTCATTGTATTACAAAATAATGTTGAAATAACTCTCGAAGATTCATTACATTAGTTGAGCATGATTTTCAGTTACTTAGAGATTTCAAGTTTAATAACTACTCTTATCTTTTTACGAACATATTTTAATTCAATTTCAAGTCACTGTAATCAGTCGTTAAATTAAAAAGAGTAATCGATACAAATCTAGACATCTTATAATAATAAAAAATAAAAAAATAAAGTTGGACAGTACGTACTTTATATTAGACAAAAAAAATTGAATATGACAAAAGATTTAATTATATCGCCTCGTCATATAATAGTATTAACTGATTTACTTATCATGACTCGGAAAACTCAAGGTTGATTTTGAGACAAATAGAATGATTCCGATTATTGAAAACTCTCTCAAATCTTGCCCAAATAAAACCTTCACTCACTCTTGGTTATGCGAGCAAGTATGCTGCCCTCATAACAGCAATGAGTGATGCCACAATCATTAACCATTGTATTGAATTCTTTTAAATATATAAGATTCGGAGATCTGCCACAAAATTTTTTAGATACATACAAAGTTGCGAACAAATTACCCGCAACCATCCATGGACCTAGATTGACATAAAATTCAGAATTTCATATTTATCACTCTCACAACTATGTATGGACATGAACAAAAATTTGTTCCTCAATCACACAACTTTAACTACTGTACAATGCAAATTGGACAAGTTCTCTAGCAAGTCGACTGTAAGCATGGATGCCCTAGGTCTAACCGGCCGGATCGAGTTTTCGATTGGCGACAATGTTGTCTTCGTCGTTGTCCTTTCGCATGTCCGAAGCCATTTGGCTTGCATGTACCTATGTTTCCTCCATGGTGCCATGTGCATCCTCTTCTCCTTCATGCACTTCTTAGCACTAGAGCATAAGATCTTGATTAAGGATGATAATCTTTCGACTTTTCCAACAAAATTTCAGGAAGCATGTTTATTAGTTGGTTGTATTCTTCGTTTGCTCTCGCCATCTCAAACTCAGCTCGAAAATTCAACTCGATTATTACTCTGATCGGTTCTGTTTTCTTAGAATTTGAACTATCCACAACGTCCAAGAAGGTGTGTTTACCTGCACATATATAGTTGGAACAAGAGTTTGCTGACCAGATAGTGTTTGTAGCCAAAAATAAATGGAGCGACGAGGACGAAAACAAGATTATTAAGTTGAAGGTTGAAAGTTAAAGTTCCGATTATAATATCAATAATTCATAATATCGTCTCATATGTCCGTTCTTTTGACTTTTGACTATAAATTAAAATTTTAAATACACATAATCATTTGTAAATTACGGACATTCAAAGACTCGCATGCATCATCATGTTAACAAGGGTTGCAACTTGCATGACTGCTAATCATGGTTAAATTACAAAATAAAGGTCTGGTCTGTCCTGCCTTGTATAATGCAGTATACTTCCAATAGAGGTAGGCAAGAAAAAAAAGGCAAGAAGGTTCACCTCCCATCAACCAGACCAAATAAAAAGAAAGAAAGAAAATATGGGCCACCAGACCGCCACCATCTTTGCATATCAAATTGGTTGGGTGGGTTAGGTGGTGAGAGATGAGGATTTGTTTTTTTATTGATAGTTGTTCTTCGCTCAAAGAACAACTCAAAGAACAACAGGCAGGTCACGTCGCGTTCTTATCCTAAACAGTTTTTTGCTTTAGCGATGTTTTATCTTAAATTTAAGAAATAATTATTACCTTCTTACCTTATCAGCCTGTTTATTAGAAATAATCGGTGTATACGATTAAGATTCCGATATTGACTTGCTTTTTGAGTCTATCCCTCGAAGTTAAACTTAAACTCGAAATACAAATAATTATTTTAAAACAATGTCCGTCAGGTCAACCACCGTGTCTATTATGAGACTCGAACATTAAATCTCAAAGTTTTAATCATTGGAATGTTGACATATTTTGGATTATCTGACTCATTTTTAAACGATAATCTTGAGACGCACATATTTATCTATAAATCACATCGGTTGGACCAACCAGAGAGTCTTTTGTGAGACTTGAACTTTATATCTCGAGATATTAACCATTGAAATATTGTCATATTTTGAGTTACCTGACAAGTTAAAGTTTTATTTTTTAGTTTTTTATGTTTGTACATAGGTAGTGGTTACTAAACATACCAGATATTCACATAGTTGTTGATTAAAGTGATATAGGTACTAATAAGCATTGCCTGACAAGTATAAAATTGAAAAGTGTTAAAGAACTGTGCTCTAATGTAGTATTTTTTTAAAAGGTTTGAACTCACCGACTTCAAGTCATACGGCGAAATTATGACCATTAAACCAATCGCTAATTTCTCGAATTTAGTTTAAAGTGACCAGTTCTCTCAAATACCTGATGGAATGTCCGGTGAGCTGCTCCACTTAGACTTGCAAATTGCACTGTTGATACCAGCATTTTGAAGACGACTGCATACCTCTCTCATCAGACAGTTCCGGCAACCAGTCGCCACCGGTCTCAGGCAAATACACACGTTCTCAGCCAGTTGAAACTCCTTAATAGCTTCTTTAGTGGCATTTCGGATCCTAGTTTCTAAAGAACTAGTCCTACGTAATGTAGCCTTTAAAACAGTGATCACAAAACAGAAAGTTCATTAATGTCAGATATTTATAAATAAATAAATAAAGTCGTTTCTAGTGCAGAAAATTCCGGTCTATAATGGGTTGTGAGATTCCTAAACAATATTGATAACTCTGTTGAGAGAGAGAGAGAGAGACCTGTAAAAGTTGGTGCTGTGTCTCCCAGAAGCTCTTCTTGTCCCCAACACTTGCTGAGTTTTCTCTCTCTTCGTTATACTCCATAACATCATTGTCACCATAGTCATCACTACTAATACTCTCTAGAGACCCTTGGCCCTCTTCCTCAAGAAACCCAAAAACTGTGCTGGACAAGTTCATCACAGGGTCTCTAGAATTCCCGATTTCAACATTACCCCACGTCAAAATCCGGTGCCTCGTCGGAATTCTCGCCGTTGCTCCGGCCATGGCCTTAACAGCACACAAGATTCACAATTGGGGTCACTTGGCTCTTTAAAAAATGTTGCATTGACAAGAATATCTAGAACCGGTTTATATACCATTGCCAAGGGTAAAGGTTGGTCCGTGGGACCTACTTGTTCTACGAAGAGGCACTCATCCGCAAAGAAAAATAATAATGCTATACACACCATTTTTTTTTTTATTTTGTGTTCAATCAATTTATGTGTAGTTCGATTAATTTTCTTTCCAATCTAATTAAAAACAGGTCATTCCGCCAAAATTAAGGAATTCATAAAAAATAAATCCCTTATTGTCTAGTCTTGCGAGGTTACCGAAATTTAAACTTTGTGCACCATCTCAGCACACACACTTAGATTAGTAGCTCCTACATATTTTATTAAATATGGTGGCACATCAAGTGGTGTAAGAAATATAATACATAAAAGTGGTGTTCATAAAATTATTCATAAAAAAATAATAATGCTACACACGCCATTTTTTTACACCACTTTTGTTACGAAAGTATTTAGTTTAAAATTGGTTTATATAATCCTAGGGATAAATCATGAAGGCACCGTGTAATATAAATAATTTTTAAGTGATATATGTTGGTAGCCGAAGAATGACTCTATTTGAAATCGTCAGATGAACTTATTAAAATCTATCATATTTTATATTATAGATAAAATGAGACCCACTTGTCCTGTCTGAACTAAGAGACTTTCATTCATATATAAAAAATATTGAATATAACGGTTATATCCCAATAACAATGTCATGTGATTTAATCATTTATTCACTAATAAGTGAATAAATACGTAAAAATGACTCTGTGATAACCGATACATTGAATATTTACTCCACCCACATAAGGTGGTTTGGACAAATTCCAATGATAGTTTAAGTGTGATAACAACAGCGAATTATATACTCAAAATATCCTAGTTCGGGGTATGAGAGATTACATTGCGAATCCTTGGGGGTTAGTCACGTGAGATTTATGTTTCGTGAATATCCTAATTTCGATATAAATAATTTATCTTTAATTGGATCAAAAAAAAATAATTGAATTATACATAAATTGGCCTAAGCACCGGACCGATAAAAAAGGAACCCAAAAAAAAAAAACAGAAGGTTGTTTGGATAGGTCTAATGTGGTGGACCAGACAGCAAGGATCCACGTCAGTCAATGCCGATAATTTTATCAAAACTGAAAATATGGATATACTTGAATACTCGGATATTATATAGTAGTGTTTTTTTATTTCAATACTTTCATTGCCATCTAAATCCTAATCATAACGATGGTGGGACCACCATTAATGTGGTGACAGAAACAGGAGCAACGTGGCAGAATCATGGATTTTGATTGATTGGTGTAATCCAATTTGTGGGACCTACTCGTTTTATATGAGCGGAATTGTAGGTGTGGGAGTGGGACCTACAACGAGAGAAAGGTTCAGTGAGGGACAAAACATATTCGGCGCCTTGCCCATGGTTTTTCCAAACAGTAGGGCCTATTTTAATTTTTTAAAACTATTATTATAAAGATTAATCTCAATTTGTATGTCGAAAAATCACTCAACTTTTAATTTATACCCTTAAAATTTAAAAATATTAATTTATACCCTCTATTTTGCCTTTAAAAAAGTTTAGGCTAATTATAAATTACACCCTTAAAGAATGATAATCCAAAAAAAATTACATCCATTAATTGAGAGGTATTTAACTAGTATTAATTGATGAAATTCTTTTTGGATTATAAATACAAAATATTTAAATTTTAAAGTGCAATTTTCAATTAGTCTAAACTTTTTTAACAGCAAAATGGACGACAGTTAACCCTTAATGCACATTGATATAAATTTATGTCTTTCAAGAAATAAATTAATATTTTTAAACTTTAATAATATAAATTAAAATTTGAATCATCTTTTAGGGTGTAATTTAAAATTAACCCTTATTATAATGTACTATGATAGTTAGATTAACACGTCAATATCTTACTCAACGAAAGGGACAGTACACCACCTTCAATAATTTCGAAAAATATTTAAGTATTAATTTTGTGTGACTTTGATGCTTATTCTTTTCATTATGTTAATCTATTTCTCTAAATTTTTAATCTACAAAATTAAATAATGAAAGTGTTCGTGCGAGTTTAATGTGGCCATACTTGAGGGGTCATTTCACCCTTGGTTCCTTAAGTTTGCAATGTGTATCACTTTTAAGCATAGGAAAAGTCTACAGTACCCAAAAAAATGGTAAAATGTTAGGATTAATCATAAGGTATCATATAAGTGGTAAAAATATCCCCTTTTTTAGTATTTTGTACCCTGAAAGATTTTAAAATTTTTAAGTTTTACCCTTAAGTATTAAATTTTTCATATTACACTCTTAGGAACCGTTTGTTTTGAGTATTAAAGTGGTATAAGGAGGTGGTATTAAAAAAATAATACGTGAGACCCATCTTATACGCTGTTTGTTTGACATTTTATAGTCAATACTATTTTTCGGATTGTAATACCGACCCGCTATGAACAGTAGCTATAATGCCTTTTAGAAAGTTTTAATGAATACCACCTAGGAGGTGATATTATATTTTGGTATAGGTATTATAAACTAAAAAGATCGAAATGCCCTCCGACACAATTCTCATATAAAAGTCTAGCCGTAATTTTTGACTTTTTAAAGATTAAATTTATCTTTTACATTGGTTAACTGCAATTGTTGATTTTTTTAAGTAGGTATTACACAGATAATATTTGTAATAAACAAACAAGGAGAAAGATGAGATTATATTTTAACACCAGATATAATATACTATTGGATTGGAATTGAATGAATATAAAACCTTATACCACCTAAATTTTATACTCAAAACAAACATGCCCTTAATATATTAAAAGTATTGCAATGTGCCCTATTAGCTTTTCATTAATTTTTTCGCCAATATCAACCATTGACCCACAAAGTTAATAGAAAAACTAACGAAAAATTAAAAAAGGTCACATTGCAACACTTTTGATATATTTAAGATATAATGTAAAAAATTTAATCTTTAAAAGTACAAAGTGAAAAACTTGAAAATTTTCAAGGTGCAAAATGCAATTCGCTCAAAAATATCCACAAAAGTTATAAAAATATCTACAAAATTATAAATCAGCCACAAAAGTTGTAATTTTTTATTATAATATAAACCACAAAAATTATAAAAACACTCATTAAAGTTGTAAAATTTGAAAGTATGATGCCGAAACTTTTTTTTTTTTTTGTAGTCTTCTCCTTAAGTTTAGAGTTTATGTCACTTTTAATCCTTAAAGTTTACAATTTGTGTTACTTTTGCCTTTCAAGTTTATAATTTCACTCACCTTAGACCCTTAAATTTCAAAAGAATATCCTTCGAGTGTGATCACATGAGACGTGTGTGAATATATTTGTTATTCGTTTTAAATTACTTTTTTTTAATTGGACTAAAGTGACACAAATTTAAAACTTAAGGACTAAATTAACATTATTAAAAAAATGTCTACTAAAGTCGCATAGGAAACTATTATTATAATTTTACTCAATGATAAATTATATAGTTGGTGGTGCATCTACTTGTATAATAGGTTTTAATTAAATTTATGATAGATCATCTACAACAAATGGTATGATCATTAAGGATGAGGAAAAATAGAGGGATAAAAACCTTAAAAATTTCACAGGCTATCTCTTTCATTAGTATTCTCATCATACTTAGGACTGTTTGGATTTTCCATGAAATCAAGAAGCTTTGCCTAAACATGACCATACCATTTATATCTTGGTGATGTTCATGGATGTGGATTTTGTTTAGTATACTTTTTTTATTAAAAAAATTAATAGTATATTATTGGGTTCTATATAAAAGAAAATCCTTCATAAATACAAAGGAAACTTATCATTAAAAATAATGATAAAAATATTTAAATGGGGATCCAATTCATGACCCAAATTGTGTAGTGGCCTTAATTTTGTAGTAATTTTGCTCCTCTAAATCAAAATATAAAGTGGAACGAATTTTAGATCCTTGTTTCACCTTCACACGTGTCTCTGTCCCATTGGATTCGCACTAATTTACCTATTATTCAGGTTACGTGAACTTGGTTGCATTTTAATTACCCGACTTAAAAGAATTTTGACTTAGACGTAAAATATGTATTGTTCTTAATTTTACTCAATCACAAATCTCCTTCGTGTATGAATGTGGGTACTAACTCATAAACAATGACTGCTACCTAAAAGTCTATGCTTCACCTTCACACAAGTCTCTGTCTCATTGGATTCGCGCTAATTTGTCTATTATTCAAGCTACGTGTATTTGGCTACATTTTAATCACCCAACTTAAAAGAATTTTGACCTGGACATACAATATGTATTGTTCTTAATTTCACTCGATCACAAATCTCCTTTCGTTTATGAATGTGAGTACTAACTTATAACCAATGACCGCTACCGAAAAGTCTAACTCTAAACCTACTCCCTACAGTTTAGCCTTGCAATTAGTGAGCCCATTCATAATATTCAAGTTCTTGCACTTGTTTTTTTTTCTTCGAAGTTGGTCAAAATTACATCAAATTTTCGTTTTCCTTGAATCTGATCTATTAGTCTTTAAAAGTGCAATATTAAACTCATTTTCTACAAGACTTTTTTTATTTTTTAGGCTATTGAAAAAGGGATGGAGGTAAAAGAGAGCGTTCAGAGATCACCCCAATAGATCTTTTTATCTGTTCTTCATCAATTACACTATCAACCATCCATATCGGGTATCCCTCACCTAGGACTAATAGTATGGACTTTGTTCAACTAGGATTATCTAGCATGTGTTATCTATAGGGAAAAAAAAGAGAAAGAAGGGGGGGGGGGGCGGGGGGAATGAAACAATTTTTGACTCTATGTATTACGTTCAAACTCAACATGACATTAATTTAAAAGTAATTTGACATGCTTGGACAAATAATAAACAAATCGGATCAGTAAAAGACACATCAAACACTTTTCTTTCGTATTGTATAAAAGAAATGCATGTTTTATATTTTATATTTTTTACTGGATTATAAAAATTACCATAGAATTACATGATTTTTTTGTGATTTTGTCAATAGATTTGTAATTTACTAAGGATATAAGAGTAGTGAATTTTATTGAGATAGAAGGGACAAATTGACTATGCTATAAAATGATATAATTCAAGAGGATGCAAGTCAGGGTGGAGTGAGAATTTTTATCATAAGGGGGCCAAATAATTGCATAACTAGTAATTTTTATTCAATGTGTGTTATTATTGAATTATTATTAGCATCAAATTTTTAGATATATAGAATTTATTAAAATTAATTTCACACCATACATTATAATGAATCCATTTTTTTTTTAAAATTAATTAAACTTTATCGAATAATATTTTCTACTCTTAAACAACAACACTGATTTCACTTTACATATTGATTATTGATTTGATTACGTTGCACTCCAAAATAATTCAAAGTTTATCGATTTGTGCAAAATCAAAAAATTAACAATTAGATGATTAATGGGGCAACTGATAATCGAAGATAAAATAATGTGGTATAAAACATAATTGCCAAAATTTGGGAGGCATGAAAAAAATTAAAAAATAATTTAGATGTATAATTTATAATTTAAAAACTAAGGGAGACAATGTTATTGGTATTAAGACATAATTTAGGGTCATATTGAGTTGTTACTAATGGAGTAACGTTATACAACGGAAGCTGATGTAAGGGTAATTTTGTCAACAGAAGCTAATGAAAAGACCACATTATAATATTTTTAATACATTGAAGATACAATATAAAAAATGTAGTCTTTGATTGAATTTTTTAAAATTTTTAGGGTATAAAATGCAATTCGCCAGATCTACATTTCTGTAACGAAAAAGTCTATGTATTACTGTCTACGATTTTTCAGATTACGACAAAAAAATAATTCCGAAGTAATAAACTCAGATTTGTTCCAAAAAATTTTGAGAGATTTCACAAAACCCAAGAATGTAAGAGCAAGCCCATCTCAATATCAGGGCTATTTATTTCACTGTCGATTTTTATCTGTTAGTGCATTGTGAGTTTATTTTGGAAACTTTGATCGAATTGGATACTGGGTTTTGATTGGCAGATTGAATAAATGGTGGGGTTTCATTGAATCTTCTTGTCGTAGGTATGTAGTTGATGTATATTGTTTCTAGATGGTGGGTTGATTTGTCTTTACTTGTAATACTTGTATTTATATCTTATTAATATCTATGGGCTACAAAAAGAGAGAACTTTTCGTTGGATTTCTATGAAAAAGAAAGTTCTATTAGTTTTTCATAGTTTAGGTCTTGGTCTTTGTGCTATTTATGTCGTGGGTTGGTGTCATTGCATTGATATAGTGGAAACAGAGGATTGTTTCTTATTTTGGGGCTAATTTGGTGATCTGGTTCTGGATTGGGTGGTGAATGGAGGGTTATTTGGTGTTGGAGGGTGTTATTGGATTGATATATTGGAAAGTGAAGAGTGCTTTTAACATTGGGGCTAATTTGGTGACGATCTGAATTTTAGACTTGTATTTAGTTGATTTTGATTGAGTTCTTTTTATAGCTCTGGCGCTTAATTGATGACCTGAGTTTGATTTTTTGAGGTGAATTTGGAGCAATAATCAGGGGGAGGTGAATGAGAGTTGGAGGGAGATGAGATGGGAAGTTAGGGGGTTGGAGGGACAACAATGACTACATTATCATTGGGGCTGCGTGCTCCTGGAAGTTCTGGGTCATTACCCCTACAGCAATTTCAGAATGGTGTGTTGCCAATCCAGACTACGCCTCCTGTTGCTAACCGTAAGCCTTCTAAAATGTTCAAAGAGAAGGAGAGGCTGTTTCACTGCGTCCGGAAGTTTGCTCCTCGCAGGAAGATTGGCATGCTGCTCTTGTTTATTGTTTCTATTGCGTTTTGGGTCGTGTTGTCGAATGTTGTTAAAGGTTTGCTTTCGAGTCTTTTTTATCTCTTTTCCTTATTTGTTGCATTTTTAGATTCTAGCTTTACTAATCCCACCCAAGGATCAAGATTTCGGTTCAATGGCTGTGTGGGTTTGGTCTACTTAAAAATGTAAATGTTTCGGTTTGATCCTTGATCCCACCCCGCACGCACACACACCTGCGCAAAGGCAAATCTGCAGCATGATCAATTTTGAAAAGGAATTAAGGGAAAAACCAGAGTTTTATTCTAGTTTGGAGTTTGAATGTTGCTGTTAGTCGTGTTTCCACACTCGTATCATTGTGCACTCAAATCTACCCTCTGGTGTGGCATTGGATAATAATATGGTAATTAAGTTTTGAAATGTAGATTTTGGTTGTATTAATAATGTACTTTGTGGGAAATACTATGCTTTCCTACTCTGTCCTATGTAGGTTCAAGTTGATTTGCTGATGGGAACTTCCATATTAGGTTTCGGTTTACGTTAGAAGATTTTGAAATGAGCAGGCATAACTTCTAATCTTCTACTCATGTTGGTTACAATCGAGATCAATTTCGATCCTCTGTGCGTAAGCATTCACGTGCATGCCTGTGTTGATTGAGGTTGTACATGACACATGTTAGTTTTGGAAGCTGATAACTGATTTTCAATTGGTTGAGTAAATATTCCATGCGTTTTGGCTTGTTTGCAGGTGACGAAGCACGGGAAGTTATCGGAAGCATTCATCAAATTGGATCTTCGCCAACATATGGAAAACAAAGAAACAATCAAGATGTTGTTTCTTCTAAACTGAAAAACATAGGGGGAAGTGCAAGTATAGCCCAGCCCCCTCCTCCTCCTCCTCCGCTTGCATATTTTTCGGCATACAACCTGCCTCCTGGGAATCCGTGTGAAGGTTTCACATTGCCTCCCCCACCAGCGGATAAGAAAAGGACTGGACCACGTCGTAAGTTTTAGCAATCATACTATTTTCCGATTTCCGTCAATTAATTTCACTAAATGTTATACTCGTTTGCTGCTGCTTAACATTCACACTCGCATATTGGCCAATAGTCAACAGATTATACTGCTGTAGACTCTGTAGCAACAATGTTGCACTCATTTTAATCCTAAAAAATTGGATTTAAATGAGTGCAGAGTTAATTTTGCTGGATTTTCTTTGTTTTTGGTGTTTCAGCATGTCCAGTATGTTACCTTCCTGTTGAAGATGCTATCACCTTAATGCCAAAGGCTCCTTCATTTTCTCCTGTGCTAAAAAAGTTAACCTATATTCACGAAGTAAATCTAACTAGAAGTGAGTTTGGAGGCTCGGAATTTGGTGGATATCCTTCGCTGAAGCAGAGGAGCGATTCTTATGATATAAGAGAGTCAATGAGCGTGCATTGTGGGTATGGTTATTTTTCCTAGGACAAGTTCACCTGAATACTTGTTTACCAACCAACGGTTGTTTTCCTTGAAAAACTTGCTTAATTCATTATTTTCTTTTAAAATCATCCACTGGTAATGATGCTTCTTACTTTTGTTATTTGTTTTGACTGGTCCATGTCTACATAAATAGATTTGTCAGAGGAGTTAAGCCTGGCCATCAGACAGGATTTGATATTGATGACTCTGACCTTCTTGAGATGGAAACATGCCCGGGGGTGGTTGTTGCATCAGCAGTATTTGGTACTGTTCTTTACTGCCACTTAATATTTTGTTCTCTTGCTCAAGGTTGTGGATTGCAAGTATAACAAATGCATTTTCGATCAGGATCCTTTGATTTGATACGACAACCAAAGAACATTAGTGAACATGCCAAGAAAAATGTTTGCTTCTATATGCTTGTGGATGAAGAGACAGAAATGTTTATAAGAAATTCTACTGATCTGGATGATAGCAAGAGATTTGGGTTGTGGAGAATTGTTGTGGTCCACAACCTACCTTACACTGATCCAAGACGCACCGGGAAGGTATATTATTTAAATTTTAGACAGTTTCATTCTTAATATGTAGATTGAGTTCGCTTAAGGACAGTCTAAGGTGACCATGGTAGACTATCAAGTTTGTAAGAATTTCTAATTTCGTCACTTTATCCTGTAAGACGAATGCATGAAATGATGCATTTAGTTAAATACTGTTAGCTCTTTATTATTATTATGCTTTCAAAAATTGAAAACTCTGTTAAAACAATGGGTAGCAAATTCTCTTGTCAGCTTTGTGGGGACACTTCAAAAAATGAGAACTCTCTACGAAAAGAACCATCAGGTATACAATTATAGATGCAATGCAGAGTAATCTTTTCATGATTTGCATAGTTGTAGGCTGAAAAGAATATAGTGGCATTGGAAAGTTTGACGGATCCAGTATTCATCCTCCGTCCGCTCAAAGTAATGTAACAGTGATTGGAGCTGAAATAGAGAGACCTGATTCTCTGCTTTTCAACTTACTTAGGCTTCTGGAAGTCGGATACGCTTCTGAAGAGACTATGGAAAGTTCTCTTTTGATTGGTGTAGGGGAAATCTCAAATCCTTATTTCTAATCTCATACTCATCTTTGCCCTCATCTCTAATCTCATACATATGTCTATTGAGACTGTGAATATGAGATCGTAGCCCACACACTGAAGTAGACGTAATTGATCTAGAGGGATGTTGAACAGGCCCAATGCATCCGAACACGGAATTGGTGCCCAATTAAAACCTACTGCCCACACTTAATGATAAACTATCAAATTAATGTAGAAATCCCTCAATCACTTTGATCCAATTCTTCAATGAGTGAATTTATGCAAAATACCCAAATTTAATCAATTTTAATTGTGCATAAGACACCATATCATTCCAGTCCCAATCACCAATTCAACTCATTTTGCAAGAGCCAATTCCACAAACCGTATTCACTCAAGCAATTTATCGAGCACGTGGAGGAAGTAAATATTGCAGTTATGTAAAGCAAGCAAGAGACAAACAAAACGCATAACATAAACGATTTTTACGTGAAAACCCTTAAGGGAAAAATCACAGGACTGTAGTCAACCTAACCTAATCAACTATCCTCAAAGTTATATTACAAGATCAAAGGCTTATATCTCAATCAATACTATGGTTAGACGCGTTCTTCCTTGAATCTTTACTCTGGAGTCCACTGCAAGCTCTTGAGTTATAGTTTCAATAGGTGACGAATTAAGCTCCACGGTCCTTTCTTAGTATTCTCCTTGTTCTCCTTTGGAATCTTTCCTTGATCCTTGGACGCCTCCTTGGATCCTTGGTTTGTGGGTTTTGGTGTTCTACAAGATCTCTCAATTCTCTACAATAATTTCTCTCAATAACTCTAGATTGATCAATCAAAGATTGAGATTTGTTTGGGATCTTAGGATAAGCCTCTTGTTGGTATCCCTAGCTTTTTTTAAACCCTAGTGTCTCTCTAAAAGTTAGAAAAAATGTTCCCTATTTATAGGTGTAGGAAAATAGAAGTATTTGAACGAGCTGGGAAACCTGGTCACGAACCAGTACTTAGAAAGCGGTGCCCGCTTGAATAGGATTCTTTGCCGTTATAAACAGAGCACTGCCTGAGTGGTTAGAGAGCATTGATCATTGTTTTTGAATTTTCGTGCCCTACCCATTTTTTTCAACCTCGAGAGCTCTTGGAGAGCACTACATACACGTTCAAAAACTTTTTTCTTAAAAACATGAAACTTGCAATGGATTTTCATACACACTCAAAATCCATTTTAATTACTTAAGTTAAACCCATCTAAGTCAAATAGGTATCTAGGTCTTCTTATCTTACCTAAGCTTGATGAGATCCAAGAAGTCTTCACTTTATGTTGTAATGTAGATTGAGTTTTTTCACTACATCTTGTTTTGGTCTTCAATTTTCACAAGCATCTTGACCATAGATTTAGTCAAGTATAAAGTGATCTCATGGAATTTGCAAATTACAATCAATTTCCTAACATCTATAAACTTCCATCAAGTACTTTTGAGAAAGATGAATCCACAAATAAATATATGTTAGTGCAGATGATATAGTATCAATTGATGAAAATAAAGAAGGAATTAATAATAAACTACAAATCTAGTAAGAGGCTCTAGAATCAAAAGGATTTAATATAAGATAAAAATTAGATATTTGGAATCTAACTTTAGTAAAGAAGAAATCTAAACTAAGAAGTAGTAAATATTGAATATTGAGAGATACTAAAAAATAAATACATTCGATATTTAGGGTTACTTATCCATAGGAGAGTGAGATTGGTGATGATGTTACTCATGAAATTAAAGCAGGATATACTAAATGGAGGAATACATCTGGTGTATTATGTGATTGACGCATTCATACCCCTTGAGCTTAAAAGAAAATTCTATAGAACGGCTATAAGACCAGCTATATTTTATGGTACTTAGTGTTAGGCAACTAAATACCACGTTCTATGATTGCATTTGGTAGAAATGAGAATGTTAAGATAGATGTTTTGTAAAAATAGGAATGATAGAATTTGACATGAAAATATTCATGAATAAGTAAAGATAACACATATAGGAGATAAATTAAGGGAGAATCGACTTAAGTAGGTTTAGACATATTTATAGACGATCTATCACAACACTAATGAGAAAGAGTGACCCTTGCTTGACCCGCGGACTTGGAACTATTTAAACAGTCTTTCCTGAAAGGTATTTTCCCAAAATTCTGCTCTGATACCTTCTGAAGTGAAATAGGTACACGCACGGGTAGAGAGTCTGCCTAAGTCGTGTGGCCCTAGGTGACGCCTATTGTAGTGTAGCACCTGGTTTCAGCCTTCTCTTTGTCATGGCTTCTGATCTCTCTTTGAGTCTCTAGATGTGATAGTTATTGACGGTAAGGAAAGCAGTAAATTAAGACCAAAATTATCTTTATATGTATGGTAAAAAAAAGATATGATAACTAATGATTTAAAAATGAAGTACTACCCCAGCGAGATAGCGACATGGTGAAATTGGATTCAATTGACCCCAAAAATGTTGGGACAAGACATTGTTGAGTTTTTTTTTTTAAGTTTTTGCATGAAGTTGAAACATGCAAGCTGACAAAGCGTTTTGCTGCATTCTTTTTTTTTTTGTAGTATAGGGGTGGAAGACCTATTTCTTGATGCTATCAGTAAATCTTAAGACCAGAGGTCACAAGCTAAAGACCATGGTCTCCTATAGGTCCCACTCATGCGTGTTGCTTTGGGGGAACAGACAAAGTAGCGGTCACACATCATTTGGATGAAGTGATTGAAGTTGAACATAGGCCTATTGCTGCATTCTTTCTAGCTCTGTTGTTAGCCTTTGTTGCACTTTGTTTTTTTATATCTGCCTGCTGGTTTCAGCTGGTGATACTTCAACCAGAGATCCTAGGTTTGTTATTTTTATAGCAATATAAGCTTCCTTATGGGTTGTTGGACAACCCATAATTTGCCACTCCTTTGGAGTTTCACCAGCTGATGATATAAGCCGGTGATACTTCAACCAGAGAACCTAGGTTTGTTATTTTTATAGTAATATAAGCTTCCTTATGAGTTGTTGAACAACAACCCATAATTTGGCACTCCTTTGGAGTATCACCAGCTGGTGTTACTTCAACCAGAGAACCTAGATTTGTTATTTTTATAGCAATATAAGCTTCCTTATGAGTTGGTGAACAACAAACCATAATTTGGCGATCCTTTCCTTTGCATTTTAAATGTCAATCTGGCGTGTCTCATAATGCATAATTTACATAAGGTGTTGCTTTTAAATCTTCTGATCTAGGTTGCCCCTTGGCCATGGCAGGTTCCAAAGCTTTTATTGCATCGTCTTTTCCCAAACGCTCGCTACTCTTTATGGATCGACGGAAAACTTGAACTTGTTGTGGATCCATATCAAATACTTGAAAGGCACGTCTACATTTTATTCCGTTCATTTTCTTTCTTTCTTTGTTCTTTCTTTTACATTAAGTTTACTCTTAGAAGGTATTGAAATTTTAGTTGAATGAAAGTCTACAGGAAAACACTGCGATCACCTCTTTGATGGCCATTGATCTTTTAGGGTTAAATAAATGAACTTGCCCCTGCTCAATTCTAGCATGAGTAAATTTTCACTTATTGCACAGTAGACCCATTTAATATATGTCAGATAAATATTCATAATGGGGAAGTAGCCATAGTTTCTGTACATAGAACATATTTATGTATGTAAGCATATTTTACTTGTGGAGCTTCATTGTTTAATTTATGCTATTGTTTGTCCAAAATCATTTGTCATCCCATGGCTATACCTCTTGTATTTACTAGTTATTCACCCATACGTGACTAATATGAATTCACTAAGCTACTGATAATTGCAAGCATACATGCCATAATAATTGGTGCATTGTTTGGGAATTTGAGGATTTTATGGTGTGACTAGCCTTGCTCTGTCCTTTTGTCATACTTGTGGAGGACAGGCTTCTTAGATAAAAATGCTACCTTCAAGTTTTTGTAATGGAAAAGTTGCAGAATTAGGTTGATATAGACCAAGCCGCATATTTAGTGTTACTGTTAGTATATATTTTGGCTTAAGAGAAGTTGTTTACAACTAATTCTGGGACCGTATAAACAAGGTGTAGTTTATTCTAACTAGTTCATCATATACTTTTTCTTCTGGTAGCAATGCATTATCAAATTTGAGACTTTTTCTTATATAAAGAAGGTGTTGTAGCATTACTCATGGCTTGTCATTCATACATCTTTTTCTGGCTCCATTAATGGAAGTCTTCCCTCCTGTACTAGGCAAATTTTAGACTTCAGCATGACAAGTAGAAAAACTATTCTGACTTTAGCCATCTGGTGAAGCTATTTTGTGATATAGGTAGCTATGTATATTTCAACCTGCCATTCCAAACAAAAGAGCTATTGAATTGCGTCTTAAGCAAAGATGATTTTCCTTTTGGCTTCACACAGGCCAAAAAAAAAAAGAAAAAAGAAAAGGTCATGAGAGTTTAGTTTTGTTTATGTTTGTGCTATGTTTGTCTGGCATACGTAATTACAAATGTGGGGATTTGATCATTTGGACAACATGAATATCTGTACTTCTGCATGTCAGCACCTTGGTCGGATGGGCCTCTTTCGTCAAATTTAAATCTGCTGTTTTCCCCCTAAGGGTTATGTTTCTCCCAATGGTTATGTTGAGCTGAAGTTATCTGCCCACTGTCAGGTTCTTGTGGAGGAAAAATGCCAGTTTTGCAATATCTAGGCACTATAGGCGCTTTGATGTCTTTGTCGAAGCAGAGGCTAACAAGGCTGCTGCCAAGTATGATAATGCATCCATTGACTTCCAGATTGAATTTTATAAAAAGGAGGGTCTAACCCCATATTCTGAGGCTAAGCTTCCCATTACAAGTGGTATGGGTGTGCTTTTGTTCGTTCTTTTTTTTCTTGGTGATTGTAGTTGTTGTGTTGACTTTGTCTTTCTTGTTTGACCGGGCTTTGGTAAATGATGTGGAATGCAGATGTTCCGGAAGGATGTGTAATTATAAGGGAGCACACTCCTATCTCCAATCTTTTTACTTGTCTATGGTTCAATGAAGTTGATCGCTTTACTTCCAGAGACCAGATTAGTTTTTCCACTGTGAGGGATAAGATCAGGTCAAGAACAAATTGGACTATCAATATGTTCCTGGACTGCGAAAGGCGCAACTTTGTGGTTCAGGTAATTTTGTTATTTTCATTAATGGCGTCATTTAGACCGCTGAAATTTAAGAAACTAAATGGTAACACTCTCTTTTTTTTGTCCCCATTTGCATCTGATAAAGCAACAGATCTATGTTAGAGGTTTCAAGTGTTGTGTGGGTCTTCTAATTAACTCTTAGAAGTAGCATTTTCTTAGTTGATCCATTTTGTAATACCAATATCCAATAATCAAATTCTTTATATATATATGTCTGCACCTAAGTTAGGAATCGGTGTACATACGGGCGTAAGCGTTGGATCTAAGCATGGCCAATTATTTTTATTGTTCAATATTTCTATATTATTCCTGGGCATACTTGTCAATTCGTGTATCGGAAAGTGTATCATTTTTTAAAAATAGAGTATCGTATCGTGTATTGGAAGATACGGTGTAATTTTAAATAATTAAAAATAAAATATATGTTTATAAACTTTAGGGTGTTTAGATGTAATTTATTAACGGATATATTTACAGCAGGGTTTAAGTGTTATGTGTGTATAAATTTTAGGGGGTCTGTATGTAATATTTTAAATGTTAGGGGTCTAAGTAATTAAGTAATAAACCTTAAGGGGTCTAAGTATAATTCTTCCTATTTTAAAACATAGTGAAGAGTAGAGAGTGCCTGAAAAAAAAAAAGGACGATACAAAAAAACAAAACAGAGAGAAGAGAGAGAGGGAAAGATCGCCGTCCTCAAGAACAGAGAAACAATCTTTGATGGCTTCGTCATCGTCAAGAACAGAGAGAAAAGAGAGAGGGGCTAGGGTTCTTCACAACGATGGAGACTTGGGCTGTTGTGATCGTCGTCGAAGGTTGCTGCTGCTATGATCGTCATCGAAGACTGCTACTGCTGTGATCGTTGTCGAAGGCTGTTGTGATCGTTGTCGTGAAGTCTGAAGAACACCTAGGAGTCGAAGACAGCAAACAACGAAGAATGGAGAGGAAAAAAGGTATTTTAATTTTTTTTGTAAATCCAAGCCATTGAAACGACGTCGTTTCAGTGATTATAGGGATTAGTCTCTAACCACAAAACGACATCGTTCCTTAAAAACAAAAATAAAATAGTTTTTACATGTATCATTCGTATCGTACCAATACATATCGTATCGTAAAAACGTATTGTATATTGGACGATACAATACAAAAACGATACAAAATTTGAAAATTACTATTTGTATCGTTTTGCCTGTATCGTACGATACATATCACGTATCATACGATATTGATAACTATGTTCCTGGGGCTGAATGGTGTTCTGTGCAATAGTGTTTAAAGGGGATTTTTGTCATTTAAAATGGCTACGAATCAAAAAGAACACATAATGGTAGTGTATCAAGAAGTTGATCATTGGACATATGCTTACTAGGTGCATATCTGATGGAACTGTAACCCATGTATCGAGTGTCCGACATTGGTGTTTGATGCATTTTGGAGAGTCCATGTAACTTAGGCTATTGATGTAGAACATGAAGGACTAGAAATCACAACATAGAAAGAGAAGAAGAAAGAAGAGGGGGTGAAAGGGGTTTACCTCATCCTTGGAAAGAATCGTGAAGTAACACATAAATTCTCCACGGAGAATCACTTTTTATTATATCACTCTCTCTCTAATTAAAAATAGTTGGGATTACACCATTATTTATAGGTCAAGTCCCGTACTAAAATAAAAACTATTTTCCTACTAAAATACTAAAAGAGTTTCATAATCAAACTCTCAAATCTCTATCCTACTAAAATTCTATAATAATTTATTAGTTAAACTTTAATTAATACTCCTAGTCAAACAAATATTTTCTAACTAATAAAATAATATTAAAACAAATAATAAAATTCAATTCTTCAATTTAAGCTCATTCAATTCTTTTTCGATCTCTATCAATTCTCCCTGACTGAAAAAAAATTTTCTCCGAAGAGTTGTTGTAGCAAGAATACTCCAAAAGAATTGACATCAGACGGTGAAACACATGTTCAAACCTGATCGCATAAAAGTAAGATTTCCCTTCAATAGCATAATATAGGATATCACAATGGGAGGAATCTATATTTCAAATCTTCATAACCTTCACATTTTGTTCCAAACAAAAGGACGGTGAGGATGTTAATGAAAAAGTAGCAATCCTATCTAAAAAAATTGCGCTTGAAACTTGTTTTTCATCTGTAGGAATACCCTTTGCAATTGGCTTGTCAAAATCAATTGTTGTAGGATGAGTAGAAGTAGAACTTTTGGGCTCATCAACATTGAATATCTTTGGTTTATCGTCATTCAATCGGATTGGAACTTGGAGTGGTGGAACTTGTGATGGTGGAACTTGAGGGCTGTGTTCAACCACTTTTTGATTGACAGTTGAAGAGACAAAGTTAAAACCTTTACTTGTTTTGGTTTCACAAATTGTAGCGAGCACAAGTTCTCTCAATGAATCGATGGATGCTTGAATTGTATCTAGTCTAGCATTCTTAGCCTTTTGTGAATCAACTTGTGCTTGGAATAAAACCTCCATTTTAGCATTTAATTTGATATTGGAAACCATATTGATTGGAAGATAATTTTAACAACTTTTTTTTTTTTTTGAAAATTTTGAGGTCAATCTATAATTTTAGAAAATTTTGGGGCTAAACTATAATTTCTAAAACATAGGGGCCAAAATGTAATTTCAAAAAATTTGGGGGCCAAAATATAATTTCAAAAACTTTTGGGGGCAAAAATATAATTTCAAAAACTATTGGTTGCAAAAATGTAATTTCAAAAACTCTAAAGATATATAATTTTAAAAGACTCTTTTGTGTAATTTCGTGAATTTGGGTACTATTTTGTGTTATGGGTTTTGTGTAGTGGGCGATTACTATTTTTTTTGTTAGACTTGATTCTGCAAAGTTTTTTTAGAAGGGGACTAAAACTTAAGGATGACAAACAGATGTCAAGAAGCATAACTACAATCGAGAATGATTGAAGTTGGGCTCTGATATCAAATTGATGTAGAATGGGAAGGACTAGAAATTACAGAATAGAAAGAGAAGAAGAAAGCAGAGGAGGTGAAAGGGGTTTATCTCATTCTCGCAAGGAATCGGTGAAGAAACATAAATTCTCCACGGAGAATCACTTTTTATTATATCACTCTCTCTCTAATTAAAATAGTTGGGATTACACTATTATTTATAGGTCAAGTCCTTTACTAAAATACTAAAAGAGTTTCATAATCAAACTCTCAAATCCCTATCCTACTAAAATTCTATAATAATTTTCTAGTTAAATTATAATTAATATTTCTAGTCAAACAAATATTTCCTAACTAATAAAATAATACTAAAACAAATAATAAAATTTAATTCTTCAATTTAAGCTTATCCAATCCCTTTTCAATCTCTATCACCTACACACATTCACCTTGAACTGACATACACAGACACACACCCCAACAGGGTCCTTGCAAATTTGATGATCATTGTGGATAGTTTCGTCATTGTACATAACAGTCATTGGAGATCATGAAAATTTCATGGTCAAGTTCGCTTTTTTATTTTGAGGCACATATTGAATGTCGAACTTCAAATACCATTGAATTGGCATGGTATCCATAACAATGTTTCTAATAGTTGCTTTGCTGGCTGTTGTGCGAAAACCATCTCTCTGGTGGCTTGTGCTACTTGAGCACATTTTTTGATGTCATTGGCTGTCTCATTTCCTTTTCCTGCTTTTTTTGGTGATTTGATTGATGCTCTGAATTTGACTAGTTCATGATTATATTTTTCACATTTCTGGACTTGTAAGAGAATGTCAGTTCAATGTTTTATCACGTATGAGTCTCTCTCTCTCTCCCTCAGTGTGTTGTTGTGTGTAATAATATTTTCCTATTTTGTGAATTGCATGCAGGGGTACCATAGAGATCTGCTAGAACATTGGGCTCCTCCTCCTCCTCTGCCTGGTGGTGCTATAGCCATTCTCCATCCGCCACCACCACCACCACCACCACCTTTTATTGTTGAAACACCAAATAAAACATCACCAAGCATTCCAATAGAAAGTATTGGAAGTACTCCAATAAAAAAGATCCCTACAAAGCGTGGTAAAGACAGGAAATCCAGGTCAAGGCGTCACCGCAAAGTTGCTGTTGGTAGTACGGATATCAGTTGAAGATAAAATTGTTAAGGCATATTCTTTCTTCCCTTCCGTCTGGAAAATAACTAGTTTCTGTGCTGGGAATTTTGCAAGATCAGTGGCTTAGGAGTGTTCAACGGATCCAGGCATCCTCCAATACAATGCTTTCCCTCAACAACAGACGATCCTAATGGATTCAAGTGATACAGTATTGGGGAAAACTGAGAGAAAGTGGCCTCAAGGGAATCCAAATTCATATTCCTCACACATCATCATTTACTCTTTTTTTTTTTTTTTCAAATCATCAAATTTGTCCATTTTTGGCTGTACATATATGTGTTTGAGTCCCCAATAATTATGGTATGGGGTCGTTGCCTTTTCTCAGGTGGTAACCCATATCTCTGTCTTACCAGTATAAGAGCTGTACTGTATCAGAAACCAATACTCAGTTGCTATGTTCACGAACAGCTACTGATGAAAATTTTTGATTTTACAGAAGTTACCAATGTCTTCATTTTCCCTATTAGGCTTGTGAAAACTTTAATCTTCTCTTTTGCATTTTTGTAGGAAAATTTTGATTATGCTATGTTCTTATTTTGATTAGTCAATTTAATTTTGTAATGTTGATTACTTGTGTACTGGAATATGTGCAAGTTATGAGGTGAAAGTGTGGAAGAATTAGAAGGTGGCAAAATATGATACTGACTTGTTAACACGATTTGAAATTAGAGAGTTTAGATTTTCTTTAAGTCGTCTATTTTGTAAACAAGTGAACACGACACGACACGATTTATATATGAACTGAACTTGATATGACATGATTTATTGGACATGAATTAATAAACAAATTGAGTATGAATCAATTATTTTTTGACACGAACTCGACACGGGAAAGTTCCAAAAATAACTATTTATTGCTCTCAGCCTGCCCAGAGAAGATTGAGGGGAACTACTGTTCCTATGAGGAGCTGTACTGAAGTTCCTGGAGCAGCCACTTAAAGTCTTAAACCACCTTTGCCCACTAAAACAGATTGTGTTGCTTTGTCAAGACTTAAAAGGTAGCTCCACCACTAAGTACTCAATCTTATAAGAAAATAATATTTTTTTTTGAGGGAATAAGTCTTATGAGAAAAATTTTGATTGTTCTAATTCGTTTGGTTTGTGAGAGTTTCCACATAATAGTCGACAGACTCGTGGTACTCAAACTCTCGTTAGATGAGAAAGGTGACTGACAGTTCCTTCAATAAACGTTAATTAAAGATCTCAATCAACTCAATCTAAAAAAGAATAGACCATCGTAAACTCCGGCGAAAGGCCTATGTGACCTGTTGGAGGTGAAGGTCCTAACTTGACCGTGAGTCATGGTATCTAAAAGGACATTGGCCTCCCGCCCGTTACAGCTCGTTGTACATTTCTTTAGCTGTAGTGTGTCAAATCCGATAATAGTCCATTCCTTGCACGTATTTTAAATTCATATTATAGCCAAAATTTACATTGTAGCCACAAGTTTAGCGGTCGTGTGATTGAAAAAATATTGGTTTATTAAAAAAAAAAGAGTCAAATTAAACTGTTAATTCAAGTTGAGTTGTATTCTAATCGTTTTTTACGAGCCCAAATTTAGACTAAACCTAAGCCTAGTTCACGGATTGAGCCCAAACCATCAGAAAGCAGGTCAGACTTAACTCATGATATCAGTTTAATCCAAAACTCAAGAGTCCAAAAAGAGTCGGCGCACTTGAGAGAGCAATCATCAAGATAGTCATTACTCTAAGATAGTGTATATCCTCAATTGTAACTATCCTCTCCGATAAATTAGTATTTTGACATTCATGCCACCGCCTCAGCGAAAATTCTGTGTCTATAAATTATAAGGTCCTTACATGAGATCTCGCACACTTTATTTTGAGTGTCCTCTTACTCTCTCTATTATTATCACGTTGTATTCTTTTATTAATAAAGTTCTTTAGCTATCGTTGTCGTCTTTTTGTGCATAAATCTACTTTTAGTCATCATTAATTTTCAATCGGTGCTAGTTAGTGAAGAACTTGAAAATTTGACTTGATTTAGAACTGAGACGAATTTAACACACTCAAAAACGGGTAGAATCAACTGAGATTTGGATATATAGAGCACATTGCACATGGGTGACAATATTTGATAATTAGATTAATATTAAAATAATAGACAAAAAAATATCAAATATACACAATCTTATTCTTACACGTGAATAAATTATTTTTGATACTCAAAATTTTAAGGTCTAAAATACAATAAAATAATTTATTTTTGACATACCATCACGATTGTCAATCCAATTAGTACTACTTGATCCAAAAATTCAGTTATTATACAAAAAAAAATGAATAAAATTAAAATATTTCAATTCCCAGAGGCCGTAACCCCCACTCACCAATTCAAATTCACTAAACCCTACACTTGCTCACTATGGCTCATCGTCGTTGTCTCCAAACTTTAAGCCGTCACCCTCCATTCCTTCTCTCCTCAAACCCATGTCTCCATTCCCTCAAAACCCTAAACCCTCATCACCCACAACCTCTAAACCTGAATTCAACGAATTACCCACAAATCCTAGCTACCAAATTCCACCACATTTTCACCAATCCCAGATCCAATTTCAATACCCAATTCCCAAATTTGTCGAAAAGCTTTTGTTCTGGTAAGAATAACGAGAGCGATGATGACGAAAGTGAAGATGCAGAGAGTGGTGATGAAGTTGATGATGATGAGAATGTTTCGACGTCTAAGTCACTGGAGGAGAGAGAAATTGAGGCGGCTGGTATTGGGTATAAAGTGATTGGGAGGCTAGAGAAGTCGGACCAGGTTTTCAAACCTTACGAGCCCGTTTTCGCTGTTGTTCAGGTTCAGTTTTTCAGATTTTGATTTATTTTGTATTGAAATTCAGTAACGGGGATTAGCGTATGTGCATATTGTTGAAGAATTCATTGAGGTGGTGAGTGATTGCATCTGATTGTTATGTGGTTTTTGTAGATTGGATCACACCAGTTTAAGGTGAGCAATGGGGATAGCATTTTTACAGAGAGGCTGAAATACTGTGAAGTGAATGATAAGGTCAGTTGAGTTTATATTTGCTTACGATATGCTTATTTTTTGGGCTAGTTTGTGTTCTTTGGTGAGTCTTGTTGTATTAGTGATTACCACCGTTTTGGGTGTAGTAAAATTCCCAAATTAATAGCCTCATGGTTGTGGAATGGAATGGGAGAGCAACCACTTTGTGCACTTTATGCCAGAAGTTATATCCATACTCAATCCACTCCTTGCAACACTCTTGTTTAACAGGAATTAAGCAGAGTGATGACCTTTTTCTCTCACTTGTGTTGTGTGTGATACAAGATTTAGGCTGTGTTTGGACTTTGGATGGCCTTGACAATTTTGATGCAAGATATGAAGGTAAAAAATGTTGTAATGCAACATGGGTTCCATGTTGATTCATTAGTTTAGTAGTTTATGAAAAAATGAGCACTCTTCTTTTTGATCTGGCTCCATTTGCCATTATGGGTATGTGAAAAGTTGACGTATAACATATAATATCTTGCTTAGATTCAGTTCTAATGGGATGTCGAAATATGAACTTGAAAATTTTCATTTTATAAGTGTGCTCGTTCGGAAGACACAGCTTTATTCTGCTTATTGAGATATAGATTTGTAGAACCACGTCATGAACTTTAGCCCTTGGGTTTACCTTCTTAGCAGTGAAACAAAATGTTTCCACATTCTTTGATAGGACTTAATGGGAACTTTAAGGCTTTTACCTTGATTTGTACATGTTACAGTGATTCCATACCATGCAGCATATGTGATTCCTTCAGTTACTCTCGCCAAACCGTCGGTGGTTCCATATGAATATGAATATCAGTTGATGCTTCTATGACATGTTCTATTGCAGCTGATTTTAAACAGGGTTCTTATGATGGGCTCGAAAATGCAGACGATCATTGGCCGGCCTATGTTGTCTGATGCCACAGTTCATGCTGTTGTTGAAGAGCATGTAAGATTGACATCTAGTATATCCCTTTTACCTGCCTTCACTTTGTTTACAAAATAGGGTTGTATTTCCCAATTACTGAAAATAATAAATTCTGCATGTTTGGATGTATGGGAATTAACCTTCCAGGTATTTAAACTTAATAGAGCTTATTTGATGGTTTGGACATGTGCTGTAATATACCACTATAAAGACCTCGGTTCTGGCTCAATTTGGTAGTGGATGGTATTAAATAGTGTGGACGTCAGTACTATATACTGAATTCTATTTGCTGAATGGAACCATGACTTGTTTAAAAAATATTGAGGGTTCTTTTGTTAGCCTTTGTAGTACAAGGCACTTCAACATTTACGGAGAACAAGAAAACATCAAATAACTAATGGAATATGTAGTCTCATGAATATACAAGCTGTGTTGATCATAAGAAGATTGGCTATTTGATAGACGACTGCTCCTTTTAATTTGGCAAGTGCACTTTTTATCAGAAATTTACTAGTTCTCTTCTGATCAGCTAGTTTGGTCAGATTGATAACTGATATCATCATAATAGCAGGGAAACTGATTAGCTTTACTCTTCCAGGGCATGTATTTTATCTTTGTTTTCTATTGGTGACATTGTGCCTTAGGTGGAATATGATTTTTCCAACAAGCCTCACATTGTTGACAAGGGCTTTTTCCCAAGTGAAATGTAACTGAATTTGCTTGCACCTTCAATTTGCCATTGAAGAGTCATTTCGTTGGTTTTTTCAGGCATTGGATGCGAAAGTACTCATTTTCAAGAAAAAGAGAAGGAAAAACTATCGTCGAACTAAAGGGCATCGACAGGTATGACGAATTTTCGTCAGATTGATTTGCAATGTTAAACTTGGTTGTATCCCCCACTTCACTCCCCTTTCCCCTGCCACAACCACCACTCTACCCAACACCTAACAGAAAAGTGTTGGTTAGGTTATTGTTCTTACCATTATGTTTCTTTCAGGAATTGACAAAGCTGAGGATAACAGATATACAAGGAATTGAAAAGCCCGAAAATGCAGAATCTGGAAAGACAGTAATGGCATCTGTTAAGAAGGTAGAAAGGGTAGCAGTTGCTGTCTAGGAGTTGATTTTTCCCATAGACTAGTGTACTACTTGTTAACTTCCTTTTTTTTTCTCTATTTATTTCTAATTGATGTCTCATATTGTCATGATTATTGAGTTCTGACTCAGATGCTGCTTGAAGTGGCATCTCTTATTCATGTTTTGCCAATGTACATTTTGGACATCATATCGGGCAAAAACCCAGCATCCATTAGCATGCGTTGTAGGCTTGGTTTTGTCGGGTCATGTCGGTTTTTATTTAATAACTCATACGGTCAATTCTTGAAGCCTTTGGAGTAGAAATTATTCGTGAAACCGTGGGAGTAGCACATATTCTTTGGTAGCAAGATGATGTCCTTCTAAAGCATTTTATCTTTATGCTAATTCTTTTACTGTGGAGTTTTGCTCCATTTAGAGTTTACAGTGTATGTATCATGTAGTTTGATTTAAAGAACAAAAACACTAGCATCAATATACAAATGCATATTGTAAAAGGGATTTGTTACAAGTATTTTGTAGCCTATGCTTGTTGCATTTTCATTGATTGACAAAATAAGGTATGGAATCGAAAAGTAATTTTTTAGTATTATTATTGGACCCAATTAGCTATATGCAAAACGAAAATGGAGATGAGACTGAGTGACATGGAGAAATAACAAAATCCTCACAGGGGAGGGCCTGTAATAGTGAGAAGATCAAGGACATTGTGAAGAGAGTAAAGAAGAAGAAGAAAGTAAATTATTGCCGCAACAAAACCAGCAATGAGAGCTCCTTTGACATGATCACAAAACTTGGGGACTTGCCCACAGATTGGTAGCCAACCAGCATGACTGTCTCCTTTCTTACCCACCTGAGCTATGCCCAAAGCTGCTGATATGCTTGAATCAAGCATTAATGTTATAACCTATAAAAGTTTACAACAAAATCTGTATAAGCCCATTTATATGTATAGATGGATCCAAAAAATTATATGGTGATTTAGAAAAATGATTGTCAGCCTAGGACGGGAGTGGAGATAATGTTTTTTTTCACAGTTGGGGTCATTAATAGATTAAAGTCTTAAATCGCCTTATCTATCCTCCCGAGGAGAAGTTTGGTTTCAAATCCTGAGCAGGGGTAGAGTACGTCATGCTAATATGCTGGAGCTGTGTTCTATGTCAACAATATATAGTTGAAGAACAAAGAAAGAATTTTCCAATACCAAATCTGATATGCTTGAGCTGTGTTCTATGTCAACAATATATAGTTGAAGAACAAAGAAAGAATTTTCCAATACCAAATCGAAAACCAACTCGAGGCGCCAAAGCAAATTCTTGGAAGGAAGAAAGAGAAGAATGAAGCTATACCCACTTGCAATTGCATTGACACCCACAAAGTACCTGCACAAAAAAAGTTTCAGCACATAGTCATCAAGTGTCCTCACAGTTTGATGATCATGAAGAAATAAAAACTCTGTTCGTTGACCATGATCGCTTCTACAAAAAAAACATACTTGAATGATGGTGTATTTGTATACTTTGCTTCGAATGTCACGTTCAAAACCGTAGCAGAGTCGTGGCTTGTGGCCATGATAATTGCTGCTAAAGTTGTTGCAACCAAGGCCATGAGCCTAAGCACAAAGATGGGAATCCTCTTGGCCTTAGTCATAGAGAGAGAGAGAGAGAGAGAGAGTTACAGTATCAGATGAGCATAAACTGTTTGTTGAAATGATAATGAGAAGGACAATGAAGCTTTTAAATGTCAAAACAGTGCATACATGAGTTTGAGTTTCGGAAGAAGGGGTGGAGCGAGGAAGCTTTGTGTTAGGAAAGACAGATAAAGAGGTGGTGAGTCGCCTTGCCAACTTCTATGTTTTTGGTAACCTAATGACTGAGCAATCTTTTGTCATATAAGAATCTAGGACCACACTATGGTACCCACAAAAAAATACGGGTACCATACTGAAAAATTAATCTTAACCATCGATCTTGTGTTGATTTATTTATGATTATTGATCTTAAAAATAATAAAATAATAAAACATAAAACATTTTATACGTGTCATATTTTTAACGGTAAAAAATTAGAGGTATAATATCCAAAAATAATACACTTGAACTCATTGGTACTTGTTATGGATAATACCTTTTCAGTGCTGTAGACTTGTAGTTTGACCCTAGAATGTAATAATACCAATTGTACTCATTGGTACTTCTTATGGATAATACTAGAATGATAAAAAGAAGGGACCAAATAAAACGGCAAGAGTACTATTCTATTATGTTAATGCCCATTACTTGGTTCTTTTTTTTAAACGGATTAATTCATAAACCATCATAATTGAGTTGATCTATTCAACTTGTTTTTTTAATCGGGTCAATATGAATATGAATTTTGTTATACGGGAAACGGACTTAGTTAAATATGATTCTTATGTGAACTTTACTATGCAAGGCTATAAATGGTAAGTACAAGATAATTAAATTTTGATATAATATAATTTAGAAAGAATATGATGCATTGTCGCTAATTGGAGAAAGTACATGGGGGAGGTACAATACTATCGATAGTAAGTAGTACTGTACCAAAAATTACAAGTTTTTAAGGTTGAGATCGATATTGAGAATTCATTATCTATCATAAAGGTTGAGATCGATATTGAGAATTCATAATCGATCATTGGTATATGTGATGGATAATGGTCTTTCTTTGAATAATTATAATTTTTTTTTGCAAAATTATAATTTTACTATAAAAAATAGTAACCAGCAATACAAGAAAAAATAAATAAATGGGTACGGTATGACAATTTTCTGCTGAATTCGAGATGGTCAGTTCAACCACCCACCTTGAACCCTAACGGCTCTCATTTGTTAGGTCACTAAATCTATTATCTGAGGTATTTCCAAACAACATGGACATATATAAATGTGGGGTCTACTTATGCTCTATTTTTTGTCTAATAAAAACGTGATATGTGTAAAATATTTTATTTATTATTTTATATTATTTTTAGAATTAATGAAATCAAATTAAAATTTATAATTGTTGATTAATTTCAATACCGCACCAATTTTTTCCTCATCAATATTTTAGCCACATTCATAAATGTGGGTTTAATTATAAAACCAAAAATTTACATTTTAATATCAAAGTGAGATCTCCTCTATTTTTCGCTGCTACATCTATGGTCAATTCAAGTGTAACTCCCTGTGTATAATAAATCTGTGACTAATACATCTTAGTTTTGATGTCGTAGATCATATGATAAATTGAAACCCTGAACATTTGTTAACTCTCTCTCTCTCTAATCCTTAGGGTAGTCCATTAATTGAATCTAACATCTAGTAATTCAAAAGTTTCAAATTCAAGATTTCTCATACTCTTAAAGACTAGTTAGGCCTATCAATTATATCAGGTGAGATGGGCTTGTCTCAGGTCTTAAAAGGCTCGTGTCAAAAAATATTTCACTCATACCTAATTCACATTGTGTTATATTGGGTTCATGTCACGTATGAATCATGTAAAATCAATATACAAACGAGTCGTATCATATATTTCTTTTTATTAGTTTCACTATATCTATTCATTTATTAAAATTGTATCATGTCGAGCTTACTCGTTTATCAAATGATTGGCTTAAAGAAGACTCAACCTTCTAATTGTGTATTGTGTTAACGGATCGTGTCATATTTTAACACTTACCGGAGCCAATCATCCTTATTTTTTTAGGAACATATTTAAAACCCACTTAGACTACAGTGATCGATATTTGTTTTTTGTGAAAATTAGGGGTGGGTCCTCCTAAATGGACTTGTTTGGAGATAAGTCCAACAAAGAAACTTATTTGATTTTAAGTCCACTTTTTTCAAGTTTACTATATTACCCCTACCTTTTGAAAAAGGCATAATAGACGTCTGCCTTGACCGTCTTCTACACAGACGTACAAAACTCATTCAGCGATATACACTCCTGAATAATAGGCTTCAAATCCAACAATAACCGTCCATGCAGCAAAGTTTCCTTCTCTGTACAAAAGGTTTTTTTAAGGGTTTTAAAGAAATCTTTACATGATTTATCATTTCCTCTCTCTCAATTCCCAAAACTCAGGAGCAAAAATCAAAGAAACTAGAGACAGAGAGAGAGAGATGGGGGCACTGACGATAACAATCATAGCAATAGCGGGACTGACACTGTGTTGGATAGCCATAAAAATGGCTTGTAAACCATGTCTTAAAAAGGGACGTGAAACCATAAATCGCAACCTCAACCCATATTATGACCCCAACGATGACACCATTCGTGCCCTTCTCAATCCAAACCCACCAGCTTCGGCTGATGAGAATGACTCTGATGCCACTTCTAGTGTCGTCAAAGTCATTTGATTATCATCCCTGATCCTCAATTCAACCATCACATTGGCCGTGCATTTTGGTACTCTCCCTTTGCACAAACCCTTTTCAATTTTTGTCTTAAATGTATGTTTTTGTGTGTTTTTCTTCTTTTTTTCTTTTTTTTTTTGGAGAATGAGGAGAGAAAATGGACGAGAAAAGAGGGTTCTTGTGGGTTTTCTTTATTGTCTGTGTTTTGTGGTGTTTCTGTGTAATTGAGAGATTGTTTGTGTTGATGATGATTTGACTTATATAAGTTTAATAACTAGCTTATTGATCTAAAAAAAACATGATTTATCGTTCAAACTGTCAACTGATTTTTATTTTTTTTCATTCATAACCATAAAATTGAGATTTCCTTGTTACTATATTAAAGTGTTATGTTTTTTGATTTTATTGTTTTGTCGTTGTGTAAGACATTTGAAATTCCTTAATTGTATGTTTGTGAAATATATCATGTTACTATGTGAGGACTTGAAAAATGTATCTCATAATGTCGATATCTTGATGTTCTTGATTGGTTTTGAGTGTCTTAATTTAACTATTGACAGTATGTTACTATTAAAAATTTTGTAAATATTTAATTTGTGAATCGTATTTTCACTATAATTTTTCAAAAATTGATGTTACTATAAACACCATATAGCCTTGTAGTTTGTGAAAGTCGATGTGTTACTGAGCACAAAATTTTGTTGTTATTGTGAAAGTTAAAAATGTATGTTACATAATATACGTCTAAAAATGTTTGCAATTGGTAGTGAAAAGTATAAATTGGGGTTGGATTTGTGTAACTATTTGGGTTTCTTAAAACAATTCTATTTTTATTCGTTGTGTTATTGTGAAAAGAACACGAGGTTGCGGTGGACCGATACACTTTGATGCACCTTAATTTGTTTCCAAACTTTTGAGGGGGTTATTGCTTGCGTTAAAGTGTTGATTGAGAATAAGTCCTTTTTATTCAACAACTGAAAATGATGTTCATGAACTAGTGTAATCATGATGTCACAAGAGTACTCAATAGTTTCAGTTACTTTAGGACAATGTTATGTACAGTGCAATCTTCAAACCATATAATTGTAACATACAGGCACACAAAATTATGTTTGTCTGATGTTACTGAGATTTAGTTAAGAATTTAATGTTACTAACTTGATGTTACTATATTTATATCATGTAATTTGGTGGAATTGTTAATGTTACTCTTGCATAAAATTTTTCATAATTAGTTTATATCAATTACGCTTGGTATCATGTTACTATATTTTGTATGTTACTATTTTGTATGTTACCATATGTTGTGTGTTACTATTTTGTACCATGATACTATATGTTTGTGTAGGATATTGATTTTACAACTATCTAATATATTCATATTGATATTACAACGTCGTGTTATAGGTTGATGACAATTACAGGAAATAGAAGAGAAATTGAAACCAGTACAATTTAACGTTCTACGGATACATATGGTAACCACATTCATAAACCATAGGAATGCATGAACTGTTGAAAACTACAAGACAAGATCAAGATTGAAAAAAAGATACCAAAAAATAAAAATTTGTGATGTTGTAAAGCTATTCATTCTTTAGCTAATTGTAAGCTCGGTTAGAAGTTGGTTGTAATTGTTTACTGGTTGGTACTTTGTTTAAATGGAGTATTCAAACATGTAGAATTGTGGTTTGGATGTTACATCTTGATATTAAATTGATATGTTGATGTAGGTTTGAAAATTTGTTTGTAATAGAACGTTTGGAAAACAAAGAAAATTCTGTCCAATTTGTAAGCGCAACAGTAACATGTTAAAAAATGTTCCAACTAACATAACCATTTAATTTTAGAATGCTAAAATTGTGTTGTATGTGGAATTGATATGTTAAAATTCATTGTAATTATTCATTATTAAGTGAATTTGTAACATTGTTGCACGATTGGTTACTGTATACAATGATCATTAAATAGTAACATTGACAGTAACATCATTAGTAACACAGGGTCTCACGACTGCTTCTATCACCTTCGAACCCCCTACCAAACACAAAAGCCTATTATTCAAAATTATAACATACTAAAATTAATTAAGAATTCGAATTTAAATTTGAATTGATAAGAAAAACTTATGATTTGAATTAATTCGTCAATCAGGTTTCTATATATAATTAGCAAAGTATATACATTCCATATATTATTTATTTAATTATTAGGATTTTTAATAAAAAATAATTTTCATATATAACTTAAACTAAGGTTTTTATATATATTTTAAAGATCTGATATATTGAACATTTTATAATTAGTCAAAATTAACACCGTTTGAGATAATATTGAGATTTAAAAAAAAAAGTAGAATTAAGTACTTACATATAAATTTAAACATGGATTTAAACTCCAATAAATTTTTTTGTCGGACTTATCTTCAAACAAATCCACATCGGGTGGCCGGCTTTCAAATTTCTCTTATTTTTTTTTAAAAAAATAGTGAGAGCAAATCAAAAAAAAAAAATTCTCTCTCTCTCTCACTCACAGAGATATCAATGGCGGAGGAGATATAGATATATCCTTGTTAAATCGACTGGGTTTAAGCGAGAATTGAAAAATGCAGTCAAATCTTCGTATCTTTAGAACCCTAATCCACCGAATCAACAACATTAATAACGGCACGACGCGATTGTACTACACAAATCGACTGAACAAGGAGTCATTGTACTCTAGAATCAGTCCTCTAGGAAACCCTAGCCTGAATTTGACCCCAGAGCTCGATGAATGGGTCGAGAAAGGCAAAAAGGTTCGATTCGGTGAGCTCAAGCGCATCATTCACGATCTCCGCAAGCGCAAACGCTTTTCTCAAGCCCTCCAGGTACAGTAAAACCCCAATATCTATTTGTGTCTGGTTTTAGTGTCAATGTAGAATAAATTTGTATTCCTTCTACCTTATATATATATATGTAATCACACATAAACACGCATATGTACATGTCAATGGGGGTGATTTTGTGATATGGGTTTTGTAAATATTGGAATTTTGGGTGGAGAGACTGACGTTGAGATGTATTGTTAGATAATAGGCAAGAGGAATATAACTAGTCTAGAAGCTGAGAATTATGCAATGTAAGGGTAAAAGGCTGTGTCGGGCAGCATTGGAATCTTGATTTTGCTTCTGGTATTGAAAGAAAATTAGTTCATGATTTTAACCAATGGCTGTCCTCATCCATTCCCAACCCCCAAATTCTGCACTTTCGGTTTGCAGTGAAATTGTGTGTGAAAGAATTGCCTTTAGCATCTTTGAGGAAGTTATGGCGTGAAAAGAAAAATCGAATATTTGGTATTTTCTTGGCTTATCTAGGTTGGAAAATGATTTACATATAGAATGTTTTAGGAAAAAAATTTGTACTATCAGTACTGGTGTGGCTGTGGCTTTCTTGAAATGTAACGGCCATTGATTATTTTGTATGGTATTGCTCTTTGGATTGTGGGAATTGGTTGTCATAGATCATGTTATTTAAGATAGGCCACTGGGAAAAAATTGTGATGTTTCTAAATCTCTATTTAGTTGGAGAGAAAAGGGAAATCAATTTATTACATGGAACAGTATCCTCGAGGAACCTGCACTCACTGTTGGTTTGATATCCCTGCCATCCAAGGGAGGTGGAGAGAACAAGACTTCAAGTCTCATCCAAGGGAGGTGGAGAGAACAGGACTTCAAGTCTCAGTTAGGACATGGGCATGTCTGCATGTATGAAGTACTAATTAACAATAGAATCTTTATAGTTGTTCCTTTTCTTTTCTGTTTTTTTGGTGGGATAGTTGTTCCTTTTCTCAACAATGTACATTGGTGAACACTATCTTAGAGCTTCAAGTTTTACATATTTCAGGGACTAACAAGTAGAATCGTCTAGTGATAGCCTTTGCCTAGTATTTCCTTGGAAAAAATTCTCACACATCATGTTCAATATCTACCAATTGAGGACCATAGTTTCAAGACAAAAGAATGTTTCCAAAGATGGCTATTATTATTTTCATAGGAAGCGGAAACTTTTATAAAATAGAGTAAAAAGCACGATGTATTGGACAAGAAATCCACCCGTAGATGGCAGAAATGCAACAAAAAGAAGGAAGAGCAAAACTAAAAAAGACAATAAGCAAGTTGTATAGGTTTTATGATTTAGAAAAAAGTTACATCGGTTTCATGAATTCTTCACTAGTTCACTTAAACGTAAAGGTACCCTACTCTCATTGAAAACACGATATGTTTTGAATTTTTAAGTTGGGGAAGTGGACTCAAAAGTGCAATAACATTTTGCTTCCCACATCATCGCATGTCCTTAGCAGCTAAACAAAACATTAACAAAATGAATAAGTCAACCAGAAAATAGTCGTTGATTTTGGTGACCAGGTGCTTTGTTCATAATATCTCGATTTGTGATGGTGTAAGACTTTATTGTGCAGGTTTCCGAGTGGATGAATAAAAAAGGTATCTTTTCATTTACGCCAATTGAACATGCAGTGCAGTTGGATCTCATTGGTAAGGCCCATGGGTATGTTCATGCGGAAGGCTATTTCAATAACTTGATGGACCAAGAGAAAACTGATAAGACATACGGTGCTCTCCTGCATTGTTATGCCCGACAACGCCAAACTGACAAGTCCCTGTCTCATCTGCAGAAAATGAAGGAGAAGGGCTTTACTTTGTCACCCCTTACTTACAATGACATTATGTGCCTTCACACAAATATCAGTCAACATGAGAAGGTCCCTGAGATTTTAACCGAGATGAAGGAAGATGGAGTTCCCCCTGATAATCTGAGCTACAGAATCTGCATCAATTCATATGGAGTCAGATCAGACATTGAAGGAATGGAAACAATTTTGAAAGAAATGGAGAGCCAATCACGCATTGTCATGGACTGGAACACATATACAGTTGTGGCAAATTTCTACATTAAGGCAGGCATAAAAGATAAGGCAAATCAATTCCTAAAGAAAGCAGAGGAGAGGCTAGACAATAAAGATGGTCTTGGCTACAACCATCTTATCTCACTCCATGCTCAGCTGGGAAATAAGGGCAAGGTCCACAGGTTATGGGATCTTGAGAAGAGTGCTTGTAAGAGGTGCATCAACAGGGATTATATAAATATGCTGGAATCTCTGGTGAGGCTTGGCGAACTCGAAGAAGCAGAGAAATTGCTGAAGGAGTGGGAGTCATCTGGAAACTGCTATGATTTTCGAGTACCAAACACCATCATTGTTGGGTATACTAACAGGCACTTATACAAAAAAGCTGAGGCAATGCTTTTAGATGTGATGGAGAAAGGAAACGCTCCAACACCAGATAGTTGGGGCAGGGTTGCAGCAGGGTACCTGTATAAAGGTGAGATGGAGAAGGCTTTGGAATGCATGAAAGCAGCACTTTCTTTACATGTGAAAAATAAAAGATACAAGCCTAACCTTAAGGTAATTACAAGCATATTGAGTTCACTAGGCGAGAAAGGCAGCATTGAAGATGTTGAAGCTTTCATTGATTCCCTGAGGACTGTTTTCTCAATAAACAGACAGATGTATCATGCCTTGATGAAAGGTTACATCAAAAGTGGTAAAGCAGTTGATGGACTTTTAAACAGCATGAAAGCTGATCAAATAGATGAAGATGAAGAAACAAAGATGATTCTAGGAATGAAGCAGAACACAAGTTAAAAGTCTGAAACCTATTATTTACTTCCATGGCATGACTGAATGTTGCCCTCAGTGATCTCTGTTCTAATGACTCTGGATTTTAACCCACACAGGATCGTCCTTTGTCCCATGAGAAAATAACCGGAAAGAAACTGAACACGCAGTCATGTGTTTTCCTAGGGAGACCATCTTGCCAACTTACATACATAGAGGATCAAGGGCCCTCTTGTTTTGGAAACAAACTCTATGCTTTCATGCAAGGATTTTGAACTTTTGTCTCTCTACTCATTTACAAAGGAACCGATGCTAACATGTTTGATAGGAAGGATATACAAGTCGAAGGAAAGAAAGTTAGAGGAATGCATTTATGGGAAAGAAACCTTATTTGCCTATGGGAAGAGAGATGAAATGCAAGAAGTATGTGTTTCTTTTACATTCGATATAACTTCTCTATCATATTATAGGACCAAATTAATATCCATATTAAGAAATATTAAAACAAATATCATATGTTGTAGGACATGTACATCTTTCCTATTACTTTTTCGTCTAATTTTTGTGAGATCGAGTTTGATCAACTGAAATGAAGACTCATTTTTTTAGTTTAATTTCCTTTCACATTTCCTTATTAACAAAACATGATGTGCAATCTATCCTTTCTATTTTTTATCTCTCCACTTTTTCATTACACGGGCATTTAATCATTATTCGGCTTTAGAGAGTTGATCTCAGATCATTCTTAAGAGTGAGCAGTAACTCCTTAACCACTCTGACAAAACCAACTCATAAACCATATTTTGTAAAGCATAGGAAGCCATAATCATCATTTGAATGGTTGTGTGTGTGTGTGTGTGTGTGTGTGTGAGAGAGAGAGAGAGAGAGAGAGAGAGACTCTTTTCACTCCTTTCCCCAAAACTACACTATTTTAGAGAACAGAACAATAGGACTCAGAAGTGTCACATGAAAGGTTTGTCACACACCAAGAACAAAGGTTTTCATGTCATATCCTAGATTGGCGCATAAAAAGATCATATCGTTAACAGCACCCATGACTATGACTTCAGTAAAATTTCAAGTTTGTGGCCACTGACTCCACTATATATCCCCAGAAATAGTGGTGACAAATTTGGGAACTCAAAGTTGCAAACTAATGTATCATATGTAGCATTAACACACGACATACGCGGGAAATATTGGAGTCGGGGTTCATCTGCCGCCATCTGATGAGTTCCATCGATCTCTAATCAGAGAGGGTAGACTTGAGCTCGCCATTGTTTCGTAGCTCCAATACTATGTCACAGCCTCCTATCAACTCACCATTGTAATAGAGCTGTGGGAAGGTAGGCCAGTTTGAGAAGGTCTTCAGCCCTTGCCTCACTTCCTCATCACTTAAAATATCGAAGGACCCGAACCCTACCCCCTCCTCCTTTAAGGCATTTACCACCTTGGAGCTGAAACCACATCTTGGAGCATCAGGGGTACCCTTCATGAATAGCATTACAGGTGAAGAATTGATCAGTTTCTTCAAGCGATCTTCGAGAGACTCTCCCTGAGTGATCCCTTTCTCAGATAAGACATTTTTAAGTTCTTCAGTCTTCTGCATTTCCAACACAATATCTGATCCACCAAGAAGTTCACCTTTTATGTATAGCTGTGGATAACTGGACCAGTTTGAGTACACTTTGAGCCCTTGTCGGACTTCATCATCAGTCAGAATGTCAAAACTCTCGAAATCCACTTTCTCTTCTCGAAGAATATCAACTACCTTCCGGCTGAACCCACATTTGGGTTCATCAGGTTTTCCCTTCATAAACAGTATAACTGGGCTTGAATTGATCAGACCTTCAATTCGGGAGGCAAGAGTTGCACTCAAGCCAGAAGGCTCGGAGATGCCACCCTTCCCCCCACCAATTTCAGTCCCTTTTGCCACACTGGAATCAGAGATTTCTATCCCATGATCCCTAAAAACTTCTTTTAGCTCACCACTCTTATGCATAGCAATTGCGATATCACACCCGCCAAGAAGCTCACCTTTGCAATAGAGTTGAGGAAACGTGGGCCAGTTGGAGAACCTCTTCAAACCTTCACGAACTTCACTGTCTGTCAGAATATCGAAGCTCCCAAATTTGACCTTTTCTTCTTTCAAAATTCCAACAACTTTTTGGCTAAACCCACATTTGGGTTCTTCTGGGCTTCCCTTCATGAAAAGTATGACTGGGTGAGAACCAACAAGCTGCTGCAGTCGTTTTTCGAGTCCATCGCCCTGTCCAGAAGTCAATTGATTTTCCACTTGAGACGAACCATTTTCCTTAGCAAATTCCTGGACTGTTTCAAGAACAGTGGGTCCTGCAGCCATCCCTAGACTAGCAGGAGCTGCAGGTTCCCCGGGTTTGATCGACCCAACAACTTTAGCAACTTTGTTGGCCAAATTAGCTGGATCAGCACCCTCCAATGTATCGACAGGCTTTCCATCCTAATTAAAAAGTACAGAAAATGAAGTCAGATACGATGAAACATGCAGCAAAACATTAAATGTGAAACAACAAAATCCATCCTCATGTCCAATTGTTGGTCTTAAGAAGGGAATATAACATGAGATACAGAAATGTTAAACAATCATGACTTCGTCAAACCAGGGCATATTTGAAGCTTTTTGTGCCTTGATTTTGCTTTGTGGACAATTAAAATAACTTTATAAATTTCAATATATAATTCAAAATGCTTATAAATAAAGCTTGTTCGAGACTTATGGACTTCATAAGATAGACGAACTGCTAGCCTACCAGCATATGTGTAAGTATCAAGGCCCCCCAAAAAAAACACACACATACACACCAACAAAAATGAAAAGAAAAGAAAAGAAAACAGAAAAAACAAGAATGGATGCAAAATCGAACCAAAAAACTAACATTCTAATTCCATTTCTTTTCATTAGCTGAAAAGGCAAAACCATGCCTACAAGAGACAAACAACAAGAAGAGATCGCTTAAAATTTCTCTATCAAGGTCACCTTAAAGAAGACAAAGTATGGCACAGCAGAAATTGAGTATGCCTCAGAAATCTCTGCTTGTTCTTCAGCTTCAACCTGAAAAGTCATGAGCGAAGTAATCAATAATTAGTACACGGAGAGGAGATGAGCGTCATGCATAACCAAAACTACCACATACTTCTATATGACAAGATAAACCAAATGCTCAAGTGTAAAATTCGCCTGTAAAAGAAAAGATGGCAAAAAACCATGGTAAACCAATTCCATTCATAAAGACTTGCAAATGACAAGATGAGACATAAGAACATCATTTAAACATCCCAAAGAATATTTGTGCTTCTGTTTTCTTCCTGGAACTTGAAATGAATAATAAAGCATCTTCAACAGGTGTACAAATGCATTAACATTGCACAATTTGCATTCCAGCAACCACTTAGAACAATGTTTTGTGACACTAAATGGCCAGTAAACATTAAACAAAAATTCGATTATTATTATAACCGAAGGTGGAGGGTTCATGGAAGCAAAGATGCAATAGTGTTCTCTCTCCTTGATGCATTAAGAAAATCCAAGTTTGCGACTGGAATATCAGTATGGCCATCCCAAAAAAAAGTGTTTTCTGAAGAAAAACCTAGAAAATGTCTTCTTGCAATTTCTGGTCCAAGTAATTCAAAGTTTTGCATGATTACCCAAGCATAATCATGGTTACCACAATTCACAAAACCTTTAGCGGCCCACAATCTGGGTACATCAATCCGAAACATGGTGGATTCGCGATCCAGATCACCAAAATTGACGACCACAAATTTCAATACTAACCCTAAATCAATTCGCTTTAAATCATGTAATACAAATATAAAATACATACTAATTGACCACATGTATATAGATTTATAATTATATATTGTTTTAGATAATAGAAAATCAAGCACAATTATAAAATAAATGGTAACTAACTTAGTGTTTATGAATGTTTGCAATATATAATGTTGTATAGTAGTGAAAATGATCTACATAAGAGTTCCAAAACAAATTGTGATTCAAAATACCGTACCAGCTAAAACTACCCCCATCGTACCACGTACCTAAGAAAGTGTCGTATCATATACCCGTACCTGTATGATTGTATCACGTACCAAAGCGACCCATGATTCAAGTAACATTGAGCATAATGTTATTATATATGAGGGTGTGTGTGTGTGTATTCTTTCTCGATATGACTGCAGGGAATAAATAGTAGTACCATCTACAAAATTCTAAACTAAAGCAGAGCACCCTTTCAACATTCATGATGGATAAAGTTTGGGCTTCTAAATCATTCGTGCAAATATCATTAGCTACACCATCCACAACACTAAAGTAGCAAATGATGAAGCCAAAAATAATACCACTCCGAAATGAGCAAGACAATCGCAGGCTTCTTCGACTGTCACGAAGTGAGATTTAAAGAATACAATGAAAAAATTCTTCTCTCTCTCTCTCTCTCTCTTCAGTTTACCATTTTTTTTATAAGCTATCAAGTATGTGGTTGTCCATATGATATTGAATCTCTTATCAATAAGTCAATTGAGAGCTACCAATTTCATGGTGTGCCACAATTACACCAGTTTTTCGTGCAAATTCAAATTAGTTTCCCATCTGTTCACCAGAATCAAGACACATAAGTTATGCTAATCCGAGCAAACAATATTTTAAAGCATTAAAATTACACAACCCCACACAAAAAAGCCTTATTTCATCACACAATTTAGGTTGTACAACAATTAACATTGGATCATTAACCTTTATGGCTAAAACTTGTCCCATACCAATTCCCAACAAAAACAACAATAGATAGAAAATATTGTCAGTAAGAATATAGAAGCAATTCCTATAAATTGCAAAGTTTATAAAAAATGTCCAAAACAACATACATAAATACACAGACAAGTACCCAAACAGAGAATGTTTCAATTCTAGCCCAAAATTTCTTTTCAATAAAATAACAACAGAAATGGCAAAACAATTGAAATAATTGAGATATATAGATACCCACAACCATACATACATGTATGTGATGCTTATATATGTATGTTAAGTCTTAGAGAGTTAGAGGGTACCCTTAAGAAGTGGGCATGAGGGAAATCGGTGGAGAGATGAGAAAAGACTTGATCCATCTGCTTGGAAGCTTCACACCAATCGGCCCAGAAGTGTACGATAACTGGTACCCCCTGACCGATCACGTTATCAAGCTCTCCCTTGGACTGCACATCTTTTACAGACCCACCAACCATATTCAGTCACTCTAATCTCAAATCCGGAGAGAGAGAGCGAGACAGGGAAGAGAGCTGTGGCTGATGCTTATCGGAGATTAGAGAGAGAGAGAATCGCACACCCAGTTTTTAGGTAGGGAATCGCACACCCAGAAGAGAGCTGTGCGTCACTTCTAGGTAGGGAATCGCACACCCAGTTTTTCTGGGGCAAAGCCCTCTGTGGGCCGGACTAGTAAGGCTTCGATCAGCGATCGGGCAAACTCTGAACCCCGACAGTCCAGCCTTTAACGGGCCAAATAACGAATCCATCCTAATGGGCCTCAAAAAGGGCAATTTTAATAATAATATTTAAATATATCAGTGGAAAAAATACATAAATTCTGTTTTTCAACAAATAAAAAAGAAATAATAATTTTATGTGCACCAAATAATTATCAACGGTTGGATAATAGTGAGTCCCATTAATCCAACGACTGAAAATAATTTGGTGTACAAATTTTGTGTGTACAGCATTACTCTAGACACCTCTCAAGTCATTTGGGACCTAAGAGTAAAGGCCCATGACCCGTGGTCCTAACACTAGATAAGTTAGGATGGGCCGGCCATCGGGGTGTGGGATCCTGCGTAATTAGCACGTCTACTATACTATGACTATCACATATATCACATGTCTATGAAAATGTGACAGTATCGTTGCCATGATTTTTTGATAACGGTTTTTAAGCTATTTGATTCTGCTTCTCGTCAGTTCTACGATGTAGTCTAGGTGGTTAGGATACTCGGCTCTCACCCGAGAGACCCGGGTTCATGTCCCGGCAACGGAATTTTTAACTTTCTGTTTTGGATTTTTTTTTGTTATGTTTTGAACTTTTTTTTATAAATCGTCTTTTAGAATTAAATTAGTATTATTACATTAATAACATGAAATTCTTTTGCTCATACAAGCATAAGATTGTTAATCTATCATGTCATGCTTGTGTTGCGTCAAAAATTTACTCAACCAATACTCCATTTATAATTAATAATTGTATGCTCTCATATTCGTATCGTGTTAAGTTTAATTGAATTCTTGTTATCCGATCGATTTCAAGATTTTAATAAATCTATCCCCTTTATCAGAAAAATTCATTAATTCTATATCGATTTAATGTTGAACAAACGGGTTGTGTCTGAAATTATCAGGCCTCCAGAAGGTAGTATGTAAGACCTTGTGGGATAGAGTCACTGACAAAACTCAGGTGTTCTAACAATGGCAGCACCAAAATGGACTTTCTTGGCCTTCATGGCTCTCCCTAGGCTTATCAATCTGTTCTGCAGATCTAGGCCCGGCTGCACCTTCGGCAGCCATGGCTGGGGAAGAAGATAAACTCAAAACTTGTGTGTCGGGTGGCATTGGTGGTGGCCTTGCTCTCAGTTCTGGTAAAAGGAATAACCATAAGGGTGGGGGTGGGGGTGGGGGTGATGGCAGTGCTATTGCTTCTAGAGGCAAGCCTGGCTTTCGTGGTGTCCCTGGTTTTCCCCTGCGGTTACGGTTATGGTCATGGTGGAAGCACTGGTGGTGGCGGAAGTGGAGGCAGAGGTGGTGATGGCTTGAGTTCTGGATGCATTCCTGGTTTTCACGGAGTTTTCTATTGGAAAACCTCGTTGGATGCTGGCTATTCAAATGGGATATGACTGTGCATCGCTTACTTAAAACAGTTCCATGAAAACATAGTTGTCAGGCAAAGCCTATAGGTCGGGTACGGGCTAGAAATCATGTCTTTAAACAATACATAATTTAGCTAAGACAAGTATTTAAAGAGTTTTAAATACTTGTTCTTGGTATCGTATGGTGTCTTCAAGTACACTGAAGCCCAGAGATGCCCCCACCCCCATCCCAGGCAAAGGTGTTAAAGCTAGCTAGAGAGCCTTGATGACAAAACAGCGGTGATCTAGAGAAAAACGACAGGAGTGATCTGTATTTGTCTGATATTGCCCACTGAATACTGGCAAACCAGTGTAACAGAAACCTGATTCAAGCAGAAATTTATTTTCAGAGAAAGAATTGAAATATGAATAAAGAAACGAGGTATCTGATTTAGTTGAAGATAAGTGATGAGCGAATGCGAAGAATTACCAGCAATGTCATCCCTTATCTTGCAAGGATTGGAACACCACAGGCAGCAGGAGCGTGCTTTCCTTCTTCATAAACAAGATTTCCTCTCACAAAAGTAGCCAAAACTTTTCCAGATAATCTGGATCCCAAGTAGGCTGAGATGCTCTGTACAGCAAAGAAAAATATACTGAGACTGTTAGAGAGGTTGATTTCTGTCTACATGAAAAGAAAAGCTAACTTCCTTCTGCCACAAAATCATGCTGTTTCATGAAATTTCAGAAGATCTAAGTTTTTTAGACACGCATTTGTTCTATATATGGTGAAGAAAAAGGAAATGAAAAGGTAAAAAAATTATCATCTGTTTGCTACGCGACATTTAATTCCCTCAAACCAGTAAAATCGTGTTTCCCAAAGTTTGAGTGTTCAGTTGTTTAGATGCCCACGTGTTGTAACAGTTTAACTAGAAAATCAGCCAATGCTTGGAAAGAACATTTTTTGCAGGTTTGAACCTCAAACAGAACAAAGCTTGCCAATCTGTCATACTAAAATCGCTTTGTTTGAGGAGTGATTTCTTTTACATATTTCCCTTTTGGCGATTTGCTTTCAAAACATATAAAGGTGTGGTGGAAAATTTAGCTTATTTTCTCAGTTATTGTAACATCATCACCACCCTTCTGTTTATCATATTTTCGTCATCCCTGCACAGAACTTAACCTTTTTCGCTATGCAGAGAGCAGTTAATCAAGTTGAACTAAACAGTCAATATCAATAGTGAAGACATAAGGAATACACATACAGGATGCTTAAGGTATATAGGATGGTTATCATTGAGGTCAAACTCCACTTCTGGTTCCCAGACAACAATATCTGCATAATACCCGATTGCAATGGCCCCCTGCATATCATGTTTTAAAATGCGGATACCAATCAGTTGTGATCATAAAACTCAGAAGCATGTATGAAAGATTAGTGATCTTTACAAAGTCATCCTAGCTTAATCAATGTTGTCTGCTTACTCTAGTTCTAAAATTTGCTGATGATAATTCAGCAAAACCACTCTTCAAAAATATTTTTATGCATATTATCAAACAACAAAGCAGTGTTATCTTCCAGCTGTGTGGCAACAATTCTTTTGATACAGCAATTAAAATGGTAATTGACCAGAACAAATATAACGACATGTAGGAACTTTCTTATGTAACATTTGACGAGTTCATAATTCATGGTGGCAGCTACAAAGAACGAAGTCAAAATAGTCTACAATAGCTGAAAGCGCGATTCAGTAACAAGTTTTCTTCACGTGAAGTTGAATGGAAGCACAATAGCTGACTCTCGCAGACAGTGACACAAAACAGACAAAACAACTGCAAACATTACCTTCAAATTTAGGCCAGCAAGTTTGGCAGGTTTCTCACTCCACCATGAAACTAATTGTTCCAAAGTAAGTCCATATTTATGCCCATATGACCATGTCACAGGAAGAACAAACTGCAGACACATTCAAAATAACACCACTTAGAATAAACATACATGAACAAAATTGCATTCAGGAGCAAAGATATGTCTACCATCAAAAGTAAGCTCGCTAACTTGAAGCATGAAAATTGTTTCCTTACTACACTGGCATCTAAACAGATAAGGATTCATGAGAGGAGCAATTCAGATGGTAAACAATTCTCCTTCTTCCTCAACAACCATGCAGCCATCATTATTGACTGCTACGTTTTTGAGAGGGGTCAATCCTCATGTGCACATGTTGACACACTTGTATTGCTAACCTTCCCCCTAATTGAATTTCAGTGCGTCTTGTAATTAACCTCACAAAAAAGACAATTCAAGAGGTCTCATATCTTCAAAATCATGAATACTTATTTCTAATTCACCGATGCAGAAATATAATTAAAAGGGCCTTATTTCAACAAATTCCAATGTTACTGGAACTCTTTGAATTGGTATATCAATCATCAGTCTATTAAAAGGAAATCCATTGTACATTTAGTTAAAGTCCATTTGTAAAGGCTCAAAATCCTTTAGAGAAAAATATATGTTATCGGGAAAAGAACTAGCTGTGATAACCAACTTGTAAAGACACCAACCTGCAAAGAAGAGATACCACCCCATGCCCTTAAAAAGTCACCAGTACCAAAGAGTTTGAGTTCTGGCACAGTAGGTGAATGATCAGAGCTTAACATGTCAATATGTCCATCCTGGAATGAAGTGTAATCAAGTTAGAAATTGATTATTAGTAGAAAGATGAAAAGTCAAATAAATTATGCATTATGGATTTGCAAAACACCGTCAAGGCTTCCCAAAGTTTTTCTCTATTGGCTGCATCACGGATGGGTGGAGCACACTTAAAGCGAGTATCTCCATCTTGAATCTCTTCAGCTGAAAAGGCCAAATAATGTGGACAAGTTTCAACTGTGACGCTATCACCTCTACTTTTTGCTTCCTAGACAAGACAGAAAAATTAACATTATGGTCACATTTCATAATAAGAATTATTAAGGTTTTTAGCAAATAGAGAAAAGCAGGAGGACTGACAATGAGGCCTAATTAAGCTGTTGGGACACAACTGAATTACCATAGCTAAGCAAGAGATCGACACAAAAGCTAAAGCTATGAAATAAGTTCCTGATGAGCTATAAAGAGGAGTAAACTTGGGGACTGATCTGATCAAGTGCAGAATATGAGCACATGGTGTACAATTGCATGCAGAAAAGCATAATTTTACAGTGAACGATATTACTTAAGAGATTCATCATGTAAGGATACCAAGTCCCAACCACTCCCGACCCAATCATCAAGGCGTAGGAAAAAGTTGGGAAAAAAATTCATTTGCATTTATATTTTGAAGTTTAGATTCAAGCCTTCAAGATCCCTTCCTGTATCTTTAGACCCGGAGACTGTATCAATTTGAAATTTAGTTGAATGCTACCCTTGCAATGAGAGCAAGTTCGATCCATATACGCAGAACCAGACAGAGAACCTATAATTAGTTAAGCTATCATAGAAGCACTTCACAACAGTTGTCCCCAAAGAGTAGCTTACATCTGCATCCTACATGTATATTAAAGGGAAAATATAAATCACCTTAATAAGGTCTAGGGAACATCTTGCATCAGACAGATGAACAATATGAAGATGAGCTCCTTCAGCAGGACCTCCGGTCCTCGTGTCTTTTGTTACTGTTAAGAGCTCTCTAATAGCTGCCTCTTCCCTGGTTAAAACATAAGTAATGGATAGGAGATGGTAACAATCAATCAAGACTTGGACAAAATCAAGATTATCATAGAATTCACAAACAACTTAAAATGTCATGAGGCATTCACTTTAGAGAAAAATAAGATAAGCGCAACTATGAATTTTGTACCATAAATACTCAGCATTATGATAGAAATAACCAGCCTATAAAATCATTTTGACTTTCATATTACTTCCACAAACTGGACGCCCAAACAGCTGGATTATCTTCTAAAATGTCAATGGAGAAGCAAAAGCTTCAATTGTCCTGTCAAAAGTTGAGGAAGGCAAGGGAAAAACAATATCTCACCATGAAGCAGGCCTGGTCTTAACATATGTTGAATAAGAGCGAGCACTTTCAGTACTATCTTCCAAAGTTAAGTAGCCTTCAAGTTCTTGTTTAATCTCTGCATGTACCAATAGAGGCCTCCTGTACTTTGACAGTATGGAGAGTCCCTCCTACAGGATAACTAAATGATATCAACTTCGCAAAAAGTAGAATTCAGTTCAATCAAGAAACATCACCTCAGTGAAATGTCAAAACTTTTATTGATTCTAGAAATCCAATCATTTTCTGTTTACAAAAAAAAAGTCAATTTGATCATCTTAATACCTTGATGTGGCTGGCATTGGTCATGGGAAAGTCATTAATCCCAGAAGGACACATAAAGGACTGCAAAAGAAACATGCAAGTGTAAGATGATGCGTAGAGCAGCAATAGAAAATGCTAAGCGGGACTTTGACAAAGAAAGAACTAACTGTTCAACTGACCTTTCCACAGGAACATGGCATTCATGGATAGGGTATAATATATCGGCGTTGTTGAGGATTAAGGTTTAAGAGAAACAGCTAATAATGCACAAATATGATAAACAATACATGACCTTTCTGTAAAAGGGCAGAATTCTTTCCAGACAACTTGAGGACATACACACCATACAGATCTTTGATCCGTGCAAACTAATATCAGTATAGCTTAAAGCCCCATTTTTAAGCAGGCATTCCCAAAAGAATGATTGAGTAAGTTAGGTACCTTTAAACCAAGAACACCAGCTCGTAAGAGGCCTTCCAGAGCACTTGCATTAAATGCATTTTCAGGAACTAGACCCCCCCAGAAACCTGTTTATAGAAAAGCTAAGAACTACCATCGCTAAACATTAGTATGCTAATTGCCAAGGCATAGTTCCGAGAGCATACCAACATCAACATAGATCCTTCCTTCTGCAGCCTCCAACTGCCACGCAGATGTCCAAAAAATTATCAGGAAATGCAATAGGTAGTTAATTATTTCTACAATGGTTAAAAAAAGGTGTAACCATGAATATGCTTATGTGTGAATAATTTAGCATCCAATACAAAAGCAAGAGTTATGTCCATAAATTTAGTTGTGTACAACAGATCAGCCTCAACCTGATTCTGTATTTCCCTCTTTTGTACATAGGACATAGAAAGAATATTTCCCAGGAAATAAAACCCTCATAATAATGATAATGATGATAGCGAGCTCATTAGAGCTTGTCAGTAATGATACCTAGCTCACTACCATGACTATGATAACGAAGAAGCTGAGATCTAACCAGAAAGTTAAAAACAGGCTTTAACTAATCTGTAAAGCGAAAATAGAATTAACTATGAGTCAGTGCTCCATACCTTAAGTTTAAAAGTTTCTTCGGAGACTGTGGATGGAAAACTATTAAGAGGCATATCAATCAATGTTGTTAACCCACCTGTATGAAACAGTGAAATGAGTACTTAATTGCCTGATGCATATAAAACAGCAAACAAGGTCTATTTTACAATTTTAATGCCTGATGCATATAAAACACCAAACAAGGTCTATTTTACAATTTCGATACGTCTATTACTGCAATTGAACATTACAGAAGGAACCAATGTAGCAAAAAAATATTTATGTCTTTAGACCAAACCCTGTTGTATCATAGCCAATGGGGTGAGAATTATACACGCTCTTCAAAGATTTAAAGCATTTGCTCCTCAGAAATCTTTCAAATAGACAAGCACAAAATGATCAATCAACATCTACATACCAGCAGCTGCTGCTCTAGTCCCTGAAGGAAATCCTTCCCATTCTGTTCTTCCAGGATCATCAAGATGTGCGTGCCTGCCACGACAATTCAAAATATTGGGCAATTTTGAAATTAAGAAACCAAATGCCCATCCAACCCCCACCCAAAAAAAGAAATACATGAGTTCTGAATCTACCAATCCTTGAACCTTTACCTTAATAAACAAAAGTAAACTATGTGGAACAGAATCTAACATGTGAGATAAGATGATTTCTAATGCAGAAGAGAACTTAAAAGCCTGAAAATTACCTGTTCAACATAAAGGATAGTAACAAATCCAATAGGAATATCCAATGATATCTTACCATCTTCCAGGCAGGAACTAAAACGGGACATGATGTCCTTGGTTGTGAACCTAAAGTTAAAACGAAAGAGGACATTTTTTTCCCATTGAATATCATATTGTTACTCTACTGTTTATTAACATCGCATTGCTAGTTTAGCCTTCTCCTAAATTCAGGATTCTCTACAAACTAAAACAAAGAGCATTACTAGCTGTAACAAAGAACATTGAATATTATCTAGTTCAGCATTGAAAATGTACCGCATATGACATAGCATTTCTTGGGCATGAGTACGTGATCTAGTCTAACCATGTTTCTTGTTAACAAAACATGGTCCAAATATTTAGTGAGTGTGAAAAAAACTTCGAATATGCAATAGAATGTCTTGAAAGGCCTTTAGATAGCTGCAATGATGTGTTTCACAACAGAACAGCCTCCTCATGATTTTACTGAACATCGTTTCCCTCTTGATATTTTTGTGTGTGTATTGCAGCCTTCACAGTTAGTATAATGTCATGAATAGTTCCTTCACAGCTTCCAGACCATTCTTAAAATTTCTCCGCAATCAAAGCAAAAAAAAAAAACACAGAAGAAAAAAAATGATAGCAGTTTAATCTTACACATCAATCAAACCAGGCATGATAACAGCCTCCCCATAATCTCTGACTTGCCCACTGCTGGGATTCCGTCGCCAATCCTCTTCTCCAACCACAGAAACAATGTTCCCTCCATTTATCTCAACTGACCATTTCAACAATTGACACAAACAATTAATCGTATATATCAGGGAAGAATTTCGCTCGCTCAATGGAAATCATTGATATATGATATTGGTGAAATGGAATGTCTAATGATAGAAAATTGTTTAACATACATCCCAGCTATCAATCAATATAACACTAATTCAATTCATAAACAATATCTGTTTAGAAACTTGATTGACTATAAGCACTTGGGTTCTGTCTACTTCAAATGTTTGTCAATAAGATTAGAAAGCTGACAACACATAGTCCGAAAATCCTTAGTTGATAAACAAACCTGCACCAGAAATAATCCCTTTTGGTGTGACAATACGCTTGCTGGTTATCCAGTAGTGGTTGTGAGGAAGAAGGCTGCACTCGTTCACAGACGGCTGTGGCATAAATATGGAAACTTACTTAGCATAATGTCAGCATGAGACTCGCAAGTCAAACAATAACAGGAAGTTTATACAGAGTACTGACACCTTGGTGTGACATATCTACCGACTAACTAAGAGCAAACATGACTGTGTGACATATCTATCGACCAACTAAAAGTAAACATGACTAAATCAGTATAGTTATCAGCACAAATAAGATGACAGTACTGATCAACCTTGTTAGACATTATTTTTAATTATGTATCCATATAAACATATAAATTAGTGAAAGAAAAACTATTAGGAACCATAAATGAAAGCACAAAGGTGTATCATACTGAAAACTATTTAGAACAGAGTCTATCACATCGTGTCATAATACCAACTTTTTGCTGATTTACATCATTGATTTTTTCTATTTTCATGTCTATTCTGTTAAAAATATGACGAATAAGTCTCCTGCACCAACTCCTCTGCAATTGCATCAGCATCAAATAAACGGATTGGGACCATAATACGATGGCCTAAGTCGATGTTAATTTGATGCTGGATAAGCAATTACCGCAATCAGAAATTTTCTCATGATTTAACACATTTGTTCTCTTTTTCAACAATTATTTACCATTCAAGTTCTTGTTTGAAGACTTTTAAGTTGAGTGAATTAACATAACACAATATTATAGAGAATGAGAGAGGTTAAAACTTAACCTAACTCTCATACAACACTTATATTTATAGTTAACTCACAATAATAAGAATTACACATACACCCTCTTACTATTAACAATTTATATATACTATCCTAATATTCTTAACACTCCCCCTCAAGCTGGACTATATATATCATATAATCCAAACTTGGAACAAATCGCTGTAAGATGTGTACGAATCAATGTTTTGGTAAATATATCTGCAAGCTGATCTTCAGATCTCACAAAAGGAGTGGTAATCTCCCCAACTACTATCTTGTCCCGAATAAAATGACAATGAACCTCAATATGTTTGGTTCTCTCATAAAACACTGAATTGGCAACGATATGGATAGCTGTCTAGTTGTCACAAAACAACTATAAAGGAAGTTATACTGGAAACCTAATTTCCTGGAGGAAGTGTAGTAGTCAAGTCAACTCACTTGTCGTATGTGTCATTGCCCTATACTCAGCCTCAACACTGGATCTTGCTACCACGGATTGTTTTTTACTTTTTCATGAGACAATATTACTTTCTAAGAAAGTACAATAATCAATGGTTGATCTCCGATCAGAAGGAGAGCTAGCCCAATCAGCATCTGAGAAACCTTCCACTCTAAGATGTCCATTAGCTCGATATAATAGTCCAAGTCCTGGAGCACGTTTGAGATATCGCAGAATACGAGTAACTGTCTCCCAATGTGGTACTCTAGGACACCCCATGAACTGACTTACTATACTGACTGCATAGGAAATATCCGGTCGAGTAATGGTTTGATAATTGAGCTTCTCAACCAATCTGCGATACTGACCCAGATTCTCAAACAGTGCACTATCATCCATCAAAAGTTTCTAATTCTAATCCATAGGAACATCAATAGGTCTAACACCCAACAAACCTACTTCCTCTAGTATGTCAAGTACATATTTCCTTTGGAATAAACAAATACCCTGTTTAGATCGAGCCACCTCAATACCCAAAAAATACCTGAATTTTTTCAAATCCTTAGTATGAAATTGATCCTGCAAGAATATTTTTAACTTGGCAATTCCCTTAGAATTATTTTCAGTAATCACAATATTATTTACATAGACCACCAATAGAATATATCCAACATCTGTCTGTCTATGAAACACAGAATGATCTATCTAACATCGAAGAAGACCAAACTCTAAAACTGCATCTGAAAACTTAGCAAACCATGCCCTCAGTGATTGCTTCAAACCATACAAAGATTTTTTTAACTGACATACACTCTTACCATACTCCCCTGAGTAGTAAACTTAGGTGACTGCTCCATGTATACCTCTTCAATCAAGTCACCATGTAGGAAGGCATTCTTGACATCTAATTGAAACAAGGGCCAATCAAGATTAGCAGCCAAAAAAATCAAAATACGAACAGAGGAAATTTTGGCAACAAGAGAGAAAGTCTCCTCATAATCAACACCATATGTCTGAGTAAAGCCCTTTACAACAAACCAAGCTTTGAGACGCTCCACAAAACCATGCAGATGAAATTTAACAGTATATACCCAACAACAATCAACAGTTCGTTTACCATGAGGTAAAAGAATGAGATCTCAAATCCCATTATGATGTAAGGCATCCATCTCCTCCTCTATAGCTTTCCTCCAACCCAAATCAAATAATACATCCTTTAAGTGCTTAGAAATAGATATAGTAGATAATTGAGAAATAAAACAAGAGAAGACATGAGACAAAGCATCATTGTTTTGAATAACGGTAACGGTTGTTGTAACGGTAACGGTGTAACGGACGCAAGGTGAAATGGACGTTACGTAACAATAACAGAAACCAAAGACGTGAATTTTTTTTTCAACTCACAATACTTACAAAACATAAATATTTACATGTTTCAACTATAAATTAATGCAAATAAGTGTTTAGTAATTTTTAGTGTATTTTATTGTACATAAATATGTTAGTGAGATATTAAAAATATGTATAACATTAAATAAACATTGATAATAACGAAAATGGGGGACGTGAATTTTTTTTATAATTCATATCTCCCATAAAAGTGAAATATAGACTTAATTTTAATAAACTCCATTTTCTTTTATTATCTTTAATAATATTTTGTAATATAGACTTAATTTTAAAAAAAAATTAGTCTAGTACACGTGTCTATTTGAAACATACTTTTGGACATGTGGTCTTCAAAGGCAAAAGTTTTTCTTATTATGTGTGTTTGTGGAGTGTTATTTTTTCCATTCTAACACCCACGTGACCAGCCAGGACGGATCACGAGGACCTACGATGAAAATGGGTTAATCACAACCACTCACACTCCAAACTTCTTTTTGAGTGTATTGTACTCAATCATTCCCACTTCATCTTCTTCACATTCAAGACTTGTTCATCTCTGCAACTTTTTGTATATAAATTATATACGTCAGCTACAAAATTCCACAAGAAGAAGAAATTCAACAGGTATGTATTGTATGAAGTTTAGATCTTTCTTCCATTCCTTTAAATCTAAAAAGAGTATCATATTTGTTATTCCGTGATCTTCCTTTTTTGCTACCGAATTAAAGATTTTTGACTGTTACAATGTTGTAACGGCCGTTACGGCGCCACAACGGAGTGTAACATCCGTTACAGGCTGTTACGATGTCGTAACGGCTGTTACAGGTGTGAATTTTTTTCAATCCATTAAATTGGCCTGTGACGAAATCGGAGGCCGCCGATACCGTTACGCACTGTAACGACCGATTTCCAAAACTATGCAAGGCATCGTATGAAATAAAATAAGCAATGAGATGATTAGTAACACACGAACGAGTATCTTTTCGAAGAACAATAGGTAAAGAGTCTAAATTACCTGATGTATCAGGATCAGAAGGCGGCAAGGAAGATAGTACGGGCACCTCAATCGATGGACGAAGACGGCGAGAATAGACACGAAGAGGTAAAGTAGATGGTAACACAGTAGGCAGCGGAATATCTGAAGATGAGGAAAAAGATGGTGGTACAGGAGATGACCCAAAGTCCAAAAGGTACTAGAAAATATGGAACAGATTACTCAAACGTGACATCGGCACTAGTAAAATATCGGTGCAGAGAAAGACTCTAGCAACGATACCCCTTTTGTGTGCAGGAGTAACCAAGAAATACACGTTTGGTAGCTCGAGGGTCAAGTTTGTCAAACCCAAGACCCAAATTATGAATATAACAGATACATCCAAAAACTTAAGGAGTCAGGGAAAATAAGGACTTACCAAGAAAAATGACAAAATATGAAATTTGCCCATTTAACACAGAGGATGGCATACGATTAATAAAGTGACAAGCAGTAAGAACAGCATCACTCCAAAAATATCGGAGAATATTCATCTAAAATAACAGGACATGGGTAACTTCCAATGACTCAAAACACTTCTAGAAAACCCTCACTCTCTCTCTCTTACACTCTCTCTTGTTCTCTCTCTTTGTTTCTGCTCTAAATGGGATACCCCAATGACTCAAAACACTTCTAGAATTTATAGGACTCTCCTATCATGTACCTAGACCAAGTACGCAACCCTAGATAAGTAGATTTATGAATGACCCTTAGACTCCATACATGAATATTACTAATAACTCTTGAATTGTATACATATACCAAACCACTTAATTTAAGAAGCAATTACTTCTTTGACCAAAATGACTTTATCAACAACATTATGCATGCTTTCAACCAGCACTACAAGTGAACAATCAGAAGCAATCAGCTGAGAAACCAATCTCTGTATCTCCATTGATCCACAAATGTCAGGTAAAATCCCATTTTCCAGAAACACTTGTCCTTAAACAGGCGATCAAATACAAATTCACCTGCACCCACAACCACCCACCCAACCACACACACACACACACACATGTTATATTGGAGTCAGAAAGAAAGGTGAGAAGTGAATTTTCTATATTATCTTGTTTTGCATGGTGGGTTAATTGAAATTATTATTGATGAGTGGTAATCAGAATCAGAAACTTGGCAGAAAATCTTCTAATCTGTGTATTCTGTAGCATGACCAATCTGGCTAACTAGAAGAAACTCCTTACCAAAGGGGGTCTTTAGTCCAATGGGACCCCTTATNGTATTCTGTAGCATGACCAATCTGGCTAACTAGAAGAAACTCCTTACCAAAGGGGGTCTTTAGTCCAATGGGACCCCTTATATGGTAAGGGCTTTGCCCTCTCCCTCTCCCTCCCCCTCCCCCTTCCACTCCTCCTCCCTCAAAAAAGAAAAAAATATATTATTTAAAAAAAAAGAAACTCCATAACAATAGAGAGAGAGAGAGAGAGAATCAAACCTTTGAATGCCTGTTAATGTGCAAGAGTATTACAGATGCAAGATGTGGTAGCACTAGCACAGAAAATAACCACCCTTTACTCTGCATATCTATTACGCCAACTCTCTCCTCCTAAGCTGCTCTGTTTCAGCAGTCTCTNACTCTGCATATCTATTACGCCAACTCTCTCCTCCTAAGCTGCTCTGTTTCAGCAGTCTCTCTCTCTCTCTCTACTATCTACTAACCTTCTCTCTACTATCTAACAGGCATTCAAAGTTTTGATTCTCTCTCTCTCTGTACTATCTACTAGCCTTCTCTCGGTCTCTAATATCTGTCTAGTGCGACGTATAAAAGGGCACTCTATCTTCCTTGGAATCTAGCCGTTTCGTTTTAAAAAGTATTATATTTTCATCTAATTTTATTATTAATTATTTATTTAATAAATCATGTCATATCAAATTTGTATAATTGATATATATATAAAATTTCATTAATAATTACACTTAAAGTGTAAACCCTCTTCAATATTAGCCCCAGCAAGCATCTTGTAACTGATTATTTACTCAAATCGATGGCGGGCCACAGAATCTTTACACCNAATTACACTTAAAGTGTAAACCCTCTTCAATATTAGCCCCAGCAAGCATCTTGTAACTGATTATTTACTCAAATCGATGGCGGGCCACAGAATCTTTACACCAGAATTTGAATTTTCTAAACCAAAAATGTGTATTACCTGACGGTCATATAGGTACCTCACCAACCAATAAAAACTTGGCACAATTATGCCACGTTGTCAACTTATTCGATGGTATTTGATTGTATTCTCACGCAAGTGGGGGTAACGGTTAACGTTATCATTAAAAGTTTTTTTGGAAAAGTAAGCGTACGACTAGATCTTTGGTTTTGACACTGCGGCTGGCGGAAAAAAAGACATTTCCATCCCCACTCGCAGTTGTTGGAGAATGTGTCACATCGAATCAAATAGTGACAAACTTTTTCTTTTTTTTGATAAATAGCATCTAATTTAAATATTGTCTCCAATTTTAAAATGGTATCTAAACTTTTAATTATCTTATTTAATCTCTCAATTATCAATTTAATTGATAATTAACGGACTATTTTTAGAAAAGAACAAAATTAAAACATATTAATTGTGATATTTATCCTTTTTCTTTGAGTAAATATTCACTACCAACTCAAGTAAGGCTAAAGTTGATAAGTCTTAACTCCATTTGTTCGAATATTTTTCATATTATGCTTTTATTCTATTTTAATAAATAATAAATAATTTATCATATATTCAAGTAAAATTCACTATTTATCATTGTGTTTTTCAGTAATACACGACACATGATATATTTTGAATGAAATTCAGGCATAGTCTAATGATAAAAAACTTGAATCTCAATATTTTGGTACAAAATGGATAGAAAATGTGTTAATAAATTAGTATCATAATTGGCCTAAATTGTCACTTTCTTTAATGAAGAGGTTGTGTATAACACGAGACAATATATAATATTTTAATTTTTAATTTAACCAGTTCAGTCTATATAAAATTCACGATGTAAAATAAAAAAAATTTCAATAATTACATTTNAATGAAGAGGTTGTGTATAACACGAGACAATATATAATATTTTAATTTTTAATTTAACCAGTTCAGTCTATATAAAATTCACGATGTAAAATAAAAAAAATTTCAATAATTACATTTGATAGTATCAAATAAATTTTTCTAATGATCACTAATATCTCTCTTAAATCTCATCGTGCNGTTCAGTCTATATAAAATTCACGATGTAAAATAAAAAAAATTTCAATAATTACATTTGATAGTATCAAATAAATTTTTCTAATGATCACTAATATCTCTCTTAAATCTCATCATTGGAAACACGAGTTATCTCAACCTTTTATACCAATTAATCGGATTTTAGTAGTTGGTGAATTTTACTATTTCTTTGGGCGCGTAGGAGAATCTCTTTGTCCATTAGTTAAGATTCTACTCATATGTATATCTGTCAATGAATATCCCTGGAGTATGACATTTGTTTTAGATTGTTTTTTTAAAATTTTAAATGTCCTAATTTATTTTGTGAATTAGGTCATTTGTGTTCAATCGATTTCTTTCGTTGAGATTAATTGATAAATAAAAAAAATTGTTAAAGTTAGCTGTAAAATAAGATAAATTTTATTAAAATTCATTGTTAATTTATTTTTTATTTAATGATTATTTTTAACTGAAAGAGTCGATTGAAACAAATTACATAATTCCGAAGACAAATTGAGATAATTTAAAGTTAAAAAAAAAAAACTTTAGGGGCATTTATTTAATTTAATAATGTATTTTTGGAGCTATTCTATCATTATATAGGTGGGTCAACAAGTGGAGAAGATTCTTGATGAATCAATGGAATTGTGATGCAGAACGCAACTTGCTAATTAGTGCCTTCCAGCTATGACTGCGGGAGGAGTTTTTTTGTTTTGCTGTGTCAGAGTCTCACTCCGACTATTACTTCGAGTTCTGAAAGTAGTCATTATAATTCATGCAAATATTTAGGTAAGATGCAAAAAAGAAGAAAATTGATGGGAAGCATTGCTTTTCAATCATAACACCTAAAAGCATTGCATATATAGTGTTCGTTTCTGTGAACCTTACAAAATGAGCAGTGAAGAGGGCAATGCAGTGCAAGTTTGCTGCTCGTTGGTAGTGGAATGTTGCCTAACGGACTCATTCCCTCTATGATGAGCTCAAGCCTTCCGAGTGGACGAGAACCGAACTTTATCCAACCCAAAAAATAAAAACATTAAATGCAAATACATGGCTAAACCATGCTCGCTAAGTTCAGCTACCATTGAGTGTATATCTACAAATTCCCTGTATAGATTGGTATTGAAGTAGAAGAATATAAAAGTTTCCTTCAGCAAAACCATCACCTATGTAAAGAACAACAAAAAGGTCCAAGGCATGCCATAAAAAAACCAAATGCTAGGCTGCCACCTTTACTTCAAGTAACCTGGAGTGGGACAAAAGTCATGGAGGTTATATTGCATTTGTTGGCCACGAAAACGGGACTAAAATGGTACTATCCGAGGAGGAATGCTACTGTTAGAAGTTTGTCGCAAACTATTTGGGAACAAAATTGATTTGGTTCGATCAACATTCTCTCTCTATGCAGAAGTGCTGGGTATGTCTTCACTATTTTGCCTGGATTCAGGGAGTGGACTGGCTTCAGCCATAGGTGGGGGTGGTTTCTGTACAGGGGGAGGCTTTGGTGGCCTGTTTGGATGAACTTTGTTGACTTTCTCTGAAGGAACATCAAACTGCAATCAACAGAACACATGCTATTATATAAGAGAGCTAAAGAAATTAGGGAGAATCTCAATTCAATGTTAGCTTATATTTCTAAAGAGTGTACAACTTTGGCATAGTACCATGTATACGAACAATCATGCAGAGACACCAGCCATATTCTTAGAAAAAGTTGGTAAGAGTGAACAAAAACTGACCTTGTAACCACAGCCAGCTACACAAGCATGAAAGCATTCCTGTATGCCATAGACGATCAACAATAATTACTTGGTGGAAAAAATATTAAACTCTGCAATCATGGAGAAGCTACAAAAATCAAGCTCCATCCATATTAATGAGTTATATCACTGAAACAATGCTCAATGTCGTAATTTCCATTAACAGAAAAATCATGCGCAAATTTAGACAACAAATGTACTGCTGAAATTCAAATTCAATGTTTTATTTTTGAGATCAAGCATGCCTCTTTGTGCTTAACCACTTTAACTGACATTTCAGCACTCAACTCTTCACTACTAGTTTCTCCTTCTATATGGATAAAAAATAATAAGCTTAAGAGAAAGCAATGAACTGTAACCTTATCCATAGAGAAACTGTAGACATTCCATTCTGTACCTCAAATCCCATCAAGCCAAAACTGACACTCAAGAAAGTTGTACAGTAAGCTTCTACTTCCTGGTAAAACAATGTAGAGGGCGGTCTCAGCAGAAGGAGAAGGACCAGCAACGACAGAGACTACTGACTCTCTTCTTGTTCCTAACCGTCTGTTACGAGTCTTGGATGGGAAGGAGCCCTATCAAGTAAAGGTCATAACCAGCCTCTTTATTTATGTATGTACACCTTTGTTTCAGGGTGGGGCCGCCCTTCCTCCTGCTAATCCGGCCATTTCCGAACCTGTCTGTCTCACACCATTCAATTCAGCATGTATACTGAAGCATTCAGCCACTTTATCAGTTCAAAGGGGCTTCTTATTAATTTTATAAGCCCGTCATACTATCTTTTGATATTAGACCATGATGATAGGGCCGGGGAACTATCTTTCCTACAATTCATAGAATTTTCAGAAGCCAAGATGTAGCTGCTCCTCTTCCAATGTTGGCATTTATTTTTCCTTTGATAGCATAACAAATTTCTCATTAGTTCACAGTGGTGAGGATCCAGGGTTGGCGTTCGATGCAAAATCTGTGGTTTTACAACTTCTTTGGGTGCCAAAACTACCTCTTGCATGTATTTACACAACTTATTCTATATTTTGATGAAAATGGGACTGAAACCATCCCCATATTCCCACTTACCCAGAAACCACTAAGCCCCAAGATTTACTTAAAATCTTCTGCTTTTTACATAAATTTTTTGTGCATGGTGACACAGATATACATATTGGCATTGGTATCGATGTAACCAGTTTAAAGACAATTAAGACAGCATGACCTTTCAGACACAGTCCCCCTGGTGTCCACATTCTTGTATTCCAATATTCTAGTTACAAGAATCCCATCCAAGGTACATGTAATAGATTTTGCCAAGCTTTCTAAATCTACCTTGGTTCAGGTCTCACCAATAATGATGTCTCCTCTTCGCCCAAGTTTCAATATCTCCACATTTGGGCATCTGGGTTTTTTTCCTTTTTTCCTCTCTCTTTTTTTTTTTGGACCCTTGTTGAGTACCACGGAGTTAACTTAGAACCTACAAGCGCCAACAAGAATCAACGACCAAAGCACTTATTCTACCCAACATCTTGAGCCAATGAATGTTGGGATCTGGTTTTGTTGAGTTGAGTACCTTGTGCCAATGAATGAAATCTATGAATTCCACAATAAGCCAAATAGCAATTTGACACATGCTTATTTAAAGCAATGCCATTAACATTCCCTACACGCTTTCTGCTCAGCTATGCAATATTATCTTCAATGTTAACCCCTTTCATTATATTTCCTTGAGATGCAAGCAGCCATATTATGATGTTTAGTGGCGCAAATAGTATGCAATCAAGGATAATAAAACCTCTGAGTAGCTGGCAGCCCCAGGTGAACGATCAATGTAAGCACTCCACTGCTGGTCCTTTAAAACCGGGTCCTTGTAACAGATCTCATTACACTCTGTCAAGCCTGGATATCACATGATCAAATTGCTCAAAATAAAAACCCTACTGAGTATCAGACACTAGCATTAATCTAATGGATTCATTGACAGAAATCAAGGTAAATAATTAAATGAAGAGAGCTAATGGGATATTGCATTTGCTTAAAAAGTAAAGAACAAAACTGAAACAAAAGGGGCATGTGAACAACATATTGTGATTTGTGAGCATCAGAAAATCAAATAGAATCTCTAGCATCAACAAAAACTAAAGGAATGAATGGCCTGATCATTTCAGCAATTATCAGAAATTACGGTGTAAGTTCAATCAGGTTAATATCAACAGCAATTTCTGATCACTGTAAACCAAGATGAGCTGAAGTGGTACCCTATCAGATGACCCACATCTTTCCACAGTAGTGGAACAAAATCACTACACAATCCGAATATAATACTAGCAGCTACTCTAAGAAGGAAAACACTGGTTTTGGGAAAGTATTCCCGGGAAAACTAAGGCAGTGGATGACCCAATGATGTACACTAGTACAATAAACATACCCTATCATCATAATGAAGAGACTAAACAGCACATTTGCTGCTTTCCTTACCTTTTTTCCCTTGTTGAAACAAATGAAATCCTACAGCTAGACCAACATATTGATGTGAGTCGTTGAGAAATAGGCGATAGAAGTGCTAGGACATGAATGCATAATCAATTGCATTTTCACGGTTTAATCTTTAGAAAGAATGAAGTCTAGCAGATTTATTGTTTGTATGCTTATTGGGTAGTGCTAAGGAGGTAAACTTCCATTTCAATGGTTCTCACAACTGTAAGACCATCGGAAATTTAAAAGCAAAAGTGAAGAGCATATCAAAGTAATTACTCACATTCCTCCCATTCCTCGCCATCAGAGTTGCACCCTTTTTTGCAAAATACTCTCCCTACAACAATCCAGGTAGAGACTTTATCAGATTGATTGCATATGGGCAGTTAGAACCAAGTTTTGTTTATTGAAAGTTATACCAGTAAATAACTGAAATGCAGCAGCTTGGAATGCAATAATTTTTTATACAAATTATCAAAAAATTTGTTTATCCTTACTGTTAATCAGACAAACAAATAAGATATCCAACAATCTTCTGCTCTGTTACATTATTTTTGTAGGATTTGAACAACAAATTATGCATAGTAATCCATTTCTAAAGGGAAGCTCCAGGTGCATGAGGCTCCTGTTATTCCCGAGTCTGGCAAGGGTCAGATGTACACAATATTACCCCTCATGCAAAAAAGACTATTTCCGCAGCTCAAACCCTTGATGCCCAAATGACAATGGAGCAACATGAGGGTCAGATGTACACGGCATTACCTCTCATGGGAAAAGGCTATTTCCACGACTCAAACCGACAATGGATCAAACCCTTGATGCCCAAATGACAATGGAGCAATCTTACCATTGCGCCAAGACTCACCCTCCCTTATACATAATACACCCACTTCTATTCGTCCCAAATTAGGACCCTACAAATTGCAACCCAAACATGAAGCTAGGATTTTATGGTTGACCTTTGTTTCACATCTGTAAATAAAAATGAAGAACCCAAGCATTCAAACATGCAAAAACATTCATCCAACCACGAATTCACACTTGAATTAAACTGGGTTACAATCAACATATCACCCAGCATTTTGTGGCAGACAAATTACCCAATTTTGAATACATAAATTTTTTTCGGATCGTGATGGGATCGTCTGGGACAACATAATCTGTTACATACATAATGAAATGAATATATGGAGAAAATGGGTAAACGTAAAAGATATGAAGAGACATTACAAGGGATCTGTGTAAGAGCAGCGTATTTGAGAGTGCACTGATTATTACACGGCGGTGTCCATTGCTGTGGAATCATCGTTTTCTTCGACAATGTCACTGAGCTTTCGTTCCCCTTCTATACTCGGAAGGTATGGAAATGAAAATGGGACGAGAGAGAGAGAAAGGACGGTCTAAGGAGGCGTATTTTGGGGGCGAGGGTATAACTGTCAATTCACGATGTGTATACCCGTTAATACAATACGAATAAAATACAAAATTAAAAGATTTAAATCTTGTTTAAATCACACACTTCGTAAACGAATGAATCCAACATTACATGATTAATAAACAAACAAAGTGTTAGTGAATTCTATCAAAAGAAATATATGAGATAACTCAATTATTATATATTATTTATACACTAGTTATTTTTTGTGCATTAAGACACGAAGTAATAAAAAAATAATCAACAATAAGTATATTTGTATTCACACTAAAAATTAAATTACAAAAATAAATAAGAGATAAAAGAATTTAAGTGCCAGTTATAGTGGAGGTGAGTGGTAGTAATGGTGGTGAGTGACAGTAGTGGTAGGAAGACGGTGATGGTTGTGGTGGGGTGACGACGACTATAGTGATAGTGGAAACTGTGGGTGGTAATGAGTTTTAGGTGACGACTGTGGTAATGGTAGCCATGGGTGATGGGCGGTGGTAATGATGGGTGTTGGTAGTGGTGGGTTGATGACGGGTTGGTGATGGGTTGTAGTGGTAGGTTGACGACGATGGTGGGCAGTGACAATGGTGGTGAGGCGACAACAAGTGCTTTTAGGAGACAGTAAGATGGATGGTGGCGAATGACAGTGATGGTGGTGGTAATGTGGTATATAGTGGGGATGAGTGATAGTAGGTGGCAGTCACGATTGGTGATGACTGGTGTTGGTGGTTAGTGTGGGTAAGGATACATGATAGTGGCTGGTAGCGATGATAGGCGATGATGGGTAGTGGTGGGTTATGGTAATAAGTGGTGGTGGTGGGTGTTGACGGTGGGCGACGATGATAGCAATCGGTAATAGGTAACAATGGGGTTGGGGCAGTGAAAAGGTCAGGGTGGAGATGGGGCAATGACAACAGCAGTGGTGGTGGAATGGTGGCAATGTCAATGGTGGTGGGAGGGGTGGCAACGACTATGGTAGCGACGACAGTGGTAGTAGTGGTGATAGTGGTGGTAGGGTGGCCACATACATTTTACAGTTTAGAGATTCCTTGTGAGATTGTTTGACTGCCTGCATAAATTCTCCCATGCGCTTTATTATTTTCATTTGTTGGGGTTTATAATTATTGTGATTTTTTGCCCTATTTATTAGTATTTATAATAATTTTTTATTATATTATCGGTCATATCAGTGATTCAACGGTTAAACTAGTGACTCATTGACCCGATTCTTTTGCTGAGTTGATGTTTNGTGGTGGTAGGGTGGCCACATACATTTTACAGTTTAGAGATTCCTTGTGAGATTGTTGGACTGCCTGAATAAATTCTCCCATGCGCTTTATTATTTTCATTTGTTGGGGTTTATAATTATTGTGATTTTTGGCCTTATTTATTAGTATTTATAATAATTTTTTATTATATTACCGGTCATATCAGTGATTCAACGGTTAAACTAGTGACTCATTGACCCAATTCTTTTGCTGAGTTGATGTTTGGACAGGATTTTAAAACTATGCTATACAATACAAAAAAATCAAACATTAATTTTACAATATTTTTATTTTAAATAACAATTTGATTATTTTTTAATTATATAATTTAAAATTAAAATAAAGAGAGAAAAAAAGAGAAGTGGACATAGATTGATGGCATTGTTTAGCATTAAAGAGTGTGTTAATTGAGTTACATGATATTTGGGGCAGTGCAGAGAAGGTTTTGATGAACAATAAAAANTAACAATTTGATTATTTTTTAATTATATAATTTAAAATTAAAATAAAGAGAGAAAAAAAGAGAAGTGGGCATAGATTGATGGCATTGTTTAGCATTAAAGAGTGTGTTAATTGAATTACGTGATATTTGGGGCAGTGCAGAGAAGATTTTGATGAACAATAAAAAAGTTTTTGAGATGAATTTTGTATTATTTGATCAAAATCGATAAAAATTAGATTAATTTTATAAGAATTCAACTTACTCACTATAGTATTAGACAGATGTGGATGCACCTCTCTCTCATCCTCTCTCTCTCTCTCTATATGTGCACAGAGGTATAGATACAGTAGCATTGACAAACCCTACCCCATAGTACAACGTTTCTCGGCTTCCTCAGGTCCTCTGTTTTGTGGNACTCACTATAGTATTAGACAGATGTGGATGCACCTCTCTCTCATCCTCTCTCTCTCTATATGTGCACAGAGGTATAGATACAGTAGCATTGACAAACCCTATCCCATAGTACAACGTTTCTCGGCTTCCTCAGGTCCTCTGTTTTGTGGAAAAACCCTAAGCTTGAACACTCCAAATTCAGGTGAGTCCATATATTATTTCACATTGATTAAAGTTTTTTCATTCAAATGCATCGTGAAACACACCTTAAAAATCTATATTCAATTGATTATCAGGACTGTAAATGATTCAGATTCATTCGTACAGGATTTTAGATTGATAATTTAACCTTCAAAACCCTAACACAGAATGCCGCAAGTGAAGATCGTAGCGAAGAATTTCATGGACATGGTGGCATCTTTGCCCGCCATTAAACTCGATAAGCTTTACCATAATTCCTTTATATGCGAAGCTATTTTCAGGTTCTCTCTCTCTCTCTCTCTCTAATATGATGATTTGAATTCAGCATTATTATGTGTCTGGAATGTCATTTTACTTTTCTCAATTCACGCTGTGAATGGTTGTAAATTGTTCTGATTATTTTTCTGATTCGAGGTCCATAGTAATATGTTTGATCCATTTGATTTCTGAGAAAGCGAAGGGGAAATAAACAATATCAGAACTTGGGTCCTATCCTGTTTGGATTAGGACGGAACTGGTTGCTTGCACCCCGAATGTAGGGAGATTGTAAACCAGGAATGAAAACCAAATCGACATCGAAGACAAGCTTAGTCTTCCATGAAATTTGTAACTGAAGAAAATAAATTAAATGGATGTTCTTCTTAGTAGGTCAGTGGAGTGCTTTGTCATCCAGGGTTCAAAATAATTAAAATGTTATGATTAAGTATGCTTTTATACTGATTTTGACATCGAAGAGTTTGGGCTGTGGAAATGGAATTTGGAGAAGGNAAGTTGAGAATGACATTACATTTTGCATTCTCGTGGTTCCCAAGAACTAATGTGAATTTCTGATGTCTACGTATGATCCATGGGAGGAATATGTTTTTACCCTCTTGCATATTGCTTTAGTTATCAGTAGCTATGTATGATCTTTGAATTGGATATTGCAGTGGAGTTTTACCCAGAGAACCAATGCCTTCAAATATCACTGTGAGGCTTCCAACCTTGGACGAGCTGGATTCCTACGCTGTTGGGCAATGGGAGGTCTAAAGTTCATCAGTTTTGTTGTTGTCTATCTCATTTGTGTGTGCGTCTCTAAAAGATAGGGTCATGAGTTCCTAGCTGTGATGAGACCCCTTTTTTGTAGATGGTGTACCTGGTTTTTACAACTGGTTGTTTGGCAGTTTTAATATACTTATTACCACTCATTTTTTTTGTATTGGAATTGTGGCAAATCAGTGTTTCTTGTTGCACCTCATAAACTCCGCTGAAGCTGAAACAATCAAAAATATCAGTTCTTCTATGATGAAAGTTTTCCAGCGAGGCCTTTTGAGTCAAAGGTCCTTTTCATTCTCTATAAAACTGATATGTTTCCATATTGTCAAACATAATGATATGTATTCTACATATCTTAATTGCTATGTTTTTTTTTTTTTGGTTGGGGGAGGAGGTTGGGATGTACCACTGCATATTTCACACTATGTAAATATGTGACTTTTTGACAGAGATAAAGAAGCTCCAAAGTTGACTGAGAGTGGTTTCCAGTTCTTGGTAAGGAACTATGCATATTAATCACGTGCAAAGTGTTCTATTAAAAAAAAATTGATTCGTGTATCTAACAGCTGATGGAGACGAATGCACAACTTTGGTACATCATCAGGGAATATATCACTAATTCTGAGGTAGGGACTCTTGGGAGGTCTTTTTTTTTTTTGCCTTGTTTGGATAGGGTACTCTTAACATTTCTTCCCTCATGTCTTTTGCTGTATAAATCCTGCATAACTTCTTNTTTTTTTTTTTTGCCTTGTTTGGATAGGGTACTCTTAACATTTCTTCCCTCATGTCTTTTGCTGTATAAATCCTGCATAACTTCTTAATTTGATCCAAATACTAATCAGTTTATAAACTAGGAAACTTGATGAAAGACTTTTTTGCTTTAGCTGTGAACTGGATTTTCCATACATTTAAGTTTTGTTTCAGACTAATGAAGCTTGTGCTTATATTCCTGATTTTTATATAAAATTCTTTAGATTTATTAACATTAGTAGTAATTCCATGGTTATGGCATCTATTTGGATCATTTTGGCACAGGAGAGAGGCTTAGATACTGCAGATCTTATCTCATTTCTGCTGGAGCTCAGCTTTCATGTTGCTGGTGAGGTACTACATAGTCATTTGTATCAATCTTCTTCTGGAGTACTTTCTGAAGTATTCTATTATAATTGTGTAACTGTCTGTTAGGTGCTTTTATGTTTGTTGTCCTATAATACATACAGTATTGAAAGTTGAACACTCAGTTGATGAGCACGATTCTGCATCTCAGTTTGTAGAATTTCTGTTGAGTTTCTTGAAATATTTGTTGTCAGACAGATCCTAAGTCATTCTGCATACACTACTGGGTGTTGAATTTTCTATGTAGGCCTACAATATGAACACGCTGACTGATATTCAGAGGAATACTATCAAGGACCTTGTGGACCTGGGATTGGTCAAGCTCCAGCAGGTGCATAGCATTGTGTAATACTTTTCTGATATAATTTTCCTATTACTTACAAGGTTTTCTTTTATATTTGTGCTTTACTAGGGAAGGAAAGAGAGTTGGTTCATTCCTACTAAATTGGCTACCAATCTCTCAATAAGCTTATCGGATACATCATCTAGGAAACAGGTACCNTGAAGGGGAAATAAACAATATCAGAACTTGGGTCCTATCCTGTTTGGATTAGGACGGAACTGGTTGCTTGCACCCCGAATGTAGGGAGATTGTAAACCAGGAATGAAAACCAAATCGACATCGAAGACAAGCTTAGTCTTCCATGAAATTTGTAACTGAAGAAAATAAATTAAATGGATGTTCTTCTTAGTAGGTCAGTGGAGTGCTTTGTCATCCAGGGTTCAAAATAATTAAAATGTTATGATTAAGTATGCTTTTATACTGATTTTGACATCGAAGAGTTTGGGCTGTGGAAATGGAATTTGGAGAAGGTAAGGTCTATTTATGAATATTTTTTGCCAGCTCAAATCCAATTCCAAGACCTCAATTACATGCTGCCAGATGCTGCACTATTTCTTATCAATGTCTGANAAGGTAAGGTCTATTTATGAATATTTTTTGCCAGCTCAAATCCAATTCCAAGACCTCAATTACATGCTGCCAGATGCTGCACTATTTCTTATCAATGTCTGATGATACTTGCGACTGACAGCACTGATATCTGCTTTTTTTTTTCTGTGCCAATTCCATGGCAAATATTTGACTATGGTAGAATGAAGAAAATAACAAGTAAACAGTGAGNGATGATACTTGCGACTGACAGCACTGATATCTGCTTTTTTTTTTCTGTGCCAATTCCGTGGCAAATATAAAATAACAAGTAAACAGTGATACATTAAAAATAGACAATATCAATTATTATGTTTTTTGGTTCTTGGTTCTTAGATCTTTGCCACCATTGGCCAAGAAATATGTATTGGCATTGTTGTACGTTGATGGACCAGTAACAGCCAAATTATTGGAAGAGTGGGTGCTTGCTGATGGGTTCTCAAAGCATAGAGTAGCCTTTGACAGATTACTACAACTGAGAATATTGACTGAAATTGTTGAGAGGTATTCTATAACCTTTCTTTTGTAGTGGCCTGATTTTTCTTTCCTGGGCTTTATCTATTGTTGTTTTTATGGTGATGGTGTGGATGCTGTGTCAAATTTTAGCAAATAATGACCAGAAGAAATCTATAGTTAGGTAATGTTATTTGAAATGGAAAGACAGTTCATCATCCCTTTAAAGTCCTTCATGTTCACTTGACACTCAACTAGGGTCCTCAACTTGCATTCTAATTCTATTTGAGTCTCCATTTATTCCTTTTCCAGTACTTTTGTCTGGTTCATATAAATTTTAAAACCACATTTGTTCAAACTCTGGTTTTGCTCTAGTCTTGTGGCTCTATTAATAGCACAGCCTACAATGGGAATCTTCTTTGTTTTTCAAAACAAGTAACTTTTTACCCCTTTTTCATTCATTTGTTTTGTAGTTTTCAGTTCCACCTGAAAAATATGTCAAAATCTATTAAAAAAGAGGACTTGTTTTTTTCTGCCATTTTGTTGCATGTTTTTGTTTTCTTTCTCCCTCAGAATACACCTGTTGCTTTTGAAGCTTTTAGAGGTATCAATTTTTCTTCGTAATTCAATCCCCTATTTTTGCCTTTCTGCTGAAGTTGTTAATGTTGGCAGGAAAAAGGAAACGATGTATAGACTAAATACGATTTTTCAAATTAATATGCAGAAGCGAATATTAAATGGGTAAGTTTATCTCCTCATGATTGATCTATGTGTTAGTTGCTTGTAATTGTGTCTTTTCTCCTTTCCGTTGGGTAGAAGCCATTGTCTTCCCATCCTGGTTATTTTCTTTTTAAATCTGCCTTTTGTAGGGGTGGTTATAGCTCAGTAAGAGTGTCAGGACAAAAAATGAGTTCAGTCTGTTTGGGACTCTCTGAAGTTCTGTAGCTGGATAAAAACTGTTGCCATTAGCTTTAGGAGTAGGAGATCTTTTCCTTCTTCTACTCATATACACATTTGTGAGTTTTTCTGCAATGTGTTGTGACCACCTTACTGGGATGCGGCTCATCAATATAGGCCGTCCAACCTTTGCCTTCCTTTTCATTTGCACTTCACAACATGTTGCTAAGCCCTGTCATTTATGAAGTTGAGAATGACATTACATTTTGCATTCTCGTGGTTCCCAAGAACTAATGTGAATTTCTGATGTCTACGTATGATCCATGGGAGGAATATGTTTTTACCCTCTTGCATATTGCTTTAGTTATCAGTAGCTATGTATGATCTTTGAATTGGATATTGCAGTGGAGTTTTACCCAGAGAACCAATGCCTTCAAATATCACTGTGAGGCTTCCAACCTTGGACGAGCTGGATTCCTACGCTGTTGGGCAATGGGAGGTCTAAAGTTCATCAGTTTTGTTGTTGTCTATCTCATTTGTGTGTGCGTCTCTAAAAGATAGGGTCATGAGTTCCTAGCTGTGATGAGACCCCTTTTTTGTAGATGGTGTACCTGGTTTTTACAACTGGTTGTTTGGCAGTTTTAATATACTTATTACCACTCATTTTTTTTGTATTGGAATTGTGGCAAATCAGTGTTTCTTGTTGCACCTCATAAACTCCGCTGAAGCTGAAACAATCAAAAATATCAGTTCTTCTATGATGAAAGTTTTCCAGCGAGGCCTTTTGAGTCAAAGGTCCTTTTCATTCTCTATAAAACTGATATGTTTCCATATTGTCAAACATAATGATATGTATTCTACATATCTTAATTGCTATGTTTTTTTTTTTTTGGTTGGGGGAGGAGGTTGGGATGTACCACTACATATTTCACACTATGTAAATATGTGACTTTTTGACAGAGATAAAGAAGCTCCAAAGTTGACTGAGAGTGGTTTCCAGTTCTTGGTAAGGAACTATGCATATTAATCATGTGCAAAGTGTTCTATTAAAAAAAAATTGATTCGTGTATCTAACAGCTGATGGATACGAATGCACAACTTTGGTACATCATCAGGGAATATATCACTAATTCTGAGGTAGGGACTCTTGGGGGGTTTTTTTTTTTTTTGCCTTGTTTGGATAGGGTACTCTTAACATTTCTTCCCTCATGTCTTTTGCTGTATAAATCCTGCATAACTTCTTAATTTGATCCAAATACTAATCAGTTTATAAACTAGGAAACTTGATGAAAGACTTTTTTGCTTTAGCTGTGAACTGGATTTTCCATACATTTAAGTTTTGTTTCAGACTAATGAAGCTTGTGCTTATATTCCTGATTTTTATATAAAATTCTTTAGATTTATTAACATTAGTAGTAATTCCATGGTTATGGCATCTATTTGGATCATTTTGGCACAGGAGAGAGGCTTAGATACTGCAGATCTTATCTCATTTCTGCTGGAGCTCAGCTTTCATGTTGCTGGTGAGGTACTACATAGTCATTTGTATCAATCTTCTTCTGGAGTACTTTCTGAAGTATTCTATTATAATTGTGTAACTGTCTGTTAGGTGCTTTTATGTTTGTTGTCCTATAATACATACAGTATTGAAACTTGAACACTCAGTTGATGAGCACGATTCTGCATCTCAGTTTGTAGAATTTCTGTTGAGTTTCTTGAAATATTTGTTGTCAGACAGATCCTAAGTCATTCTGCATACACTACTGGGTGTTGAATTTTCTATGTAGGCCTACAATATGAACACGCTGACTGATATTCAGAGGAATACTATCAAGGACCTTGTGGACCTGGGATTGGTCAAGCTCCAGCAGGTGCATAGCATTGTGTAATACTTTTCTGATATAATTTTCCTATTACTTACAAGGTTTTCTTTTATATTTGTGCTTTACTAGGGAAGGAAAGAGAGTTGGTTCATTCCTACTAAATTGGCTACCAATCTCTCAATAAGCTTATCGGATACATCATCTAGGAAACAGGTAACCTTCGTTCTGATTCAAACATATCCTCAAATTTAGCACATTGGTGGATTTTATTTATGACAACTTAGAAATGATTTTTCTTTCTTACTTTGAATGTTGTGACCTCATTTAAATTAGATATTCAGATATTTATTAAGTGTTTTCTAATTTTCATGATGAGATCTGGTTATTTTGTTTTTTAATTCAGGGATTTGTTGTTGTGGAGACAAACTTCAGAATGTATGCGTACTCAACATCCAAATTACATTGTGAGATTTTACGCCTCTTCTCAAGGTATGCCACCATTTTGTTTCAGATATGTCACTCAGGAAAGCTTTCTTCCATTTGGAAGGAAGTATGGCATAGGAATCACCATTCTGGTTGTTTATAAAAGTATTGGTGGTTCTGTTTTTGCATTTTTATAGTTTTGATTAAGGTTAATGGTTTTCTCTGATCATAATTTGTTTCTTCATTTCCTGTCCAAACTGATTAAGGATATCCACTTCACAATATATTACCTCCCTATGTTGGATTCTTCGACAAAGTTTGATTGTTGCGTCTGTGGATATTGCTATAGAGCTGCTTTTATTAATGTGTGATGCATCCTTTGATTTTTCCTTTCCTTTTTTATTTTGGGTTGAAAAGGGGGGGGGGGGGGGGCGGTGGTGTGAAGCTTGAGAGCCCCCACAACCATTCAGAAATGACATTTTATAAACAACCAGAATGCTTTTATTGAGATTTTTCAAATTGTTTTCACAATTGTTCTCATTTAGCTTCAACGACTTTTTTGTTCCAAGTGCTATTCTTCTATATTTAATTCAACTCTGAGGGTAATGGGGTTGTGGTGAAAATGCAGTGTAGAATATCAGCTCCCGAACCTCATTGTTGGAGCAATTAAAAAAGAAAATCTGTACAAGGCTTTTGAAAATGGCATCACTGCAGACCAGGCAAGTCTCAGATTCTAATTTTCTGTTGTCTAATTATATGATTGTAAAATTATTCAATTACAAAGATTATCTTGTTTATTACTCTATTACTTTATATCTTATTTTGCTACTTAAGTCTTGAACTTTTGGAATTGCAGATAATTTCTTTTCTTCAGCAGAATGCACATCCTCGAGTTGCAGAAAGAGTACCATCTGTACCTGAAAATGTCACTGATCAGGTTTTGTCTTTTCTTATTTCGTATGAACCCAAATACTGCTGCTTCTCTACCTTAAATATGGTGTACCTCCCACCTCTATCCAATTTAGTATTATGCTTTCTTCTTTATGACCAACCTCTTGAAGTAAGCCTTTTTTTGTACAAATGATAACAATTGAAAAGGCATTCTCACCTCATCTTCATTCCATAATTGTATGAATGGCCCCTTCCAATTTGGAAACCTAGATGATAAATAGATAATCCGAAGCATCCTGAAATGCTGTTTTTCTTTCACAGATTAGATTATGGGAATCAGATCTGAACAGGATTGAGATGACAGCAGCACATCTTTATGATGAATTTCCTTCTAGGGTAAGAATTAGGTGGCCAAGCACATCTCCACTTCAATGTTGTTCTTTGCGTGTATCGACTGCTGCAATATTATGATATGATTGTGTTACCTTGTCTTGCAGGAAGTCTTTGAGGCTGCTTGCGATTTTGCACAAGAATATGGTGGTCAGTTATGGATGGATTCGAAAAGCATGCGTGTTATAGTCAAGGCAGAAATTTTAACAAACATGAAAGACTTTCTTCGCCGCCAACAACAGTAGTTCCTTTTCTGTTCTCTCTCTCTTTTTTTTCTCCTCCCTCACTGGAATCGATGCGTAAGAAAGCATCTATTTTTGTAAATAGATAATGAATTACCATAAGAAAGGGAAAATAAAAAATAATGTGACACATACTCGTACTAGTTTTTGTAGTTTCAACTAATCATCTGTTCTTGGTAGTTATTCCCCTGTAATTAGTAGGTTGAGGTGTTGGGGCTTTTGTTTAAGCTTCTTGAATGAGGAACTGTGTTAAACCAATGAGAAAGGTAGAGGTGTTTTTATGGGGTTTTACCAATGCTAACCTCTTGGGGCCAAGTTAGGGATTCATTCCTTATAAATACTATAATTTTGACGTGGATGACTTGCATTTGAATGGTATGGAAAGAGAGATTAGTCGAAGTACGACTAAGTTAGTCTGATCATACCTTGACTGTTGAACAAAAAAATATATATATAGAAATCCTCTCTTGAAAATATTACCAGTAAGAAGAGGAATGATTTGATATTTGGTAAGGGTGCAAATAAATCTGATTGAGCCAAGCATTAGACTGTTTGAGAGAATAGATGTATTACATCAATATTTCCAACTCAAATGTCTCAAACACCAAAGGTCATACAAATGAAAAAATTTCATTGCTCATTCTCAACATAAAACTACTGATTCCTCCCAAACAAGTCNCTTTGAGGCTGCTTGCGATTTTGCACAAGAATATGGTGGTCAGTTATGGATGGATTCCAAAAGCATGCGTGTTATAGTCAAGGCAGAAATTTTAACAAACATGAAAGAGTTTCTTCGCCGCCAACAACAGTAGTTCCTTTTCTGTTCTCTCTCTCTTTTTTTTCTCCTCCCTCACTGGAATCGATGCGTAAGAAAGCATCTATTTTTGTAAATAGATAATGAATTACCATAAGAAAGGGAAAATAAAAAATAATGTGACACATACTCGTACTAGTTTTTGTAGTTTCAACTAATCATCTGTTCTTGGTAGTTATTCCCCTGTAATTAGTAGGTTGAGGTGTTGGGGCTTTTGTTTAAGCTTCTTGAATGAGGAACTGTGTTAAACCAATGAGAAAGGTAGAGGTGTTTTTATGGGGTTTTACCAATGCTAACCTCTTGGGGCCAAGTTAGGGATTCATTCCTTATAAATACTATAATTTTGACGTGGATGACTTGCATTTGAATGGTATGGAAAGAGAGATTAGTCGAAGTACGACTAAGTTAGTCTGATCATACCTTGACTGTTGAACAAAAAAATATATATATAGAAATCCTCTCTTGAAAATATTACCAGTAAGAAGAGGAATGATTTGATATTTGGTAAGGGTGCAAATAAATCTGATTGAGCCAAGCATTAGACTGTTTGAGAGAATAGATGTATTACATCAATATTTCCAACTCAAATGTCTCAAACACCAAAGGTCATACAAATGAAAAAATTTCATTGCTCATTCTCAACATAAAACTACTGATTCCTCCCAAACAAGTCACAAACAATGACACTTCAAAAATAAAATACCAAAAAAAATTCGTATCCGACATTAAATAAGAAGAGAGGAGAGAGAGAGANTTTTCTTCTCCTCCCTCACTGGAATCGATGCGTAAGAAAGCATCTATTTTTGTAAATAGATAATGAATTACCATAAGAAAGGGAAAATAAAAAATAATGTGACACATACTCGTACTAGTTTTTGTAGTTTCAACTAATCATCTGTTCTTGGTAGTTATTCCCCTGTAATTAGTAGGTTGAGGTGTTGGGGCTTTTGTTTAAGCTTCTTGAATGAGGAACTGTGTTAAACCAATGAGAAAGGTAGAGGTGTTTTTATGGGGTTTTACCAATGCTAACCTCTTGGGGCCAAGTTAGGGATTCATTCCTTATAAATACTATAATTTTGACGTGGATGACTTGCATTTGAATGGTATGGAAAGGGAGATTAGTCGAAGTACGAGTAAGTTAGTCTGATCATACCTTGACTGTTGAACAAAAAAATATATATATAGAAATCCTCTCTTGAAAATATTACCAGCAAGAAGAGGAATGATTTGATATTTGGTAAGGGTGCAAATAAATCTGATTGAGCCAAGCATTAGACTGTTTGAGAGAATAGATGTATTACATCAATATTTCCAACTCAAATGTCTCAAACACCAAAGGTCATACAAATGAAAAAATTTCATTGCTCATTCTCAACATAAAACTACTGATTCCTCCCAAACAAGTCACAAACAATGACACTTCAAAAATAAAATACCAAAAAAAATTCGTATCCGACATTACATAAGAAGAGAGGAGAGAGAGAGAGAGNCAAACATATCCTCAAATTTAGCACATTGGTGGATTTTATTTATGACAACTTAGAAATGATTTTTCTTTCTTACTTTGAATGTTGTGACCTCGTTTAAATTAGATATTCAGATATTTATTAAGTGTTTTCTAATTTTCATGATGAGATCTGGTTATTTTGTTTTTTAATTCAGGGATTTGTTGTTGTGGAGACAAACTTCAGAATGTATGCGTACTCAACATCCAAATTACATTGTGAGATTTTACGCCTCTTCTCAAGGTATGCCACCATTTTGTTTCAGATATGTCACTCAGGAAAGCTTTCTTCCATTTGGAAGGAAGTATGGCATAGGAATCACCATTCTGGTTGTTTATAAAAGTATTGGTGGTTCTGTTTTTGCATTTTTATAGTTTTGATTAAGGTTAATGGTTTTCTCTGATCATAATTTGTTTCTTCATTTCCTGTCCAAACTGATTAAGGATATCCACTTCACAATATATTACCTCCCTATGTTGGATTCTTCGACAAAGTTTGATTGTTGCGTCTGTGGATATTGCTATAGAGCTGCTTTTATTAATGTGTGATGCATCCTTTGATTTTTCCTTTCCTTTTTTATTTTGGGTTGAAAAGGGGGGGGGGGGGCGGTGGTGTGAAGCTTGAGAGCCCCCACAACCATTCAGAAATGACATTTTATAAACAACCAGAATGCTTTTATTGAGATTTTTCAAATTGTTTTCACAATTGTTCTCATTTAGCTTCAACGACTTTTTTGTTCCAAGTGCTATTCTTCTATATTTAATTCAACTCTGAGGGTAATGGGGTTGTGGTGAAAATGCAGTGTAGAATATCAGCTCCCGAACCTCATTGTTGGAGCAATTAAAAAAGAAAATCTGTACAAGGCTTTTGAAAATGGCATCACTGCAGACCAGGCAAGTCTCAGATTCTAATTTTCTGTTGTCTAATTATATGATTGTAAAATTATTCAATTACAAAGATTATCTTGTTTATTACTCTATTACTTTATATCTTATTTTGCTACTTAAGTCTTGAACTTTTGGAATTGCAGATAATTTCTTTTCTTCAGCAGAATGCACATCCTCGAGTTGCAGAAAGAGTACCATCTGTACCTGAAAATGTCACTGATCAGGTTTTGTCTTTTCTTATTTCGTATGAACCCAAATACTGCTGCTTCTCTACCTTAAATATGGTGTACCTCCCACCTCTATCCAATTTAGTATTATGCTTTCTTCTTTATGACCAACCTCTTGAAGTAAACATATTTTGTACAAATGATAACAAGTGAAAAGGCATTCTCACCTCATCTTCATTCCATAATTGTATGAATGGGCCCTTCCAATTTGGAAACCTAGATGATAAATAGATAATCCGAAGCATCCTGAAATGCTGTTTTTCTTTCACAGATTAGATTATGGGAATCAGATCTGAACAGGATTGAGATGACAGCAGCACATCTTTATGATGAATTTCCTTCTAGGGTAAGAATTAGGTGGCCAAGCACATCTCCACTTCAATGTTGTTCTTTGCGTGTATCGACTGCTGCAATATTATGATATGATTGTGTTACCTTGTCTTGCAGGAAGTCTTTGAGGCTGCTTGCGATTTTGCACAAGAATATGGTGGTCAGTTATGGATGGATTCCAAAAGCATGCGTGTTATAGTCAAGGCAGAAATTTTAACAAACATGAAAGAGTTTCTTCGCCGCCAACAACAGTAGTTCCTTTTCTGTTCTCTCTCTCTTTTTCTTCTCCTCCCTCACTGGAATCGATGCGTAAGAAAGCATCTATTTTTGTAAATAGATAATGAATTACCATAAGAAAGGGAAAATAAAAAATAATGTGACACATACTCGTACTAGTTTTTGTAGTTTCAACTAATCATCTGTTCTTGGTAGTTATTCCCCTGTAATTAGTAGGTTGAGGTGTTGGGGCTTTTGTTTAAGCTTCTTGAATGAGGAACTGTGTTAAACCAATGAGAAAGGTAGAGGTGTTTTTATGGGGTTTTACCAATGCTAACCTCTTGGGGCCAAGTTAGGGATTCATTCCTTATAAATACTATAATTTTGACGTGGATGACTTGCATTTGAATGGTATGGAAAGGGAGATTAGTCGAAGTACGAGTAAGTTAGTCTGATCATACCTTGACTGTTGAACAAAAAAATATATATATAGAAATCCTCTCTTGAAAATATTACCAGCAAGAAGAGGAATGATTTGATATTTGGTAAGGGTGCAAATAAATCTGATTGAGCCAAGCATTAGACTGTTTGAGAGAATAGATGTATTACATCAATATTTCCAACTCAAATGTCTCAAACACCAAAGGTCATACAAATGAAAAAATTTCATTGCTCATTCTCAACATAAAACTACTGATTCCTCCCAAACAAGTCACAAACAATGACACTTCAAAAATAAAATACCAAAAAAAATTCGTATCCGACATTACATAAGAAGAGAGGAGAGAGAGAGAGAGGGGCAAAAAAAAAGCTAATGGAGGCACCTATTCAGTTTTCTTAGTGGCCTTTGTTGACAATTTTCTCTTCATCCGGCTAAAGGGTCCAACCGTCCGATCCATGATATACATGTAAATGACCTGGCTCCAAGATCTATATGACTCTAAATTCTTGTAATACTCTGGTGCAATCTCCTTCACCTTGTGAAGCTTGTTCCCTGCAATTCTAGGAAAATCATGGTGTTCATTGTGGTAACCCACACTCCATGTCATAAGATTTAAGGGGCCGTAGCACGAATATGTTTCTTGGTCTGGCTTGAAGACATAATGTTCTGAGATAAAATGACCAGCCATTGGGTGGAGACCGCCCCCAACGAATGTGGACAGGATCATATAGGCAAAAGATTTCCAGCCCCAAATGTAAACCATGGCTGCATCAAGGGCTAGCTGGATGATCAAATTGACGAACTCCCACATACCAGGGGGTTTTGGTTTGAGGAAGAGAGGCCGAAGGGCATAGAAGAAGAGTTGGAAGATGACCCATATAAATTTTGCAACAACATTTGTCACGATATTGGCTTCAGTGAGGCTTGGGATGTCCATGTCGATTCCATCCACCCCTTGGAAGCGATGATGCTCAAGGTGGTACTTTTGGAAAGTGACCGACATTGGTACACCAATAGGGAGATTAGCAAAAATCCCAAGCCAGCGGTTGTAGACTGGAGTAGAGAAGGCGAGATTATGACTGAGCTCATGAATGGCTAAGAAGAGATTGTGGTTTAGAAAAGAGCCAAAAAAATAGGCCACCATCAGTATCTTCAGCCAACCTGCATTCTGGAGATAAGTAGCAGTCCATAGCTGAAGCAAAACAAACCCAGCAATCTGCAAGACCACAACACATTGAGGATATCAATCAAGAATCTTTACTGAATTTAATTGATATAATCTTAATAACTCCGGTACACTTTTTGACAAAACAACAGCTAAGTATGATAGTACTTCAAAGATTAACAAGACCAGCGAAACAAAATCAAGCATTAGATTAACAAGACCAGTGAAACAAAACAAAGCATTAGATTAAGTTCCAAGCACAGTTCCGATTCCTTCAGTTCTTATAGTTAGCCAAAAACAATGAACTACTAGTGGCACACAGAGTAAGACCAATCCAAATTGTGAGGTTTTTTTTACCAACTTGATGACTTTTACCTTTCTGCAATATGGGAAATACAAGAACTTCAGAACTAGCAATTTTTTGTCTGAATCTCATAAATATATCAATAAGTCCCTGCAATCCCAGCACCTTGCGCTCAAAAGTTATCCATCACGATTAAAGGGATCTTTTATATGCCTATACCCCCAACATAATTAAGTTTCTCCATGTCCACATATAATCTATACAATAACTGGTAATCAGTTCAGGACATCCATCTTATTGTGCTTCTACCTTTTTGAACCAGGCATAATGTATACAGAAACTTGGAATCAGTTCCTGGATATCCAGTTAATTGTGTTTCTATTGACTCAAACGCATAAATTTTCACAGGACATCCATAGTTGGACTAACCAGCGCATACCCTTAAAGCTGTAAACCACTCAAGCTTCTTCTACCTATGAAGATATGAATGTTATTCTTGTATTATTTTTAATTTTCATTGAATTGTGGGACCCTGTGATCACCTAGAGCCAACTAGGTAATAGCACAAGCCCAAAAATNCTTTGAGGCTGCTTGCGATTTTGCACAAGAATATGGTGGTCAGTTATGGATGGATTCGAAAAGCATGCGTGTTATAGTCAAGGCAGAAATTTTAACAAACATGAAAGACTTTCTTCGCCGCCAACAACAGTAGTTCCTTTTCTGTTCTCTCTCTCTTTTTCTTCTCCTCCCTCACTGGAATCGATGCGTAAGAAAGCATCTATTTTTGTAAATAGATAATGAATTACCATAAGAAAGGGAAAATAAAAAATAATGTGACACATACTCGTACTAGTTTTTGTAGTTTCAACTAATCATCTGTTCTTGGTAGTTATTCCCCTGTAATTAGTAGGTTGAGGTGTTGGGGCTTTTGTTTAAGCTTCTTGAATGAGGAACTGTGTTAAACCAATGAGAAAGGTAGAGGTGTTTTTATGGGGTTTTACCAATGCTAACCTCTTGGGGCCAAGTTAGGGATTCATTCCTTATAAATACTATAATTTTGACGTGGATGACTTGCATTTGAATGGTATGGAAAGAGAGATTAGTCGAAGTACGACTAAGTTAGTCTGATCATACCTTGACTGTTGAACAAAAAAATATATATATAGAAATCCTCTCTTGAAAATATTACCAGTAAGAAGAGGAATGATTTGATATTTGGTAAGGGTGCAAATAAATCTGATTGAGCCAAGCATTAGACTGTTTGAGAGAATAGATGTATTACATCAATATTTCCAACTCAAATGTCTCAAACACCAAAGGTCATACAAATGAAAAAATTTCATTGCTCATTCTCAACATAAAACTACTGATTCCTCCCAAACAAGTCACAAACAATGACACTTCAAAAATAAAATACCAAAAAAAATTCGTATCCGACATTAAATAAGAAGAGAGGAGAGAGAGAGAGAGAGAGAGAGAGAGGGGCAAAAAAAAAGCTAATGGAGGCACCTATTCAGTTTTCTTAGTGGCCTTTGTTGACAATTTTCTCTTCATCCGGCTAAAGGGTCCAACCGTCCGATCCATGATATACATGTAAATGACCTGGCTCCAAGATCTATATGACTCTAAATTCTTGTAATACTCTGGTGCAATCTCCTTCACCTTGTGAAGCTTGTTCCCTGCAATTCTAGGAAAATCATGGTGTTCATTGTGGTAACCCACACTCCATGTCATAAGATTTAAGGGGCCGTAGCACGAATATGTTTCTTGGTCTGGCTTGAAGACATAATGTTCTGAGATAAAATGACCAGCCATTGGGTGGAGACCGCCCCCAACGAATGTGGACAGGATCATATAGGCAAAAGATTTCCAGCCCCAAATGTAAACCATGGCTGCATCAAGGGCTAGCTGGATGATCAAATTGACGAACTCCCACATACCAGGGGGTTTTGGTTTGAGGAAGAGAGGCCGAAGGGCATAGAAGAAGAGTTGGAAGATGACCCATATAAATTTTGCAACAACATTTGTCACGATATTGGCTTCAGTGAGGCTTGGGATGTCCATGTCGATTCCATCCACCCCTTGGAAGCGATGATGCTCAAGGTGGTACTTTTGGAAAGTGACCGACATTGGTACACCAATAGGGAGATTAGCAAAAATCCCAAGCCAGCGGTTGTAGACTGGAGTAGAGAAGGCGAGATTATGACTGAGCTCATGAATGGCTAAGAAGAGATTGTGGTTTAGAAAAGAGCCAAAAAAATAGGCCACCATCAGTATCTTCAGCCAACCTGCATTCTGGAGATAAGTAGCAGTCCATAGCTGAAGCAAAACAAACCCAGCAATCTGCAAGACCACAACACATTGAGGATATCAATCAAGAATCTTTACTGAATTTAATTGATATAATCGTAATAACTCCGGTACACTTTTTGACAAAACAACAGCTAAGTATGATAGTACTTCAAAGATTAACAAGACCAGCGAAACAAAATCAAGCATTAGATTAACAAGACCAGTGAAACAAAACAAAGCATTAGATTAAGTTCCAAGCACAGTTCCGATTCCTTCAGTTCTTATAGTTAGCCAAAAACAATGAACTACTAGTGGCACACAGAGTAAGACCAATCCAAATTGTGAGGTTTTTTTTACCAACTTGATGACTTTTACCTTTCTGCAATATGGGAAATACAAGAACTTCAGAACTAGCAATTTTTTGTCTGAATCTCATAAATATATCAATAAGTCCCTGCAATCCCAGCACCTTGCGCTCAAAAGTTATCCATCACGATTAAAGGGATCTTTTATATGCCTATACCCCCAACATAATTAAGTTTCTCCATGTCCACATATAATCTATACAATAACTGGTAATCAGTTCAGGACATCCATCTTATTGTGCTTCTACCTTTTTGAACCAGGCATAATGTATACAGAAACTTGGAATCAGTTCCTGGATATCCAGTTAATTGTGTTTCTATTGACTCAAACGCATAAATTTTCACAGGACATCCATAGTTGGACTAACCAGCGCATACCCTTAAAGCTGTAAACCACTCAAGCTTCTTCTACCTATGAAGATATGAATGTTATTCTTGTATTATTTTTAATTTTCATTGAATTGTGGGACCCTGTGATCACCTAGAGCCAACTAGGTAATAGCACAAGCCCAAAAATAAATTGTGCAGAGAGCTATGTTTTGGGAAATATATGAAACCAAACCAAACCAAACTTAATTTCCCCGCAACAATGAATTCCTTGTGGAAGACTCATAAGTCATAACTCATGGGAAAGCCATATCACAGCATTCAGAGTCATAATGGAGTAATGAAAGAAATGTGATCCATTTGTGATGTGACTGAACCTACATTTGCCGTCCCAATCACAACGATGAGCTTTCATGGAAAATGTCATGGAAATTACCCAAAAAAGTTTGTAGTCCACACTTACCCTAACAAATTCAGCAAAACTCAGAAATCCCATTAACAGTAAAGTGCCAAAAATCAGAACTTTTCACCAAACCAGTAGAACAAAACCGAAACCCATCTTGAAATTGAGAAAATCACAAATAATGTCCCAATAAAAGGGTATAATTTCCAAATATTCAAGTCACAAAATGCATATCAAAACATACACGAACTGTACATCTAAACAATGAAGCATATTCACATTAATCTATTGAACAACAAATCCAACACACACACAATGCAACCAGTACAAACACCAACGAAAAATCCATACTCATCTTAAAATTGAGAAAATCACAAATAATGGCCCAGCAAAAGTATAATTTCCAAATATTTAAATCACAAAAATGCATATCAAAAGATATACAAACGGACGGTATACCTAAAAAATGAAGCACATTCATATGAATCTATTGGTTTGGACATTCAAACGGTACACTTTCTCACACTCATAATAATGTCACAGATCTCAAAAACCCATTTCAGAAACAACAGTATGTATCTATATATATACCTTGAGAAAAGCCCAGGGATCAGGGCCAAAAAGCTCTTTGATTTGAGGGTACTGGGAGAGGATCTGTTTTCTACGTGTGGCATGAGGCTCGTCTGTGTACGACCAGAAGAAGTCCGTTGCCATCACTCCCTCTTCCCCTCCCATTGTCATTCTCTCTCTACAACCCAATTCCTGTCTGTCTGTCTCTATGTGGTGAATTTAAATCGTTAACATCATCGCTAAATTAGCGGTTTAATTATACGGTGTGAAAATTCTTGGACTCTCTCTCTCTCTCTCTCTCTATCGACCGGTTTTACAGCTGGGAAATGGACTCCCACCAGATATTCTTTTTCCCACTTTCCACTGCTCACGTGACTCCAGTTTAACTCATGCATAAATCCATCCGTTTGAATTTGAATTTTATTCTGATCAAAAAAAAAAATTTGAATTTTATAATCTTTTTAGGTTAGGCTAACTAATTATAAAATCGAGCTCTAAATTCAAATATTTTAAGTTTAAATTTTAATAATTTTTTAGGGTAAGGTCATGAAAAATTTTATTCCTCGTGAATTTGAATTTTATTGGTTTCAAAAAAAATAAATAAATATTTGAATTTTATAACTATTTTAGGGCAGTTAAGTGATAATAAAATCGAACTCTAAATTCAACGTTTTGAATTTAAATTTTGATAATTTTTTGAGATAAGGTCACAAAAGATATTATTTCTCGTGAATATTCTAATCTCGATATCGGACTGAAGAAGGATTTGTTGAGATACAGACAAATTTACTCAAACACCTTTAACCGTTGAATCGAAAAAAAAAAAAGAATTAGTTTAACTAATGCATTTTGTTTTGTGAGAATTTGCATAAAAGCTAGAGTTTAGCTAATGAATTTTGTTTGTGAGAATTTGCATAAAATTTGCGTCGTAGTTACGAATTTAAAAAATATTTTGTTTAGATCAAATATTTATTATGAGGAAAAAAAAAAGATATGACGACATGCATAAATAAAATTCAAATGAAACACACAAAAAGACAAGTTGCATTTTCTAAGACCGAAAATGAATTGTGTTGTATTATGTGAAACTAACGGCTATTTTTAGACATCAATCATTCATTTTTCACGACAAAACTTTAGAATTTTCTATCATTCATTTTTCGACACGAAACTTTAAAATTATCTTATTTTGATTAGGGAGTGTGTGGTGTTTATTAAAATATAACGGATACAACCTAACATTTTAGGACGATAATGCATTGTACTTGCTCACAATAGCTCAACCAATGCATGTTTCATTTTGTAAGTCAATTTGATTTATCAATACAATTATCACATTAAAATTGACTCAGCTAACCTGCAATTCGTTATTGAGCGGACTTTGTGGGACAATCTAATTATAATCCAAACTTATTAAGAACTAAACTTAAACCCAAAAACTTCGTATCAAATTAACATATGATATTAATTTGATCTACTAGTTTCCCAACCAAAGGAGGCAAAAAACTCCAACACCCTGCATAAAAACGTACTCAGTGCACGAAACTCTCACCATTGCGCAGTTTAAAGAAGGTTAGATATATACAACCTTATTCCTCCAAGTAGAAAAATGTCATGAGTGTACACCAAAGCACTCCACTGATATCTTCCAACACCCTGCGTTACATGGGCTAAATTTGATTATATTTATACTTCTAAGAAAGTGAGTTTCTGAATTTTTCAGATAATAGCAATGTAAATTGGAAGATATAAGTGAGCACTTTGGTGTACTCTCATGACATTTTTCTATGCATTCAGGTTTCCCACAGCAAATTTCATTCATTTCTGCACAAAAGAGGGCAGGTCTTGAACACCGCATATTCGAATCATGAACACAACCTCCCCATATCAAATAATGGATGTGAAAGCACACCAAGATCCATCATTACATCACCTGAACCAGAGGAAAACAATCATCCACTCCAATTCACTTAAATAATCTTAAGAAGAAAACAATGCTCCTCAGAAATGATCAAAATTTTATTTTGGTACATAATTTCGGTCAAAAAAAACCGTTTTGAAATGTTTTGAAAACATTTTAAAACCAGAGAAAACTTTGAAATTCTTTTTCCAAAAATAGTATTCAACATCAAAAACACCTTGAAACATAGGAATTTCAATATTCAATGAATTATGGAAACCAAAACGTATCACGGTTACTACTTACTAGTGCATTCACTGAGAAAAAATCAAGCACAACCTCATTCAAGGGATTACCACTGCAACCAGATCACTTAAGCAAACTTTATAGCATATACAAAGAACCGATTGAACATATGACAACAGAAGTTCATAAACTTTAGATAATAATTCAGTTGACATTAAAGGAATGGGGAACCTCTAAAGCTCCTATAAGCAAACTCTCAAGCTGTACAAGCATGTACAATTTTATTTTTTTTAGAATTACAATTTAAAACCCATCTTGGTTAACTACCTCAGCCACAACCCCAGTACCCACAATAACTTAGGCCGGGTTCTATTAATGAACAGTGGATTTAAACCACTGCATTTCTAAAACCAATTTGACCAAATCCATTTTCGGTCCTTATGTCATCAAAAGAAAAGGGTAATTACTGTTTAAGGCCATGAGAAATCACTCATCCAGACAATAGCAGTTGCCTATCTTATATGACTGTCGTAGGTGTCAAAAAGCATTTGGGGAACGATTAAAGGCAACTTATCTATATACATGAACAGCCTTCTGAGATTCTCCCTTGTTACTGTAGCCATATCGATAACATCCCTACTGTCCACAAATACCCAGAGGTCACCAGAGTTCACTCGCTTCAGACTGTCACGGCAAAAGGGACATGATTGTGATCTCAAACACCTGGAACATGCCATAACATATCCACATTATTCTCATTGTTCAATAATAAACGAAATTTTGCAGTCAATGAAAAAATTAAGCACACAACATGGCACACACAAAAACCTCCTCTCCCAATTCCCCCCCGCCCCCCTGGGGGAAAAAAAAACAAATTTAGCAAGAGTCCCAGAGCAGGGAATATAATTGCAACATTCAGCATGGAATTTCCTTCCATGTTTTTAATATCATCCGACGTCCCTCTCCCCCTTGAAAAATAGGTTTTTACTTTTTTCCAATTTCCAGCAAGAATGGCTCGGCCACAACGAGCAATAGGGTTCTAAATAAGCCCAAAGTGGAGGGAGGATAAAAAACAAAATCCAAAGAAAAACTCAACCAGGAAGACAATTTTGTTTATATGTGCATTGAGAATCAGAATCATTCATATAGTATTCACAACAAAAGGTAATCTGATTCTTGTTTCCCGAGTTTTAACTAATGTTCCTTGTTTAAGGGTCCTCAAGAAAAAGAAAATGATTATAGTTTTCATCAAAATTAGATAGTCAGGTTTCAAAGATTCTTCTCGAATCATAGGAACCCATCTTTCAAAAATCAATAAAAAAATGTATGACTCGCAAAAAATTAAATTGAAACAAAACACGCCAATGCTCCTTGATGAAATGGCAAATCTATCTAATATTATAGTTAGGAAGTTAAATTATGAACTCATAAAAACACAACAACGGTCAAGATGAATCCAACTTTTATCTACTTTGATCCAATGGTACAAAATTTATCTAAAAAAAATTTTTCTTCCAAAAAATATCAGTTTCTCTACACGGCCCCAACGCATTCTCCAATGTCAGACAACTTAATCAACACATACCCCAATGTCAAACAACTCAATCAACACAACCCCAAATATCAAATAATTTCATCAATTCACACCTGCCACCCTCTTCATTTTAATTTTAAATTGCATAATAAAAAAAAATTAAATTGTCATATAAAATATAAATATTGCAGGATCAATGTTTGATTTTTGATATTGTATAATATCTTTAGACACGGGATTATTGCTAATATGAAAACAACAAATGTGCTATAGACTTAAAAACTAAATAAACATATGATTAGGGCTATCAAAACACATTATGCAACTTGGGCTCGACTCATTTTTGGCTGATTTAAAGTTCATTCACTCTAAAATATGAACCAAATTTGATTTATTAATCAAGCCCATTTTATAGCTGCCACGAGCTTGAGCCGCTTGCGAGCTTGGACTCACTTTTAAGTACATTAAATGTTTATCACCATTCAACACACATTATGAGATATTACTTATTTCTATCCGACTTTCCATTTTGGTAGACTTCACATGTATTTGGAGTATTCGAACCAACCACCTTCAATTAATTTAATATATCTCTCTCATCATTTCAACCACTAATTTTTTTGGGACAAATCATTCCGCCCACTTCAATCTTCATCTTTCTTTCTTACATGCATAGGCTTGGGTCCTACGACCCTGCAATTGCCTCTTCTCTTGCTTCCAAATTCTCTCCTTTTCTCTCTCCCTCTATGTCGTCCATGTTTGCTTTTATTTTAGTCATCCATTGAGATTGTAGTTTTTGTGGAGAGGATTTCAAACCTTAAAACCTTTGAAGCTTCTTGAGCCGGTGGAGACTACAACACCTCCTACTAATATCATACATCAAGTTAGGGAACGACTCTGGTGTTTGAAGCTAAAAACATTGTTGACAAAGCTATAGGTCTCTTTCCCCCATTTAATTTTTGGGATTTTTTGATAAAATTTTGAGCTCAGTTTTTGGCTTTAGCTCAGCTCAAATGCGAGCAGAGCAGAGCTACAACAAATTTGAGCTCAACAGTAAAGCTCAATCCGAATCCAAGCACGACCAAGTCGAGCTTGAGAAGATCAATTTGATTAACACCTCGTCATATGATAAGGCTTTATTCATTGCACTCGATGACATATAGGTGAAGTGACTAACTCTTGCATTAAATTTCCGCCTCTTCTACATAGAAAAGTCGTACCTAGTGCATTAAGTTCCCACCTATAGTGGGGTTTGAAAGAGGTACATGATAGGCTACCCGATTCTCGTCAATGTGCTCCTTTGTGATTTTGTCTAGTTTGAATATGCATCACCACAATAGAATAAAAATGCACACATCGAAGAAGTGCTTGTTCCAAACATGAATGCCTAAAAGTTGTAGAACTTGATTCCTAAAAACTTTATCAACACATTCAAGTCAACAAAATCTCAATGACAGGACTGTAAGAGTACAATGTTGTTGACCTAAGAACACCAGTAGTTACATAAGCCACAATTAAATTTAATAAACAAAGAATGGTGTGTGTTGTTGTTTGTTGAGAAGGGGGGGGGGGAGAGAGAGAGAGAGAGAGAGTACCAATCACGGTAGCATTTCAAGCACATGGCATGGTTGCAGTTGGGCAACACAATCTTACTGTTCATCTCCATGCAAATTCCACATTCTTCTTCCCTTTCAATATCTACATCCGAACAGTGCCTGTGTTCCTCATCATCTCTTCTTCTGTACCTTTCCATGCATACTGCCTTTTGCCTTTTATCTTCTGTATCACTCACACCTCTTTCAAGTTGTTGTAAGGAGGGATAAATGACAGCTGATGGCACAAGAAGTTCAGACATCAGCAGACAAAGCATGGACTAGAGGCTATTCCAGCTCATACATTAAGGGATGCAAATGCATCAGGTTGTACAAGTTTATCTTAAGTGGAATGCAATTGGATTATAGTGCAGAAACTTACCATAGAATTCTCTGACGCTTGCTTTTCTCTCGTGGGTAGACATGGTTGTGGTGCCATCCACATAAACCTGTTAAGTGAAGTGAGGTAGTCAGCCAGAGGCATGATGAACAAAGATTATGAATAGATAGAGAGACAGTGATATAAACAAGCTCCAACCTTGTAAATTAGGATTCTCAACAGTCCAAGAGCACCAGCAAGGTGGCAGTCTGTCCATTGTACTAGAAACAGGAACAGGTGTGCAGCTGGACTGTAGGACATTCTCATCTGTAGGCAGGCACCATCATATTCTCTTGGGAAATCTGATGCCCTGTACCCACATTGCAAGATTAGAATTTAAACAGAGCCAAGACAGGGTATTTAACCAAAATAGGTAAGCAAGCAGATAGCATACATCAGCATAACTACAAGCAGCATAACAACAAATACATCTAACAGAAACTGCTAGGAAGTGAAATCTAACCATCATTTTCCAACTGTAAGTCTCTACTCTGACCATCAAAAACTTGAAAGACCTTTTTTGACAGATCTTTTAAAGTAAAATGAATCATAGTTCTAAAGTAACAATGCACAAAACTGAGTATCCAAATGTTACTAAAAGTGTTAATGCTTAACCACCAAAATATTTTGCATTATAGAACAACATTTTGAATAAAAAAATAGGACCCAAAATTCTTCTTAATCAGAAGTAGCAGACACATCAACCATCTGTTTCATTTTCCGGCCTCTACATGTGCATCAATCCTACACTGTAAAATGTGGTCCCTTTTCTACTTGGGAGTGAAGGATGAAGTGAGTGTCAAGAAAGCATTGGGTAAAAAAATTAACCAGATGTCCTCAGGTCCACAGAGAGTACTGACCATCATGACCAACAAATTTGAGCTCAACAACTATCCTACTTGATATAATCACAATTCCAATATAATTTCCATAATTAAAAAGAAGATTAATCTACAATAGAGCATTTATCATCACTAGAATAACCCCATCTGCATTCAAGCTAATACTCACTTATCAATTTAAGTAAGAAGCAAGTATAAAAGAAAATTTACCTGAGTAAGTTAAGCATCAGTTATCATAAGAATAATACCTTTATCACAAATAGAAGCAACAAATAAACCTTTTTTTTTTTTTTTCATCAGAAACAAGACATGGAAACGTGAAGCTCACATCATCCAACTACTTTCCTTAATCAAATACAAACAATAATAGAGCCCATCTGATCAGTGTAAAAAAAAACAACAAAATCAAATGCATATCAGTAACAAAACTAGAGAGACAATTGAATCAGAAACATAATAGTGGAAAAATTAAACAAAATGTAAATAAAACTATAAAACTTTTAAACGTTCGATTCTCTAAGACTCTAGTTTTCGCACAAATTGATGAAATAAACAAACATATATGTACACACAAACACGTATACAAATATGTAGAGAGAGAGAGAGAGAAATGGAGAGAAAATAGTTGACTCACAGAGTATTAGCGTGCTGAATATCGGCTTCAAGAACTTTAAGAGAATCCTTGAATGACTTTCGCATTGAACCTCCTACGTACATCTTCCTCCTCCCAACACCAAAATTTTCCCTAGAAACAGATACTCACCATCAATCAACCCCCTCTCCTAGCACCTCTCTCTCGCCCTCTCACTCCAAACCCTCTCTCTCTCTCCACACATACTACTTTTCTCTCTCTAGAAAGTGCCCAGTCTATGCGTTCAGTTCTTCAATTCTAAATTTTCTTCTTCAAGGCAACGACAACGACGAAGGGGGAGCTATCGATTGCCACGTGGACTCGAGCTAGTGTCACACGGAGGCGTCAAAAAGTACTACAAATAGGAAGATAACGAAATATAATAATATCCAAGGGGTCAGAATTAATAAGAAACAATTACAGTCACTACCCTCTACAATTGTCAAAATTACATTCCATTCACTAAAATTTGAAACGTTATANAAACTCCAACACCCTGCATAAAAACGTACTCAGTGCACGAAACTCTCACCATTGCGCAGTTTAAAGAAGGTTAGATATATACAACCTTATTCCTCCAAGTAGAAAAATGTCATGAGTGTACACCAAAGCACTCCACTGATATCTTCCAACACCCTGCGTTACATGGGCTAAATTTGATTATATTTATACTTCTAAGAAAGTGAGTTTCTGAATTTTTCAGATAATAGCAATGTAAATTGGAAGATATAAGTGAGCACTTTGGTGTACTCTCATGACATTTTTCTATGCATTCAGGTTTCCCACAGCAAATTTCATTCATTTCTGCACAAAAGAGGGCAGGTCTTGAACACCGCATATTCGAATCATGAACACAACCTCCCCATATCAAATAATGGATGTGAAAGCACACCAAGATCCATCATTACATCACCTGAACCAGAGGAAAACAATCATCCACTCCAATTCACTTAAATAATCTTAAGAAGAAAACAATGCTCCTGAAATGATCAAAATTTTATTTTGGTACATAATTTCGGTCAAAAAAAACCGTTTTGAAATGTTTTGAAAACATTTTAAAACCAGAGAAAACTTTGAAATTCTTTTTCCAAAAATAGTATTCAACATCAAAAACACCTTGAAACATAGGAATTTCAATATTCAATGAATTATGGAAACCAAAACGTATCACGGTTACTACTTACTAGTGCATTCACTGAGAAAAAATCAAGCACAACCTCATTCAAGGGATTACCACTGCAACCAGATCACTTAAGCAAACTTTATAGCATATACAAAGAACCGATTGAACATATGACAACAGAAGTTCATAAACTTTAGATAATAATTCAGTTGACATTAAAGGAATGGGGAACCTCTAAAGCTCCTATAAGCAAACTCTCAAGCTGTACAAGCATGTACAATTTTATTTTTTTTAGAATTACAATTTAAAACCCATCTTGGTTAACTACCTCAGCCACAACCCCAGTACCCACAATAACTTAGGCCGGGTTCTATTAATGAACAGTGGATTTAAACCACTGCATTTCTAAAACCAATTTGACCAAATCCATTTTCGGTCCTTATGTCATCAAAAGAAAAGGGTAATTACTGTTTAAGGCCATGAGAAATCACTCATCCAGACAATAGCAGTTGCCTATCTTATATGACTGTCGTAGGTGTCAAAAAGCATTTGGGGAACGATTAAAGGCAACTTATCTATATACATGAACAGCCTTCTGAGATTCTCCCTTGTTACTGTAGCCATATCGATAACATCCCTACTGTCCACAAATACCCAGAGGTCACCAGAGTTCACTCGCTTCAGACTGTCACGGCAAAAGGGACATGATTGTGATCTCAAACACCTGGAACATGCCATAACATATCCACATTATTCTCATTGTTCAATAATAAACGAAATTTTGCAGTCAATGAAAAAATTAAGCACACAACATGGCACACACAAAAACCTCCTCTCCCAATTCCCCCCCGCCCCCCTGGGGGAAAAAAAAACAAATTTAGCAAGAGTCCCAGAGCAGGGAATATAATTGCAACATTCAGCATGGAATTTCCTTCCATGTTTTTAATATCATCCGACGTCCCTCTCCCCCTTGAAAAATAGGTTTTTACTTTTTTCCAATTTCCAGCAAGAATGGCTCGGCCACAACGAGCAATAGGGTTCTAAATAAGCCCAAAGTGGAGGGAGGATAAAAAACAAAATCCAAAGAAAAACTCAACCAGGAAGACAATTTTGTTTATATGTGCATTGAGAATCAGAATCATTCATATAGTATTCACAACAAAAGGTAATCTGATTCTTGTTTCCCGAGTTTTAACTAATGTTCCTTGTTTAAGGGTCCTCAAGAAAAAGAAAATGATTATAGTTTTCATCAAAATTAGATAGTCAGGTTTCAAAGATTCTTCTCGAATCATAGGAACCCATCTTTCAAAAATCAATAAAAAAATGTATGACTCGCAAAAAATTAAATTGAAACAAAACACGCCAATGCTCCTTGATGAAATGGCAAATCTATCTAATATTATAGTTAGGAAGTTAAATTATGAACTCATAAAAACACAACAACGGTCAAGATGAATCCAACTTTTATCTACTTTGATCCAATGGTACAAAATTTATCTAAAAAAAATTTTTCTTCCAAAAAATATCAGTTTCTCTACACGGCCCCAACGCATTCTCCAATGTCAGACAACTTAATCAACACATACCCCAATGTCAAACAACTCAATCAACACAACCCCAAATATCAAATAATTTCATCAATTCACACCTGCCACCCTCTTCATTTTAATTTTAAATTGCATAATAAAAAAAAATTAAATTGTCATATAAAATATAAATATTGCAGGATCAATGTTTGATTTTTGATATTGTATAATATCTTTAGACACGGGATTATTGCTAATATGAAAACAACAAATGTGCTATAGACTTAAAAACTAAATAAACATATGATTAGGGCTATCAAAACACATTATGCAACTTGGGCTCGACTCATTTTTGGCTGATTTAAAGTTCATTCACTCTAAAATATGAACCAAATTTGATTTATTAATCAAGCCCATTTTATAGCTGCCACGAGCTTGAGCCGCTTGCGAGCTTGGACTCACTTTTAAGTACATTAAATGTTTATCACCATTCAACACACATTATGAGATATTACTTATTTCTATCCGACTTTCCATTTTGGTAGACTTCACATGTATTTGGAGTATTCGAACCAACCACCTTCAATTAATTTAATATATCTCTCTCATCATTTCAACCACTAATTTTTTTGGGACAAATCATTCCGCCCACTTCAATCTTCATCTTTCTTTCTTACATGCATAGGCTTGGGTCCTACGACCCTGCAATTGCCTCTTCTCTTGCTTCCAAATTCTCTCCTTTTCTCTCTCCCTCTATGTCGTCCATGTTTGCTTTTATTTTAGTCATCCATTGAGATTGTAGTTTTTGTGGAGAGGATTTCAAACCTTAAAACCTTTGAAGCTTCTTGAGCCGGTGGAGACTACAACACCTCCTACTAATATCATACATCAAGTTAGGGAACGACTCTGGTGTTTGAAGCTAAAAACATTGTTGACAAAGCTATAGGTCTCTTTCCCCCATTTAATTTTTGGGATTTTTTGATAAAATTTTGAGCTCAGTTTTTGGCTTTAGCTCAGCTCAAATGCGAGCAGAGCAGAGCTACAACAAATTTGAGCTCAACAGTAAAGCTCAATCCGAATCCAAGCACGACCAAGTCGAGCTTGAGAAGATCAATTTGATTAACACCTCGTCATATGATAAGGCTTTATTCATTGCACTCGATGACATATAGGTGAAGTGACTAACTCTTGCATTAAATTTCCGCCTCTTCTACATAGAAAAGTCGTACCTAGTGCATTAAGTTCCCACCTATAGTGGAGTTTGAAAGAGGTACATGATAGGCTACCCGATTCTCGTCAATGTGCTCCTTTGTGATTTTGTCTAGTTTGAATATGCATCACCACAATAGAATAAAAATGCACACATCGAAGAAGTGCTTCTTCCAAACATGAATGCCTAAAAGTTGTAGAACTTGATTCCTAAAAACTTTATCAACACATTCAAGTCAACAAAATCTCAATGACAGGACTGTAAGAGTACAATGTTGTTGACCTAAGAACACCAGTAGTTACATAAGCCACAATTAAATTTAATAAACAAAGAATGGTGTGTGTTGTTGTTTGTTGAGAAGGGGGGGGGGGAGAGAGAGAGAGAGAGAGAGTACCAATCACGGTAGCATTTCAAGCACATGGCATGGTTGCAGTTGGGCAACACAATCTTACTGTTCATCTCCATGCAAATTCCACATTCTTCTTCCCTTTCAATATCTACATCCGAACAGTGCCTGTGTTCCTCATCATCTCTTCTTCTGTACCTTTCCATGCATACTGCCTTTTGCCTTTTATCTTCTGTATCACTCACACCTCTTTCAAGTTGTTGTAAGGAGGGATAAATGACAGCTGATGGCACAAGAAGTTCAGACATCAGCAGACAAAGCATGGACTAGAGGCTATTCCAGCTCATACATTAAGGGATGCAAATGCATCAGGTTGTACAAGTTTATCTTAAGTGGAATGCAATTGGATTATAGTGCAGAAACTTACCATAGAATTCTCTGACGCTTGCTTTTCTCTCGTGGGTAGACATGGTTGTGGTGCCATCCACATAAACCTGTTAAGTGAAGTGAGGTAGTCAGCCAGAGGCATGATGAACAAAGATTATGAATAGATAGAGAGACAGTGATATAAACAAGCTCCAACCTTGTAAATTAGGATTCTCAACAGTCCAAGAGCACCAGCAAGGTGGCAGTCTGTCCATTGTACTAGAAACAGGAACAGGTGTGCAGCTGGACTGTAGGACATTCTCATCTGTAGGCAGGCACCATCATATTCTCTTGGGAAATCTGATGCCCTGTACCCACATTGCAAGATTAGAATTTAAACAGAGCCAAGACAGGGTATTTAACCAAAATAGGTAAGCAAGCAGATAGCATACATCAGCATAACTACAAGCAGCATAACAACAAATACATCTAACAGAAACTGCTAGGAAGTGAAATCTAACCATCATTTTCCAACTGTAAGTCTCTACTCTGACCATCAAAAACTTGAAAGACCTTTTTTGACAGATCTTTTAAAGTAAAATGAATCATAGTTCTAAAGTAACAATGCACAAAACTGAGTATCCAAATGTTACTAAAAGTGTTAATGCTTAACCACCAAAATATTTTGCATTATAGAACAACATTTTGAATAAAAAAATAGGACCCAAAATTCTTCTTAATCAGAAGTAGCAGACACATCAACCATCTGTTTCATTTTCCGGCCTCTACATGTGCATCAATCCTACACTGTAAAATGTGGTCCCTTTTCTACTTGGGAGTGAAGGATGAAGTGAGTGTCAAGAAAGCATTGGGTAAAAAAATTAACCAGATGTCCTCAGGTCCACAGAGAGTACTGACCATCATGACCAACAAATTTGAGCTCAACAACTATCCTACTTGATATAATCACAATTCCAATATAATTTCCATAATTAAAAAGAAGATTAATCTACAATAGAGCATTTATCATCACTAGAATAACCCCATCTGCATTCAAGCTAATACTCACTTATCAATTTAAGTAAGAAGCAAGTATAAAAGAAAATTTACCTGAGTAAGTTAAGCATCAGTTATCATAAGAATAATACCTTTATCACAAATAGAAGCAACAAATAAACCTTTTTTTTTTTTTTTCATCAGAAACAAGACATGGAAACGTGAAGCTCACATCATCCAACTACTTTCCTTAATCAAATACAAACAATAATAGAGCCCATCTGATCAGTGTAAAAAAAAACAACAAAATCAAATGCATATCAGTAACAAAACTAGAGAGACAATTGAATCAGAAACATAATAGTGGAAAAATTAAACAAAATGTAAATAAAACTATAAAACTTTTAAACGTTCGATTCTCTAAGACTCTAGTTTTCGCACAAATTGATGAAATAAACAAACATATATGTACACACAAACACGTATACAAATATGTAGAGAGAGAGAGAGAGAAATGGAGAGAAAATAGTTGACTCACAGAGTATTAGCGTGCTGAATATCGGCTTCAAGAACTTTAAGAGAATCCTTGAATGACTTTCGCATTGAACCTCCTACGTACATCTTCCTCCTCCCAACACCAAAATTTTCCCTAGAAACAGATACTCACCATCAATCAACCCCCTCTCCTAGCACCTCTCTCTCGCCCTCTCACTCCAAACCCTCTCTCTCTCTCCACACATACTACTTTTCTCTCTCTAGAAAGTGCCCAGTCTATGCGTTCAGTTCTTCAATTCTAAATTTTCTTCTTCAAGGCAACGACAACGACGAAGGGGGAGCTATCGATTGCCACGTGGACTCGAGCTAGTGTCACACGGAGGCGTCAAAAAGTACTACAAATAGGAAGATAACGAAATATAATAATATCCAAGGGGTCAGAATTAATAAGAAACAATTACAGTCACTACCCTCTACAATTGTCAAAATTACATTCCATTCACTAAAATTTGAAACGTTATATATGGACTCGGTGCCATATCTTGCAATTCTCTTCAATCAAATGTTTTATAAAAACCAATGAAAGATTTATCCCTTATGGTTCCAGCGTGAATGGTCTCTTTAATTGAACCAAAAAATAAATTAATCGAGATGTATTTAAACTGATTCAAACACCTATGATCACATTACCAAAAAAATGAATTATAAAAGCTACAAAATTTANTCTTTAATTGAACCAAAAAATAAATTAATCGAGATGTATTTAAACTGATTCAAACACTTATGATCACATTACCAAAAAAATGAATTATAAAAGCTACAAAATTTATTTTATTTTGAATTTTTAAGTAACTATGTCTATACTATAGAGTTTTTTTTTTTTTTGGAGATTAGAAGTTCATTTAAACTTCATCTAGAGTGATTTATGAAGAAAACTAATAAATTTTAATAAAAATATGTATTGCGTGTTATTTAGATATTTTTTTGATTTTCTATGTTCACATATGGGTATATATGTTTTTTTTAATGTGAAATATGTGTGGGGTTATGAGCATTATATTGAATTGTTGCTGGCATTTTGAATTATTACTAGCATTATTCGGGGGTGAAAAAATTAGTCACTTTTTAGATATGTCATTGAATGGAATCCCGAAACAATCATTCCCATTGCTTTGAGGGTAAGTGGACGTGATTTCATCATTATCGCCATCGACGCCTAATTGAGATATGGTCTTCAATAGGTGAGTTTTGTACATAGACTTAGAATTTGAGGTAATTATTCTCGTTGTATGCTTGAGACTTGATCATCATAAAATCGGTATAAATCTAATCAAGAGAAATGCAAATTTTGTTAGAACCCTGGGTGAATTGTTTCTGAAGTAATTTAAACAAAAATGTTGAATTTATCCCACCATTTAGCCATATATTAGTATTATTTTTTTAACATGAAATACTTTTGTGCTACAACTGATTATATAAAATTCTTATTTTTCTAATTTCTAAAGACTCAGATAATCCACGAAAATAATCTTTCGAAACCTCGATTTCATATTGGAGGAACTCAATGCAAAGGGTTAACAATTACGAGTTTTGGGTANCCCTTGTTACTGTAGCCATATCGATAACATCCCTACTGTCCACAAATACCCAGAGGTCACCAGAGTTCACTCGCTTCAGACTGTCACGGCAAAAGGGACATGATTGTGATCTCAAACACCTGGAACATGCCATAACATATCCACATTATTCTCATTGTTCAATAATAAACGAAATTTTGCAGTCAATGAAAAAATTAAGCACACAACATGGCACACACAAAAACCTCCTCTCCCAATTCCCCCCCGCCCCCCTGGGGGAAAAAAAAACAAATTTAGCAAGAGTCCCAGAGCAGGGAATATAATTGCAACATTCAGCATGGAATTTCCTTCCATGTTTTTAATATCATCCGACGTCCCTCTCCCCCTTGAAAAATAGGTTTTTACTTTTTTCCAATTTCCAGCAAGAATGGCTCGGCCACAACGAGCAATAGGGTTCTAAATAAGCCCAAAGTGGAGGGAGGATAAAAAACAAAATCCAAAGAAAAACTCAACCAGGAAGACAATTTTGTTTATATGTGCATTGAGAATCAGAATCATTCATATAGTATTCACAACAAAAGGTAATCTGATTCTTGTTTCCCGAGTTTTAACTAATGTTCCTTGTTTAAGGGTCCTCAAGAAAAAGAAAATGATTATAGTTTTCATCAAAATTAGATAGTCAGGTTTCAAAGATTCTTCTCGAATCATAGGAACCCATCTTTCAAAAATCAATAAAAAAATGTATGACTCGCAAAAAATTAAATTGAAACAAAACACGCCAATGCTCCTTGATGAAATGGCAAATCTATCTAATATTATAGTTAGGAAGTTAAATTATGAACTCATAAAAACACAACAACAGTCAAGATGAATCCAACTTTTATCTACTTTGATCCAATGGTACAAAATTTATCTAAAAAAAATTTTTCTTCCAAAAAATATCAGTTTCTCTACACGGCCCCAACGCATTCTCCAATGTCAGACAACTTAATCAACACATACCCCAATGTCAAACAACTCAATCAACACAACCCCAAATATCAAATAATTTCATCAATTCACACCTGCCACCCTCTTCATTTTAATTTTAAATTGCATAATAAAAAAAAATTAAATTGTCATATAAAATATAAATATTGCAGGATCAATGTTTGATTTTTGATATTGTATAATATCTTTAGACACGGGATTATTGCTAATATGAAAACAACAAATGTGCTATAGACTTAAAAACTAAATAAACATATGATTAGGGCTATCAAAACACATTATGCAACTTGGGCTCGACTCATTTTTGGCTGATTTAAAGTTCATTCACTCTAAAATATGAACCAAATTTGATTTATTAATCAAGCCCATTTTATAGCTGCCACGAGCTTGAGCCGCTTGCGAGCTTGGACTCACTTTTAAGTACATTAAATGTTTATCACCATTCAACACACATTATGAGATATTACTTATTTCTATCCGACTTTCCATTTTGGTAGACTTCACATGTATTTGGAGTATTCGAACCAACCACCTTCAATTAATTTAATATATCTCTCTCATCATTTCAACCACTAATTTTTTTGGGACAAATCATTCCGCCCACTTCAATCTTCATCTTTCTTTCTTACATGCATAGGCTTGGGTCCTACGACCCTGCAATTGCCTCTTCTCTTGCTTCCAAATTCTCTCCTTTTCTCTCTCCCTCTATGTCGTCCATGTTTGCTTTTATTTTAGTCATCCATTGAGATTGTAGTTTTTGTGGAGAGGATTTCAAACCTTAAAACCTTTGAAGCTTCTTGAGCCGGTGGAGACTACAACACCTCCTACTAATATCATACATCAAGTTAGGGAACGACTCTGGTGTTTGAAGCTAAAAACATTGTTGACAAAGCTATAGGTCTCTTTCCCCCATTTAATTTTTGGGATTTTTTGATAAAATTTTGAGCTCAGTTTTTGGCTTTAGCTCAGCTCAAATGCGAGCAGAGCAGAGCTACAACAAATTTGAGCTCAACAGTAAAGCTCAATCCGAATCCAAGCACGACCAAGTCGAGCTTGAGAAGATCAATTTGATTAACACCTCGTCATATGATAAGGCTTTATTCATTGCACTCGATGACATATAGGTGAAGTGACTAACTCTTGCATTAAATTTCCGCCTCTTCTACATAGAAAAGTCGTACCTAGTGCATTAAGTTCCCACCTATAGTGGAGTTTGAAAGAGGTACATGATAGGCTACCCGATTCTCGTCAATGTGCTCCTTTGTGATTTTGTCTAGTTTGAATATGCATCACCACAATAGAATAAAAATGCACACATCGAAGAAGTGCTTCTTCCAAACATGAATGCCTAAAAGTTGTAGAACTTGATTCCTAAAAACTTTATCAACACATTCAAGTCAACAAAATCTCAATGACAGGACTGTAAGAGTACAATGTTGTTGACCTAAGAACACCAGTAGTTACATAAGCCACAATTAAATTTAATAAACAAAGAATGGTGTGTGTTGTTGTTTGTTGAGAAAGGGGGGGGGGGGAGAGAGAGAGAGAGAGAGAGTACCAATCACGGTAGCATTTCAAGCACATGGCATGGTTGCAGTTGGGCAACACAATCTTACTGTTCATCTCCATGCAAATTCCACATTCTTCTTCCCTTTCAATATCTACATCCGAACAGTGCCTGTGTTCCTCATCATCTCTTCTTCTGTACCTTTCCATGCATACTGCCTTTTGCCTTTTATCTTCTGTATCACTCACACCTCTTTCAAGTTGTTGTAAGGAGGGATAAATGACAGCTGATGGCACAAGAAGTTCAGACATCAGCAGACAAAGCATGGACTAGAGGCTATTCCAGCTCATACATTAAGGGATGCAAATGCATCAGGTTGTACAAGTTTATCTTAAGTGGAATGCAATTGGATTATAGTGCAGAAACTTACCATAGAATTCTCTGACGCTTGCTTTTCTCTCGTGGGTAGACATGGTTGTGGTGCCATCCACATAAACCTGTTAAGTGAAGTGAGGTAGTCAGCCAGAGGCATGATGAACAAAGATTATGAATAGATAGAGAGACAGTGATATAAACAAGCTCCAACCTTGTAAATTAGGATTCTCAACAGTCCAAGAGCACCAGCAAGGTGGCAGTCTGTCCATTGTACTAGAAACAGGAACAGGTGTGCAGCTGGACTGTAGGACATTCTCATCTGTAGGCAGGCACCATCATATTCTCTTGGGAAATCTGATGCCCTGTACCCACATTGCAAGATTAGAATTTAAACAGAGCCAAGACAGGGTATTTAACCAAAATAGGTAAGCAAGCAGATAGCATACATCAGCATAACTACAAGCAGCATAACAACAAATACATCTAACAGAAACTGCTAGGAAGTGAAATCTAACCATCATTTTCCAACTGTAAGTCTCTACTCTGACCATCAAAAACTTGAAAGACCTTTTTTGACAGATCTTTTAAAGTAAAATGAATCATAGTTCTAAAGTAACAATGCACAAAACTGAGTATCCAAATGTTACTAAAAGTGTTAATGCTTAACCACCAAAATATTTTGCATTATAGAACAACATTTTGAATAAAAAAATAGGACCCAAAATTCTTCTTAATCAGAAGTAGCAGACACATCAACCATCTGTTTCATTTTCCGGCCTCTACATGTGCATCAATCCTACACTGTAAAATGTGGTCCCTTTTCTACTTGGGAGTGAAGGATGAAGTGAGTGTCAAGAAAGCATTGGGTAAAAAAATTAACCAGATGTCCTCAGGTCCACAGAGAGTACTGACCATCATGACCAACAAATTTGAGCTCAACAACTATCCTACTTGATATAATCACAATTCCAATATAATTTCCATAATTAAAAAGAAGATTAATCTACAATAGAGCATTTATCATCACTAGAATAACCCCATCTGCATTCAAGCTAATACTCACTTATCAATTTAAGTAAGAAGCAAGTATAAAAGAAAATTTACCTGAGTAAGTTAAGCATCAGTTATCATAAGAATAATACCTTTATCACAAATAGAAGCAACAAATAAACCTTTTTTTTTTTTTTTCATCAGAAACAAGACATGGAAACGTGAAGCTCACATCATCCAACTACTTTCCTTAATCAAATACAAACAATAATAGAGCCCATCTGATCAGTGTAAAAAAAAACAACAAAATCAAATGCATATCAGTAACAAAACTAGAGAGACAATTGAATCAGAAACATAATAGTGGAAAAATTAAACAAAATGTAAATAAAACTATAAAACTTTTAAACGTTCGATTCTCTAAGACTCTAGTTTTCGCACAAATTGATGAAATAAACAAACATATATGTACACACAAACACGTATACAAATATGTAGAGAGAGAGAGAGAGAAATGGAGAGAAAATAGTTGACTCACAGAGTATTAGCGTGCTGAATATCGGCTTCAAGAACTTTAAGAGAATCCTTGAATGACTTTCGCATTGAACCTCCTACGTACATCTTCCTCCTCCCAACACCAAAATTTTCCCTAGAAACAGATACTCACCATCAATCAACCCCCTCTCCTAGCACCTCTCTCTCGCCCTCTCACTCCAAACACCCTCTCTCTCTCTCCACACATACTACTTTTCTCTCTCTAGAAAGTGCCCAGTCTATGCGTTCAGTTCTTCAATTCTAAATTTTCTTCTTCAAGGCAACGACAACGACGAAGGGGGAGCTATCGATTGCCACGTGGACTCGAGCTAGTGTCACACGGAGGCGTCAAAAAGTACTACAAATAGGAAGATAACGAAATATAATAATATCCAAGGGGTCAGAATTAATAAGAAACAATTACAGTCACTACCCTCTACAATTGTCAAAATTACATTCCATTCACTAAAATTTGAAACGTTATATATGGACTCGGTGCCATATCTTGCAATTCTCTTCAATCAAATGTTTTATAAAAACCAATGAAAGATTTATCCCTTATGGTTCCAGCGTGAATGGTCTCTTTAATTGAACCAAAAAATAAATTAATCGAGATGTATTTAAACTGATTCAAACACCTATGATCACATTACCAAAAAAATGAATTATAAAAGCTACAAAATTTATTTTATTTTGAATTTTTAAGTAACTATGTCTATACTATAGAGTTTTTTTTTTTTTTGGAGATTAGAAGTTCATTTAAACTTCATCTAGAGTGATTTATGAAGAAAACTAATAAATTTTAATAAAAATATGTATTGCGTGTTATTTAGATATTTTTTTGATTTTCTATGTTCACATATGGGTATATATGTTTTTTTTAATGTGAAATATGTGTGGGGTTATGAGCATTATATTGAATTGTTGCTGGCATTTTGAATTATTACTAGCATTATTCGGGGGTGAAAAAATTAGTCACTTTTTAGATATGTCATTGAATGGAATCCCGAAACAATCATTCCCATTGCTTTGAGGGTAAGTGGACGTGATTTCATCATTATCGCCATCGACGCCTAATTGAGATATGGTCTTCAATAGGTGAGTTTTGTACATAGACTTAGAATTTGAGGTAATTATTCTCGTTGTATGCTTGAGACTTGATCATCATAAAATCGGTATAAATCTAATCAAGAGAAATGCAAATTTTGTTAGAACCCTGGGTGAATTGTTTCTGAAGTAATTTAAACAAAAATGTTGAATTTATCCCACCATTTAGCCATATATTAGTATTATTTTTTTAACATGAAATACTTTTGTGCTACAACTGATTATATAAAATTCTTATTTTTCTAATTTCTAAAGACTCAGATAATCCACGAAAATAATCTTTCGAAACCTCGATTTCATATTGGAGGAACTCAATGCAAAGGGTTAACAATTACGAGTTTTGGGTATTTGGTACTTCATTAAAGATTATTCAATAAACAAAACAACAATTGTTTTTTTTTTAATGTTTTTGCTGTAAAATTGAGATGTCAAACATCAAGTGATTATATAGTAACATAATTTATTGAGTGAACTTGTGAATAAGTAACTGTCCAGGGGTGATTGTAATAAATTTAAAAGTTTCGAGGGGCATAGTATGATTTTCAGAACCTTGGGAAGTGTGTTTTTGTTGTGTGCTGTGGCGACGGTCTTATCCACTCGCTTCTTGTCTGCCACTTTTTTGTTAGTTTTCCAACCGCTTTCGGTAGCTTTCCCTTCAAGCAGCAATGATTGTGACGTTTTGTAGAATTACACTTTTACCCTCCTTTTTTTACATTATTTTTGCATTTTCCCCTTCTTGTATGTGATTTATTTTAGGTGATTTGAGTAAAAGAAAATGTGTTTGTATTAAGTTAATTCTAAATAACCCACAAGTATTTACGTATTTACATTTATCATTAATATCATTTTCATCTCATAACTTAATTTTATATTTACCATCACTGCCACTATCGTTGTTTTACCGCTATCGTTACCATTCATTTCCCACCATCTTCTATTACCACCAAGTCGGAGCCACCATTAGCTATCACCATCGAAACCTTATTCTGTATATTCAAGAATATGACTATCAAATGGTCAATTGCGCATTTGTCATTGCCACGACCAATGCCACTAAACACTAGTTATGATTAAATATTCACTTTTTTAATTGGATGCCCAAGTCAAAAATATGTTTCTCCATTTTATAATCCAAATTTTAAATTTTTACATGAATCACGACAATTTATAATTTTATATGAATACATTGCGAGATAAAACATATGTATGTGCACATCGGGTGAAAAATAAGAGATACTAGTCCAATTCATTGTAATTTTACTTTTTAGCCCTTTATTAATTTCTCATCTACCAAATACATGTCTTAGAGATCTATTATGAGTAACTTCAAAAGGCTAGCTNGTCAAGATGAATCCAACTTTTATCTACTTTGATCCAATGGTACAAAATTTATCTAAAAAAAATTTTTCTTCCAAAAAATATCAGTTTCTCTACACGGCCCCAACGCATTCTCCAATGTCAGACAACTTAATCAACACATACCCCAATGTCAAACAACTCAATCAACACAACCNGGTACAAAATTTATCTAAAAAAAATTTTTCTTCCAAAAAATATCAGTTTCTCTACACCGCCCCAACGCATTCTCCAATGTCAGACAACTTAATCAACACATACCCCAATGTCAAACAACTCAATCAACACAACTCCAAATATCAAATAATTTCATCAATTCACACCTGCCACCCTCTTCATTTTAATTTTAAATTGCATAATAAAAAAAAATTAAATTGTCATATAAAATATAAATATTGCAGGATCAATGTTTGATTTTTGATATTGTATAATATCTTTAGACACGGGATTATTGCTAATATGAAAACAACAAATGTGCTATAGACTTAAAAACTAAATAAACATATGATTAGGGCTATCAAAACACATTATGCAACTTGGGCTCGACTCATTTTTGGCTGATTTAAAGTTCATTCACTCTAAAATATGAACCAAATTTGATTTATTAATCAAGCCCATTTTATAGCTGCCACGAGCTTGAGCCGCTTGCGAGCTTGGACTCACTTTTAAGTACATTAAATGTTTATCACCATTCAACACACATTATGAGATATTACTTATTTCTATCCGACTTTCCATTTTGGTAGACTTCACATGTATTTGGAGTATTCGAACCAACCACCTTCAATTAATTTAATATATCTCTCTCATCATTTCAACCACTAATTTTTTTGGGACAAATCATTCCGCCCACTTCAATCTTCATCTTTCTTTCTTACATGCATAGGCTTGGGTCCTACGACCCTGCAATTGCCTCTTCTCTTGCTTCCAAATTCTCTCCTTTTCTCTCTCCCTCTATGTCGTCCATGTCTGCTTTTATTTTAGTCATCCATTGAGATTGTAGTTTTTGTGGAGAGGATTTCAAACCTTAAAACCTTTGAAGCTTCTTGAGTCGGTGGAGACTACAACACCTCCTACTAATATCATACATCAAGTTAGGGAACGACTCTGGTGTTTGAAGCTAAAAACATTGTTGACAAAGCTATAGGTCTCTTTCCCCCATTTAATTTTTGGGATTTTTTGATAAAATTTTGAGCTCAGTTTTTGGCTTTAGCTCAGCTCAAATGCGAGCAGAGCAGAGCTACAACAAATTTGAGCTCAACAGTAAAGCTCAATCCGAATCCAAGCACGACCAAGTCGAGCTTGAGAAGATCAATTTGATTAACACCTCGTCATATGATAAGGCTTTATTCATTGCACTCGATGACATATAGGTGAAGTGACTAACTCTTGCATTAAATTTCCGCCTCTTCTACATAGAAAAGTCGTACCTAGTGCATTAAGTTCCCACCTATAGTGGGGTTTGAAAGAGGTACATGATAGGCTACCCGATTCTCGTCAATGTGCTCCTTTGTGATTTTGTCTAGTTTGAATATGCATCACCACAATAGAATAAAAATGCACACATCGAAGAAGTGCTTGTTCCAAACATGAATGCCTAAAAGTTGTAGAACTTGATTCGTAAAAACTTTATCAACACATTCAAGTCAACAAAATCTCAATGACAGGACTGTAAGAGTACAATGTTGTTGACCTAAGAACACCAGTAGTTACATAAGCCACAATTAAATTTAATAAACAAAGAATGGTGTGTGTTGTTGTTTGTTGAGAAAGGGGGGGGGGAGAGAGAGAGAGAGAGAGAG